CATAAGAGCTTTCCCGGCCGCCAGCTAAATGCCTCGTCACGCAAAAGCCTGGAAATTCAAGCGTCCTCTCTCGCAAAACGAAGAACCCTTTCGAACCAAAAATTTGTTTCTGTAAAGGTGTTTAGGTACTGTAATACCTCATGAAAGTAGAAACTCAGACGAATGGATAGTTTCTTAGTTTGATTTTTAATGACGTCACGTGCAACCCAAGAATAGGCTAGTTTTCACATGACGTCAAGGCGGCCATATTGGTGTCCCAAAACAATGAAACGGCGGCCATGTTGGTGTCCCAAACCAGTCCTCTGGGAGTTGAACTCTTTTCTTATGCAAACGCTTTCTTTTGTTCCAATAAATTTGCATAGATGCTGGCCACGTGAGTGAAAACGCTCTACACGGTCACCTAAAATCGAACTTACTCTAAGGGGTCACTGTTGTAGCCCTTCTTTACATCATCAAACACTTTTTCTTATTTTATCATGTTTATTTAGACAAAACAAAATGTCCAAACGAAACTTTAAAATTTTGTCCCAAAACCTTGGATTAACCCGTTTGGAAAAATTTACTATGGTCTCCCAAATCCGAACTTGCTCTAAAGGGTCATTTTGACTTTCCTAGCTTTCTTAATGTCATCAATCTCTTTTTCTTGTTTTATTTAGACAGAGAAAAGATCGAAACGAAACTTTATAATTTTGACGTAAGACCATGGGTTAACCCTTTTGGAAAAATCCAATATGGTTAGCCAAAATCGAACTTGCTCTAAAGGGTCATTTTGGTATATTTAGCCCTCTTTAGCTTCGTCAAAAGTGTTTCTTTTACTCTATTTTAGGCAAAAAGAAAATCCAAAAAAATTCCTTATAATTGCTTCAAAATCGTGGGTTAATCCGCCGAAAGTTCCGTGAAGCGAACGATACAGGTTTTCTTTTTGTCGGATTATTCAAAAATATTAGAAAAAAAGGAGGCAATACGCTGTAAAGTAAAATTTTCCACATTTTTTTCCTGAAACTTAATGTTCTACTGACCTTGTCTAATGGAGTGTTTATTTCCAGAACGCCCATGATGTTAGTTGTAAAATGTTTCTCATCACGTTTTGCCAAACATATACAAAAAACCGGGCTACCACTCTTTTTCGTTTCGATATTTTCGAAATTTTTTTATTTGATCAAATGGATACATTTTTACCACACAATAATTTATATTTACACGTTATCCGGTAACTGCCGTAAATGCACTAAGGTTGTTTTGGTTTTTCTGTAACGGAAGATACTCATTTCCCGAGTTAGGATTTCAAGTTGGATTTCAAATTAGAATTTGAGTTGGATTTTCAAGTTAGGATCTCAAATATATCTCTCCGTAAAACAATTTAAATAGTATTTTACAAAGTAATTTAGGTCAAATTTAATACTTAAAATAATACCCACTGGGCAACTGAGGCGGCTGACCTCAGCGCTAACAATAAATTTGTGGCGGGTACATCCTTAGAACTCGTTGTTAACGAACACAATCATCTGTACAGTTTCTTGCGTATATTCATACTTAATTTTCTTCTTGTCCACCTTCAGGCAGTTCCTCCAATGATATGCGTAACAGAAATTTCTGATTCTTAGGACTTAAAGGGCTGCAAGGCGAGGCATTCTGCTTAATACGTTGCCGAACGTCATCCACTCTCCGTCCCACATTACTGAAAACTGAGCATTCTTTTTCATCGGCTGGAGGTTTGAAGCCTTTTTGATTTTCGCTGTTGGAACCTGCTAAAGCGGTCTGAATTTTCAAAGGGGGTAGCCTCTTATGTCGCCTTTGAAGCATTGGTTTTTGTGGTCTGGGGGTTTCAGGTCGACGAGGTATTTTCCAGGAACAATTAGGATTCAGATCTTTATCTGGTATAGGGTTCTTCAACGGCAAATGTGAAGCGTTTACTTTTCCTTCCTGAATCGTCTTGATGGTGTCTTGCGCGGGACCCACCACCAGTCCTTGAGCGCGCTTACCACTGCTGTGCGGAGACATCACTGAATCATTTGTAGGTTTTATCTGGTTAACTGGATTCCTTATCGATCCTGGTGGAAAGTTTGCTCTATCAAAAGGAATCTTTACCATCTTTGTTGGGGGTTTATCCATACCTTTTGGTATCAATACTAATCCAACTGGAGATGCTGGGCCCATGGTACGAAGTATCTCTAACATTTGAGACGAATTAGTCGGTGTGTTTGACTTTCCATCGGGGACTTTCCTCATCACTCCCTCTGGAGATTTTTTCTTTTCATTCTGAATCTCCATCTTTCCATTAGGACAGCCCCTGGTCAGCCTAGGGTATGTCGCCATTCTTTGTGTAGAGTTTTGGGGCGATCTATGTGCTAACTTCCTCGGAAATCCATTCGGAGGTTTTGGCATATAACTGGGAATCTCTTTCGCTGGGAAGAACACATTTTCAACGCTTCTGGTGGTAGATTTGCTAGTAAGCCTCAAGTTACTGTGGTTTGTAGGCTTGGTATCACTTTCACTGGCTGAATAGCATCGTCGCCTGCTCATTCCCGTCTCCCCACTGAGGCAGTGGACTGGCCCGTTGTTTTTCCTCTTAGTTGACTCTTCTCCTGCCAATTGGTGTTGCTCCATTCTTTCGGCGTTCCCTTTCTCGGCTGCTAAAGACTTCATGCTATCAGCGCGTGTAGGATTGGTGGTTTCCACAGCCCATTCTACCTCTTCCTCGAATACATCGTTCGCCGAATAAGAGCGATTCCTGTTAATTCTTACATTAGCAAGCATGGGAACAATCTTTGATGCCACGAAGCTTTCGTCGAAAGCTTCCGTTTCACCTCCCAGTTTCTCTCTTGGTAAATAGGACGGCGACAACTCAAAAGAAACCACAATCTCGCCGAGCGAACTTGATTTAACATTATTCAAGTTATTTTGATCTTGCTCAAATCCTTCATCATTTAAACTGTAGCATGGTCGCAAAGTTGCCTTGCTAATTTTTTCTTTCCCTTTTTGAGGCCAAGACATGCTTGACTGTTGGCGTATGTTGGAATAATTGGAACCCAATTCTCAAGCAGATGACTATGATATAGATTTCAAGTATTATGTACTAAAGATTCGTTAAAATGTTTGAACTAGAAAGTACTAGTGGGTGATATCTCGTTAAAGGTATTACATTTCTGGGGCTTCCTCCAACGAGCGATTGACGTCACAAATGTCAAAAAATTGTTACCTTTCATTCACGTGCAGATGAACAGTTCCACTCACATAAACTTCAAAAGATCTTGACCTTTTATTTACGTGCTGATAACAAATATGATTCTTAGTAAGAAAGAGACATTACTCAAGGAATGTTAGAGTCAAAACTGGGTCACTGTTTTGTTGCTTGCGTCCACGCAAATCTTGTTAATTATGCCGACTTGACGTCAGAAAATACACAAAACGGAACGTTGTCATGGAAACTAGGGCAAATGCCGCCAAGGACTCAATTGAATTTTTTTTGGCACAAACAAGATTCTTTTGTTTCATATCGATTCAAGTGTAATGAAGTAACTTGCAAGTCACGTTCACCTTGTCTCTTACGCAATAATATTACGATAGTAAAAGTTGAACAAGTGCAGTTTCCATGGTAACAAACATCAGCCACCTCTCGGTGTATTTCCTGGATATATTTGATTGTCCTTTTTTCATCCCGAGCGTTTTGTTTGCCCTTACTTAGCATTTCTCTTAAATAAATCGCTTATAATGTAAACTGGTATTTTTCTATTACGAGGGACTTTGGTCAGGACCCGCTTTCGATTCAGGTCCCGACCAAACCTGCTCCCTCCCCAAGGCCAAGCTGCAATAACAAATGAGTATTGTGTCACTGATCTCTCCTTGTCATAGAGTTTCAATTATTGTACTGATTATTAGGGGGAGGGTCTGCCTGAGTGTAGATATTTAACACAATGTTGTACCTCTTCCTCCAAAACCCATTGTTAGAGAACTTTCCTTCGACCTACATTACCATCAGAATGAATAAAAATAACTATCTGTCAATACAAACAACATTTATTTCATAAAAAGTCAATTGTTTGCTGCAAGTCATAACTTAAAATGAAGGAACACCCTCCCTTCCCATAGCGTTTTGAGACTTACCAGAGCCTCACTGTACCTTCCTTGTGAAGGTGTCGGTGTTTTGAAAACTGTTGAATATTCCAATCAATATTGAAGTTACTTTCATAACCGTTATTATATAAATTTTTGTATTTACGCAAATGATAAATTACCAGTCAGTGGGTGTTGATTCCTAAAATTCAGTAAACTTTTATTTAATTTGCCTTTTGTTTTCATAAAACAAAGAACTATAGCCCAGGCTACACCCGAATATCTTCCTGAGAAAGAGGTCTCAAGGATGCTTTTCAGGTGGAACGTTCGGCCTGAAGAGATCGTTAGAGTTTTAAAAACAAAGTTAAGATTTTGTGGAGGACCATGGTGTTTTGGGGAATTAATTGCTCCTACAGTCGCTTACTAACTTATTCCTGACTTTTTTGATAACCGCAATCAAAAGCCCGTTACAAAATTCAGAAACCGATAAAAAAGATTAAGGGTAGCATTACAGGCATAGATTTTTTGAATGCAAAACTAATTCCAAATGCCTAGCTCTTTCTAATTTCCCTCCTTTTAACCCTACCACCGGGAAAAGACTTGAATATACCTGACTGAACTGCAGGGGACCTGAATTCTGAAACCGATAAAAAAGTCGTGTTTTGTAAAGTAATCTACGATAAAGGAGTAAGTCCTCAATGCAAAAAACGTCTCTCGGCTCGTTATCATAAATGAGGGAGGGCCTGGGACGGGTAACACATCATCATCTGAAAAGACAGTTAAAATTCTGGAAACGTGAAGAAGTTTTCCTCTGCACTAGTATGCGCCTAAATGGGCTGTGAGCTTTACAAACGACTGAGCTGCATTTCTGTGCAGCGTTGGAAGCACACCTTTTCTACCCACTGTCTATTGTGGCGCTATCATTGCACAATTTTGACAGCTGAGGATTAGGGATGCTCCACGGATGTTACATGAAGCTCAGTCATCTTTCCAACATCGACAATTTCTTCTGTTGCCCAGGCCTCTGGGCCGTGCTTATCTTTTATAATCCATACTTTGTCAATCACTTCGTAGTCCTGTGTAAAAATAGCGATAGTTAGTTACTAATTTTTAACTTTTAACCGCATCTAAACACAGAATTATGGTGAAAGTTGCTGTTACGGTTAACAGATAGTGAAAACCTAGGGTAGGAAAGGCTGCAGTTACAGAGTATAATAAAAACGTTTAATCTGACCTGATCAATGCTGACTTGTTCAAGATATAAGTGGCTACTGTTAAAAACTTGAACTCTGGTGTACCCATAATCCAGTGTGCGAAATGCTGTCCAGAAACCATAATCTCGCTGAAACTTGTCATGACAGTACTTACAGCCCTGGAAAGTAGTTTTACAACTGATAAGGACAGAAGCAAGGACATTCAAAGTGATCTTGAGCTAAGATCATATTATGCTATATATTAGAAATTTGTGAAGGGAATAGATGTGACCTGGAACAATGAAACAAATATATATCTCCCATACCCTTTCGGCAAAAAATCTGATAACCTATATCCATACCGTCCATAAGAAGAAGATTACTTTTCACGTTACCGTACGCGAACAGACCGTACGTCCATCTGTCCCTCTGTTTTCATGTAAGTAAATGTGATTATCACATATGCAGTGACGTATTTAATTTGGTTTTTTTCTTTGTTCTTACCGCAGAGCCCGTGGTTATGTGGACAGGAGCCTTTGGGTTGGTGTAAGGTTCTTCGCTGGATCCATTATAGACCTTGTTAAGAAAACGTAAAAATGTGGCGATGTATTAAGTAAAAGGATATAGAAAAGAACTGTTCCTGGATTTTGTAGTGAATATTCAGTCTCAAGCTAGATATGCCGGAGGTTTACCTTGTGATCATAGACAGGAAGTAGTCGCTCGTACGAGTGTTCATGAGCCCAAAATTCCACGTCCACCCCTACGAATCAGGCAGATGGGTATAAAGTTACTGTTTTTAAAAACGAAACTACTTCAAACGGTTTTAACAGTGAATAGCTACCAGCATCGTTGATTAAAAGACCTTAGTTTTTTATTATCCATTCACTTTCAGTCGTTGGTAATTTGGCACTGAAACCAAGAATTTAAGTAATATTATTTTTACGAGTCTCACTCAGGTTTTGGGCGTTTCCAGACGGCATGAATCACAAGGCAAGAAAAGGCGTTTGTTTTACCCTTTATTCTCTTGTTTTGCCATGTCTCACATCTTTGATGACTGCAACACTTACCTCGTATGTTTTGGAAGTTTTGTTACAATCGCGCGTAACTTAATTAACGCGAGACTTTTGAAAAAACTACCTCACTTTCCATGCACGATAATTATACAACTCATTGCCTTTTTCAAACCCACTATAAAAGGCCCTCTGCAGCTAAACGGTCAAACCGGACAAACACCCTTTGCTAGAGAGCAAGAGACACCGTGGGGCAAAAAAAAAAAGATAACGTCATTTAAACGGTAATTTTCTTTTCTTTTAACATGCTTTAAAGCCCGCTTTACGAACACCCTAAATATGGACACCTGATCATTACGTTCAGTTAACTTCGTCCCTGGGAAAAGAAAGTCCTTACATTTCTCTCAATTCAACCCTGTTAATACGGACACTTTCTATGGCCTCCTCAGGGTACGTAGATTCCTTGGCCTTCGTCAAAATATTTAATGGAATAATCACAAAAAAAATTCACAACCAAGCGCTTCCCAGTCAATTCTCACCGTGTTTATAAAAGAGTTCTTCCAAGGGAAAGAGTTTCTCAGAAGATAGTCCCGTTCTTATCTAAAGGCAACAACAAAAATGGTTTTAATGATGACCTTACTAGTTCCTTCATTGTTATTGAAAACACTTTAAACACCAATAAGAGATCTACTACACAGACAAAAGGAAAGATTACGAAATTTGTCCAATCTGAGGCGCATGCTTTGCTTATAATTAACATAGCTCGTTTTTTATTAATTTATAAAAGGCAATTGACTTACGCTGTTCTCGTGGTTTTGACATCCATCGCCCACTGCATTGGAACAGTACATGGGCCTGTGACCCATAGTTATTATCCAGGGACGCTTTGCACGATTTTCTGGTCTACTAGCCTCCTTAATATTTCATAAGCAAAAAAATATTTTAGAAAAAAAACAAATACTTTAACCCTAGATTTAGTCGTCGAGTCTACTGATTAGAAATGACTCTGTTACTTTGCACACTTTTTCTTTGAACTTGTTTCTCAATTTTGTTGCGCCATTGCTAGTCAAGTTTGAGGAGACGGTCAATTTATACCTCGTTTAATGAGGGGCTAAATTGTGAGTCTGACAGTGATAAAAGACCCAACTAGAAACCTGTAATCACCTTTGATACTCTGTCTAGTTCATTGATGAAGGTGATTTTTAATTTTGAGATTCATAACTACAGAACAAGATCTGTCTCTAGCGACTCGTTTTATGTTAAGTTCTCTAGAACCGATAAAATGTATGCCTTTTTCACGAGAATCGGTGCCCAAATTTGGAACTCTATTCCGTATTCGATTAAAATACTTAAACGTTCGTCCTTTCGTAAAAAAATAAAGGAATTATTACTAAATTTTTTGCGGTCAGAAGATGATTATGTCGAAGTCTCCCGTCTTATTAAGTTATTTAATACTTTAGTTAACCTCTCTTCGTAATCGTTATGTACATGCCTTGTTTTTTTTTTTTTTGTTTTATGTTAGTTTAAACTCTATTTACTGTATTGTAGTGTCTTCACTGTTATTTAGTCCATCTATATATAATTCTTGTTTTGTAATATGTCTTCAGCTCCCCCGCAATTTGTTGTTTTTGTTGTTTGTTGTAGATACCTTAGGGAGGCTTCATTTAAAGACAACCTGCCCTTGTTTACAATTTAATGCTTAGTTCTACTCTGTGAATAAAATTCTTAGAAAGGGTGCTAACATATCTATTTAGTACCTCTAAGTCCTTCTTCAGCCAATTGAACTGTTGAACAACAGGCTCAATGCCGTATTTCAGGAAGTAATAAAGTTCTGTACTGAAACTTATGATATGAACGGGTCCGATGTTCCAACTGCAAAAACGTTTGTAAAGCTGTTATGGTATACTATGATGAGAAAACCCATTCTGCATGGTTCAAGGGAACGCTTAAGAGGGGTGCGCAGCATTAAAATTGGGGCAAAAAGGGAGCAAGTGGACAAAACACCGGCTAAATATTGCGCGGAACACAGAAAAGATACTTCCTTTAGTGTCAAGCTCCAACAAAACAATGACGAAAAACTCATCATTCGTCACCATAGACAAGAAAAATACCCTGTTGAAATCGTGTATTCTTGTTGTTTCAATCTTAAAACGCCAGTAAACAACAGGCAACACAAAATTAACGATGTGGTCGGAAAAGGCTAGACAAAGATCGCGTTAACAGCAATTGGTCTGTCACAGTAAACGTACCTATAATATATTCCTTTAGTATTTCCTGGCATGCTGAAACGCTCCTTATAATTTGAGAAATTGCTGAAAGCGAGGTTGACGCAATATGTTAGTTCCAAAATGTAATTAACTTAACAACTAACAGTTTTTACCGACAGGAAACTCATTAAAACCCTTGAGCCTCGTGATCACTGCAACGTGCTTACAAATTATTGTCCACATAACACCTACTAACAAATAAACGTGTGGCGCGAATTACAGTATATATGTTTAGATACACTTATAGTAAGGTCTATTAATATCAAAATATTCTTCTTTCTTTTACATCAAATATTTTTTTTCATTGATTTAAGAAACGGTCCAGATAAGAACGATAGCAACAACGGCAACGAACATGTTGGAATGCAAAAAAGGAGCTGACTTTTCTGTTTCATTGATTCAAATTAACAAAACTTCATAAAGCAGTACATTATTCAGGAACCATCTTCCATATAACAAAATCTGGGATTTGAATAACCGTAGGAACTTGTTCATTGTTTTCAACCCTTGTGGGTCAAACTTTTCAAAAAACATCCTTTCAAAGTGGAGTGTAAAACATTTTAAGCCGTAAATAGACTTCAATTTGATTCTGTGTAAAATGAACCTGTCCCCGCATAACAAAAGAATTATCCTATAAAACGAACATTATTTAAATCAAAACGCGTAAATAGGATTATATCCGGGACACGAGGCTTGTAATGGATTCCACCAAGGGAACATAAATAGACTCAATTTGATTCATGAACCTGTCCCCCACTCTAGAATTATCCTATAAAACGAACAAACAAGAAATCAATACAATAAATAGGAAACACGACAATTAATGATTCCGCCACTACAGTACTTCCACTCATGCACAGTGTGTAAGTTTACAGAGTGGGTTGAAAACAATAGTTAATACTTGACCAATCACAACAGCTGAATTCAATCGATAAACCAATCAAAACTCAAAAGAAATACGTATGTCTACACTCTGTATTCCTGACACTAAACTCCTGGGCCCAGTTGTTCAAAATGTGGATAGTGCTATCCACTGGAAGAATCACTATCCAGTGGATATTGCATTAGATAGCGATTTATCCGGTGGATAGCGGATAGATAGTTTTTTTCGCGGGGACATCGTTTAGGAAGACAAATCCAGTCCAATGCAGTTCCCGTTTTTAAAATCGAAGACCATGGCAGGTGCGAGAAATATTGAAAATTTGCTAGACTTTGAGTGTTGGGTTGCCTGTGTACACCAATCAGTCTACATAAGGTTTTTCAGTCTGTAACTTGAACATGTAGGTATGAGGTTCCACTTCCCTTCAATTACGTCACTGCTAGTAAGACCAATTAATAATTAACCTGAGATTACACTTTTGCCAAGAATCATTGCAGGAATGAAATATATGAGGGGGGGGGGATGAATTTTCAAAAGTTTGAAAAGTGTTTTCATTTAATAGCTATATAAAGTATTTTAAACTAGCGTTGCCTGAGTACAGAAGCGGTATTCTCCTGCGTAACTGCGTCTCGGACGTTTTGTGGCAAAGTAAGAGAAACGAGCCACATCTCCTACTTACCGATTCCATGTTGTATGCAAAGTCACCTAAAGAAGAGAGAAAAAGAACAGTAAACAAACTAAGTGAGGACAAATACTAGCCTTTTGTTTGCAGAAGAATTTGAAGCTTATAAATTTCTGGTGAACATTAAAAGCAATGCAATGACAATGATGTCACGTCTTGTTACGTCATTTACGTAGGGTTAGGGTATTTGCATAGATGCTAGCCACGTGATTGTTAACGCCTCTCTCCCTTTGGACCACTACACAAAGCCTTGTAGTATAGACAAGTGGTAGATAAACCCCTTCCATGAGCTGTTTACGGAGATAGAGGTATCAGTGAGGTATATCAAGAGCCATGTAGCTATTTCAGCTATTTCAAGACTATGAACAACCTAATGCGTAAATGTCGACATTATTTGCCTTCAGGTTGTCGTTGTTTTTGCTTTGCAATACATAGCTGCCAAAGCCTTTATAAGAGGACATTCAGTCTCCAGAATTTGATTATTCAGTGGTTAATGTAAAAAGGTATTTTTTAGCCACATAATACTGTTTTAAAGATACTTACCGACATGCAGGATAGCGTCATATTGGCCTGATTGAACTTCTTTCTGTAACTTAGAGAGAGACTGGGCATTATCTACTCCCAAATCTCCATACACCGCAAACCTCGGCGCCCATTCCGTGCCGTTTCTGGTCGCGTTAAAATTATACAAGGCGCTCCAGCCATCTGCACTACCAACACGGTAATCTGAAAACAAACCGCAAAGAAATGGGTGTGTGAGTTATTAATTTCTTTGACATCGCTCCATAAATATATTCTCTTCAACCCATTCATTCGCGTGCAAAACCTCATGAAAGCACGTTACCATATCCACTCCCTGGAATCAACCCCTTCAACTTCACACGATGAATGTAAATTGTCCTCTCTCTCCAGCCGCACGTTTCATACTCTGTAGCTGAGCCGTAAGCTTTCTTGTTCAGCGGTTGTTTGTACCTCTCCCCATACTCCACTATGGTCTTAACTGATTTGGCCATCGTTACCCACGTGATCATCATTTCCGTGGGATCTCCTGAAATTAAAAACAATTTAGAATTGATGCGGAGGTTACGTGATAACTCTGCTTAAAAACACGATTGTAGTTGCCAACATCCATGCTGTGACTTTCAGAGTAAATCAGCAAGTAGTCAAATGACCATAGTCTACACTTTGTCTTAGGTCCGTTCACACGGCACCAGACGGCGTTTTACTGACACCCCGGCGGGGTGTCAGTAAAACACGAGGACGAGGGCGGGGTCGGGGCCAAGGTCTATCTTTTTTTTTTAAAGAATGCTGTTTTAGGGTTAGGGCTGACACTAGCCCTAACTCTAACTTAACCCTAACCCTAACCCGACCCCCACCCCCACCCCGCGTTTTACTGACACCCGGGTTTATTCGTGCGTTGAGGTGTTCGGTCAACACGGAACCACCTTAACAGCATAAAATTTATATGCTCAGCAGTTCAAATTTCCGTCTGAACAGAACGAAAATGTTGAAAGATCTCGTGTCAACAAAGTGTGTGGTCAAATTTTTCAGCCATGCAGTCGAAAATTCGTCCAGTACTGTCACGTGACCTGACCCTGTTTGAGACAAAATTCGCTGATTTTCCTACCCTGTTTAAGACAGAATTCCGATTTTTGATACCTTGTTTAAGACATTTAACCCGAAACCATACCCTATGTAAGACAATAATAAATATCGAAACTCTTTCTTATTTAATCCATGGGCAATCACAAAACTATTTACAGCTTGATCAACAGAGTCACGCAGGCTGTTTATCGCCCAAGAAAATATACCCTGTTTAAGACAAACATTGATAAAATCGATACCCTGATTAAGACAAAAAATGACAAAATCGATACCCTGTTTAAGACAAAAATCCTTAAAAACATACCCTGGCTGGCCGCACGTCCCCATTAAGCCCTTATGAGGGAGTACCCCCCACCCCACCCCGGGCATTTGCTTTCTTAAAATAACCCACTAAGGAAAAGATCTGGAGGTTGAAAGATTTTCTAAACCGCAGGGTAAGTTAGACTTTGTTTAAATAACCGACCCTATATGTATTTCACTTATTAATAAAGTTGTTTACACTAACATTTTGTCCTTTAAAGTTGCGGGCTTGACCATAACGGTTTGCTTGTTGATCTTTGAAGATTTTTTTGTTTGGTTATTAATAACAAAAACATTACACATAGCAAAACGTTTCCGTAAAGCGAGGTAAGGAATAAATTATATACAATGCCATTGTTTCATAGGCAATGGTTTAAAGGTGCCAGTTTGTTCCTGTTCAGCAGCCAAGCGTGGATAGATAATAGTCAAGGAAAACCCAGGGACATAAAACGTTTAAAAATCTAAATGAGGAGTTAAAGATTAAACTTACCTGTACTGGATATGTGAATTTGTTCCGGTTGCGGTGCCTCATCTCCAAGCGTCCCGCGCCAAATCATCGCAACGATAATCACTCTTAATACAACGGGAAAATGGCCAGCCATTTTCTTCCATAAACTTTCATTTCTCCGTCATCTCTATTCTTCTTTTACCAGAACGCGAGTCACACTCGTTTACTTGTACCTGCCAATCTGCCTCGCGACCCTACTGTAAGTGTCTAGTGGCCGAATATGGATTGGTAGCAGGTGGATGATTGTTAAAGGAATATTATTGTTGTAGAGAACGCGTGGCAAAATAAGAATTGGCGGGGGAGGGGGGTACTAAAAAACGCCAAAGGCGGGAGAAATCAGGGGGTTCCGGGGGTATTATCCCCCGGGAAATATTAAAATAAAGAATCTCTGAAATGCGATTTCCAGCGTTTTGGGGTGCATTTGCGACATATTTATAGCACTATTAATTTCATGACATTTTGCTCATTGTGTTAATGAGAAAAAGCATTTCTGACGTGACAATAATAAAAATCTTAAATAAAGTAGCCAACGTCTAAAAAATATTTGCAAAGGACTGTATTTTACATTTACATTTTTTTAATCCTCATCGTACACGAATGTTTTACAGCCGAAGAGCTGGACAACTTTCTGTTTACGATATTTACTTTTAAAACAAAATTATTGGGACATTCAAGAAAAGGGCCCCACATAACATAAACTGGGCAGCAAATCTTCCATGTGATCGTATTCACATGCAGCGGCACCCAGGCAAAGCGGATTAGTCCAAAAAAACATTACATTTCGTTTCCGAACAAAATGAGTAACCAATTATGCAATAAATTAATCTTCTCCTCCCTTTTTTTGCAGTTGGCTATGCAGTTTCATGGCTTTTTTATACATGACCTCTACACACTTGTATAGAGGCATGACAAGCTATGAGACCACCAACGCAACGCGGAAAAATGCCGGAGCCGGGCGATGGGAATTTAGCGAATTCTAGCAGCCATCTCAAAACGGTTGAGAAAGGGATGATCTTTTATTTCACGAAGCTTTCTGACATTAATACAACATATGAAGGGCGCAGGAAGACGAAATGAAAATAAAAAACACGTCGCCATTGCCTGGTCCCTCAAACTGGATCAGTCCATACAATTTCACGGGCTTCAAAGTGAAAGACTATGTTTCATTTCTCTTCTCTGGCGATAAAACCTATCTGATATTGTTCACGACCCTTTCAGGGCCAAAATTCAAAGGATAATTCCAGTCTTTACCAACTGCCTCACTTAGTGTGAACAGAGGTGTAATCCAAACGAAAGCATGCCAGTATTGTGTTTAAAAGTATTATTCAAATCTTTGTTAATATCAACACCGCAGAAGGAACAAGCCCAGCGTCTCGTAGGCTCATACCCAGGTCCCCATCTGTGTACGTTTTTCGCGGGAAAGTAGTCATCAACTTGAAAGGCGTAGAGCCATCCGTGCGGTTTTCATTTATGTAGGCACAGACTGTCTCCAGGGTATCCGTGGCTTGGAACGTCCCAGTGATTGCGCTGCCGTTTGTTAGACGAAACTGTCGGCAACAGTAGAAAAAAATAATCTTGTAGATTAAGAAATTTTTAACAAAAGTGCTGACATACTCACGGGGCTTATAGGTCTGTTGTTGCTTATGGCTTTCGACACTAAAATATGAACTTCAATCTTAGTGTAGTGTCACGCAATCGCGATGCAAGTTTGAGCCACGATGAAGGTGGATAGTGCTATTCACTGAGTAAATCTATCACTCTCTACCAGTAAAAAACACCATTAGTTGTCTCAATAAACATCCACCAAATAATTCAAATTTTTTAAAAATGGGAAACCGCTATCCGCCGGATAAATCGCTTTCCTTTGGATAAATATTAGGGAAACCAATTGCACTATCCACTGGACAGAGCTGTATCTAAGGATAGCAGCAACATTCATCTTTTCAACAACTAGGGAAAGGGTTCTTGAAGCGCAAAAGATACATACAATCACTTCCGGTTTACATCACCAACCTGTAGTTTGGACGTAGAATGTTGCTTCTTCTCCGCAGGAGGTTGAGATGGTACTGCACCTACTGATACAGTAGGCTGTGTATTTGCCGGAACTCCGCCACCTTTACCAAACTGAAACACAAATTTAACGAATTTAAACCAGTCTGACCTCTGTAGACTCAACCCTTGACTCACGCTAGAAGTCGCCTTAAGTTTTGATCGTTCCTTTGACTTTTTCACGTGTGTTGTGACTGGTAGATGCATACGAAGAAAAAATTTTCAGTAAATTCTAAACGATTCTCACATGCGATGATAAGCTTCTTTTGCGGCCTACAAAATATAAAATCTTTTTATTCTCTATATCTTGATGTTTCCAAGGAGTTTGTAATATCAAGAGCGATAGGATTATCTAATTGCGCGGTTTTCCTGACCAAAATGTGTGTTCTAATCTTCACGACCCTGAAGCATCCCAAAAATCGAACTTCTGGCTTTGAAAAGAATTACGATTTTCTCTGACCTTTTGAAAAGACACAACTCAAAAGGGATGGGAAACGGGGAAGTAAGACTTGCTGTCTAGAGTGAAAATTTACGTTTTTCTCACCTTTTCAGCTCTTTCTGCTTTATCTCTTGCGATCTGTTCCTTAACTCTTTGTCTAAAAAAACACTGGAACGTCAGGGGCAAGGCATTGCGTCAAAATGTTTTGGTTCTCATCAATTCAGAACTTTCTGGATATGAACAAACCTTGCGGTTCAGTTGAGGTACAAGGTAGGCTGCCCTAGGCAATCCTTCTCTAGACCCAACACCTGTTGACTCACACCCCTTAATTCCCCCTTTCCCCCCAAACGTCAACCAAGTAGGCTAGCTAACACCTTCAAGACCTTTGTTTTTTTTTTTTTTCATTTCTGCAACTTACTTTGCCAACTTTTCCTCCATTTTCTCTCGTCTCCTCTCATCCGCTATTTTTTTGGCTTCTTGTATATCTCTCCTGAGCAAAATGAAGCAGAAACACGGTGAAGAAGGTGGGGACAATGATGGGCCCAAGTTTCAAAATAATCGTTATAAAAAAAATAACTTACTTTGCCTTTATACTTGTCAATTCTTTTCCCAGTAACCCGTCGAGCTTTTTCCTTTTGCTAAAGCATCCTGTGGTTTGTTAGACAAAAAAATAGTTACATAGGGGCTTTCCTTGCGCGTCCACTGTCAGGTGTAGCCCTCCACCCGATATTGACACTATTTAGATCACTTAGATCTTCATGGCAATGATAAAGGACACCGATCGTTTTTGTCTCAACAAAAATGCCTGTCAAGGGTGATTTCCTTTGAAGTCAATCACTGGTAACTTTGTCCAAGTCTTGACAAAGTCATCAGCATGTCAATGGTCTTTCACTTCCAATGAAAAAATGCACGTATGTCAAGTCAGTGAGTTCTTCTGAAGTCGAACACCAGAGCCGAAAACCAAGTGAAAGACTGCTGAAAACTGCTCAAGTAGCACCAGTAATTAAATGTGGAGAAGGTTTTATAGGGGCTACATGGACATACGTCTTTGTGGTACTGATTACTGTTCTGTAAAAAGAAGGCTGTAACTTTAAGTGAGTGGATGAAATCATACATCATGGCCACAGTAAAGCTCATATTTATGCCCCAAGAGGTTTTTTTTAGAAATAGGTACACTTTAGGTGATGTTTTACATCGATAACTAAAAATGGCAGATAGAGGGGTCAAACTATAATGTTCAGCATAGTTTTATCAAAACCTTCTTCTCCTGCTCAAGCCTCTGTTCTCTTCTCTCCTTAAGCCGCTGTTGCAGCCTGCAAGGCAATATTAACATTCAAACTGAAAAAGGAAGTGACAAAGCAAGCAAGGTCATATAAAAAGGAATTCCAGTTATTTTCATCTTCTTTATTAACCATTTAGATTGTACAAAGAAAAAATGTATGTAGAGGCAACAGCCTCAGTCTCCTCTACACGGAAGGCTAGGGGCCTGCAAACAAGCTACATACCTCTCAGCCTGCTGTTTTTTCTCTTCTTCAGTAAGAGGTTTGATTTCTTCTGTTGACTCGGAAAAGTTGGAATGCCCTGATCTTGCAGCATGCAGCTGAGGAAGAAAAGGACATTAATATCAGTTGCTCTGCTCCTGCATATGCACATGCATTACTACACACTCCTTAGGTTACATATTTGCAAGGTGATCTGATTAACTCTAGAAAGTCTGTCCAGTTTTGTTGGCAAAAATGCATCCTCTTTAGTGTAACCAGTGGTACACATTCAATTAGGAAAATATGGTGGGTAACATGAATTCCCTGGTATTTTTTTCTTTGCAGCTTAAATAGTTTACCTAATGCTTATACAGGAAGTCTGAATTTGATTACTTTTTACTCTTGTATAAGCCGCATCTTTTTGCTGAAAATGTAGGCTCAAAAATGAGGGTATGTCTTATTTTCTGGCTGGTTTAGACTAACTACATAATGAATAACCAAATGAACATTACTGAAAACCTTTTGTTGACGATGATTTCTTTAATCATGAGCAGTGGAAATTCATGGTTTTTTAAAGATATGGCCAGAAAACTACATATTTATCTCAAATATTTAGTCATGGAATAGGCTTAAAACCAACAAGAATAGTCCTTGTTAAAGTAACCAACGTTTTATGAACCAAAAACAAGGATGTTTCATTCATGTGCATACATAACAGCGGGAAGATAAAAAAAACATTACCTGAACATCATTCTCACTTCTCAGTCTTTTACCACAACTGTAAGAAAAAAAGGATCATTAAATTAATATGGTACTCACTGCAAATCAATGCAGAGAATCAGCAGTTAACTAAACATATGTAGTCCAGAAAAATCCAAACTCCTCTAAAAATACTAGTGTTATAGTATGTCTGCGGCGTATATAAAATACCAGTTTTAAGGGGGTTATCAAAACCAAACAATACAAAATTAATGTTTTTACTCGCTAGAATGCCCCAAATCAAAAGTCAAAAATCCCAAACTTCTCTTCATTAATTAACAATAAAATATAAATAGTATTATATATGCTAAAGTACTGCAGAATGGGATTCATGTGTAGGAAGTAAATTAGGATGTCATCTACAGACAGGAGAAATAGCAATTTCTGGGGACCAGTTAGAAAGGAAAATGTAAAATTGAATTAAACATGCAAACCCAAGAGAAAAAGTCTGTGGTAAGGGATTGAAAATTTTCTAAAACAATGCAATATACTGCACCCTATACAAGGTAAAAGAATAAAAGATCTATTTATGATCCTTACTCATCACAGACAAGAGATAAAGCTTGTTGAGGTTGTTCTATTGTGTCTGCAGTGTTTGTTGACAGTTCAGAATTCTCAACTGGAGTTTTTTCACTTCCACCCTCAGCACCAAAAGTTGTCGTATCACCTTCCAGTGCAAGGAAATAAAATTCATGAGAAAAGTGAGTTGTAACATTTACTAATAAGAATGACACCTGAATAACAGAAGATACTTTAAATAAATAGAGAAAAAAATCACTTACTTGCCCCTAAGACATGTCCAGCAGGTGGTTGATAAGGTTTGTCAATATCAGGATCTTCAGAGTGCGCAATAAGCCTAGAAGAGGTACAATATAAGGGCTCACCCCTCTGCAGAGGCCTCTTTGTGTCATGGGGAGACTGGGGAGAGGGAAAAAAGAAAGTGTGCAAGGGATGATGGAGAGGGGAAGAGAGGAAGTGCAACCTTGTTCCTCCTCAAATTGACGTCCCCCATGCGCTTGCTATTATTTCGATTATTGCTATTTTAATTGAAATACCTAGTGGGAGCCTCTGCAGAGAGGTATAAGGTTCAGCGTTCAGTTGGGTATATCACTGCACAGCTTCTGATCATGAAATTTGACTCCAAAACAGCTCTACAATATGTACTCCAGTTAAATTAAATGAGACGGTAAAAAGTTAAGTTCGAGAATTATATTACTCACCATTCCATAGCAACCTCTAACCCTTTGTTACCCGTCACAGACAGGGCCTTTTCCCTAAAAATTTACGGTTGTTGTCAAATTGATGTATTATTTACTAGAGAAAGAATAGTTCCACAAGTATGACCATTTATGTTGGGTAACATTAAAAGCAAACTGCACGCAAAGTTACATAACATACTTACACTCTGTTCCTTGGAAACCCCATTTCAACCAGGGTATCTATTTCAGACATGTCTCTATATTTTCGTGTATTCTTCTCCCTTGAAAATCGTTGAAAATCGAGTAGAGTAGCCAACCAGCCAAATCTGCCAGGCGACTATATTAAATGCGAGGCTACAAAGCAACATTCGGGTCACTGCGAATTATGGGTTATGTCAACAAAACGAACAAAATTATACGCACTGAAAAGCATAAAATAACATGTTCGAAATAAAATGTTCAAAAATTGTCAATAAAATGTGTAAAATGTTCCAGATCTAAATGACGTTCGAAAAAAGAAAACCTGCGTACCAGCCATCGTAGCATGGTGGTTTTGGTTGAGCGCGCAAATCAATAAAGTGGGGCGAAGGCAGAGAAACGGCGAGGAGATGCCGCTGGTTAGCGCGCGTTTTTGCGGCTTCAACGCTCACCCTGGGGACGCTCAGTAGTGCTCCCGGCAAAACCGCCATGCTACGCAGACTAAGATATGGCGAGAAAAATATCTGTCGCCACTGTGCCAGCCTTGCTTTCATAATAGAAAATTTTAGCCAATGATGGAAGCGGGAAGGCCATGCATGTTGGTTGCTATATATCAAGTATGACTTTCATACCAGTATAATAAAAGACACAGGTTCGAAACATGAGGAAAAAAACACTCTAAATATTGAATTAATTAATTAAAGGTAAGACACATGACTGAACAACAACAGGAGGAAACACCAATGTGTAACTGAAAATATAAGTTTATGCAAGTCAAAATTACTCCTTAATGTTTATGGTCGCTGAGGGGGCGGAAGGGGAAGAAGTCATTCGAGAGAAGTTTACGGCAGATGGGCGGCTGATCTGAGGGCAATTTGCACCACGTGGTCAAGGTTTCCAGTTCTACTTGTCAAGAAATGTTCGTTATATCTATAGAAATATTACTTTCATGCCAGTTTCACCCATAAGAATTATTTTACAGTTTCGACACAGTTTCTATCTGCTCAGACGTGATTCTAAACCTCTCTAAGACACTAAATTCGCACGGCACACCTTAATCAGCCAATGAGCTTCGAGAATGTCGCATATTAAACTTTGAATATGTATTTTGTGATTGACAATAAGGCCATTCTCTTTTTTTTCGTTTAGCCTTGAATGCATTTCCTTCTATTTGGTCGGTCGGTCGGATTGAAAAAAAAAAAAAAAAAAAAAAAAAAAAAAAAAAAAAAATCACAAGAAGTCTCGGAAAAGGAGGCCCTGGTACCCCAGGATGACGTTAGAAGTTAACATTTACATTTTAGGATTAACAAAATGCACAATATACTGTAAAAATTGTTCCTGTTTTTCTCTATGCTGTTACTATGTTCATTTTTCAGATTAAAAGAATTATTTCAAGTGAAAAATGGTTCAACTACGTCGTTACTTCTTGTTTTGAAAATGCTTAAAATTTGGGTCGGTCGGACGACGCTAAACGGAGAAAAAAAAAAAAGAGGATGGCCTAATGAAAATTTAAACAGCACAATTTCCATAAAAAGAATAGAACCAAACCGAAATCTAACTTCCGCGGAGGCTGATGAGTGCTTCATGGTGTAGCTATTTTTAGAAAGGAAACGTTTTTTTTTTTTTCAATTTCAGGATGTCATTGTTCGCGCGTTTCAGATCCAAAACTTGAAGGTTATGGCATAAATAAAACGATTCGACAAAAAAGCTTCCTGAGTGAAAATGCTAGCGTATCTAGTATTCAACGGAATTGTCATACTCGCTGCCGTTGTTGGAAATCTGCTGATCATGTTGGTTGTTGCGTTCAACAAATTATTTCACAATATGAGACACTTTCTCTTGGCAAGCTTGGCGCTCTCCGATTTCATATTTGTGACTTTCGTATTACTTCCCCGAGTAGTTTCCGTCGCCTACAAAAAATGGATCTTTGGTGAAGGATTTTGTCAAGGAAATGCGTTCCTCGTCCGTGTTCTGTACGTTAATACATTTCTTCATCTCTGTGGCGTGTCGTACGACCGATACCAAGCCATAGTCAAGGATCATCTCAACTATGACGGACGCATTACTCTGAAAAAGGTCTTTATCTCCGTCTCAATTCTGTGGATTCTACCGACTGTGATCTCCCTAGGACCACTTCTTGGTTGGGGTGGTTTTGATTACAAACCAAGCATTTTTGCATGTGGACAGCGTTGGGACCTCGAGACAACTTTTCCGTTTCTAATCTTAGCTTTCATCACACCAATTCTGATCATTTCAGTGCTTACCTACAAGGTGATGAGGGTTGCACGAAGGCTGCAACGCGAAGTTAACATTCAGCTTGGTAACATGAACCAGGCGGAAAGAGCGTTAGAGATGCTGAAAGTTGACGCAGTTTTTGCCAGACAAGCTTCCCGTCAATACTCGCAAGAACTGTGGAGGACGAGGTTCCGTTCAGCCAGTGAAAACATCCTTCATCACGAGCTTTCCTGCAATCGTACATGTTCTCAAGAAAGGCCACTTAGGCGTGCAAGTACTCAGGAACATTTGCGGAATGTCTCAAGCATAAGTCGCAACCATCACTTCATCACAAACAAGGAAGATAATGCGGAAGACATAAATCAGACGGACGCGAACGAGGAAGCAATCCCATCTCCTTGTTTGATGAAAATTCTAAAAGAGTGCAAGGCTTCCACAGATGTCATGATAACTGTCGGGGCTCTTCTGGTTTGCTTTCTTCCTGTGTGGATCAATAACGTTTACTACACCTTTAACAAAGAGCCTTCACACAGTTCAAGAATTTTCTGGATTCATAGCCTGTACAGTGCAGCCACTTTATGCAACCCACTAATTTATTCGGTTCGTAAGAGAGAATTTAGAAAAGAAGTCAGGAAAATATTAAAGATCTGACTGACGCGGAATTCTTGGCGGATAACGACGTATCGGCAGTGGAGTTTTCTTATTTTTAGTGGTAAAAACAGTTTGCGAGAAGGATTGTGTGGCAACAAATGATCATAAATTCTATTTATCCAGAAACTGCCGACCAAAAGCGACAAACACATTTCAAAGAAGGCTTTTCTTTCATTGCATATAATTATAAAATACAAGTTCCTTAATCGATCCCGTTTAACTATCAAGTAACTAAGGACAATACTCTTTTTTACTCTTTTTATTTCTACGAATTTTGTGAGATTAGAGCCAAGTGTGAGTGTAAGACACCCATCTTTCACGACTTCCTTGTCCATAAACGTGTTTGTATGTCTCCCCACGCTTAGAAGTATTACCGGCTCTTAAAAAGCATTTTCAGCTCGTAAAGTCACACGTAGGAAAGTTTGCGTCGTGGTAATCAATCTTGTGATAAATTAAGCTGTTAAAGTTTCCGTTCAGTCTCTAATCTTTGAATACAATTTTCTTTCAAATAGATAAATTTAGTCTTCGAATTCTTAAATAAGAGAGGTGTCTTTTTTTACACATGAACTGCAGCTTGTAATAATGAAATAAAGTTTTTAAAACTTCTGTAACTTCGCAAAAATGTTACCAAATTTATTTTGTGGATTTTGAAAAAAAAAAGCATTTCTGGGATAACAAGGGATAGCTTAAGAAATATTATGATCGTGCAATGAGAAAAGTAATTCAACTAATGCTCTGTAATTAGGAAATTGACCCAAATGTACAGATAAAATGAGAGAATTTCACTAAAGTTATGTGTTTGGCTCCTTGCACGGATAGAAAAACTTGTAACAACCAAAAAGAAGAGGTAGTAGAAAAGTGTAAAAGACTTCACTAACTTATTGAGGGATACCCAGAGTTACTCACAAACTTGTTCTGTTTTACGGCAGCTTCCCTCAGGGATTAACTTTATTTTGAATATAGATGTTTGAAAACACATTCGAGTCATTCGGCTCTTATCAGTGGCTTCAAGACTGAAACATAAGGAATTTAAATTTTACCAGGATCTTTTCCCTTTACTTTAGTTAGGTGTTCCTCAAAAGAGGATGGGCCCTAAATACACGTATCTACAATTCAAAGTTTCCCTCGGTTCAGTGTTATGAGGATTACTTCGCTCCTTAAACTGCAGTATCACGAAAATAGAGTGTTTTCACATGACTGACGTCGCATCCGCCATATTGGTGTCCCAAAACAATGAAACGGTGGCCATGTTAGTGTCCCAAACCAGTGCTGTGGTAGTCTGAAATGATAGTTGTCTCTTTCCCCCCTCATAGGGGGAAACTCCCTATTGTCTCTTTGTAAGAGTTTTTTACATGATCAATTAACATAGAGCTTTTTTAGCAAGAATCCCAATTTTTCAGCCTAATGCCACTCAATGGTGAGACGTTTTAAAACCCCGGTAGTGTGAGCAGCCTTTCATGGGATGGATGGGTAATTTTAAAGGGGTTGATATCAATTGGGTTGGTCACTAGTGGCGAAAAACATCGGTGTCGTGCTCGGTTCCAAGCCTCCTCCGCCGCTCACTCGGATAGCGCGAACTGGGGCGAGACTGAAGTCGATCATTTTATGAAACGAACTAAATTTACTTAAATAAAATATTGGTATGACAATGTATATTTCGTCTCGTTCGCGAGAAAATTTATTACTTATCATAAGCTGTCAGTTAAAAATACCATGTGACCAACGAGTAACTCTCTGGCCGAAACCTAGAAATGACCGACTTGGAGAAAGAGCTAAACTTCTCAAATGTCTCGTGAAATTTAAGGTCTAGCTAAAAAAAACATGCATGTTAAATGGAAGTCCTGAAAACGCTCTTAAAATCAGCAAATCCATTATGCAAATTCTTTGTTTTTGACATTTCTGTCATTTAGAGTTTTAATTGGGCCGTCTTTTAATTAAATTAAATTTACTCTTTCGTAATTTTATATTTTTTATGGTTACTACTTTCATTATTGCGATTAATATATTTTTTGTGTTATTCCGCTACGCTTCTACCATAATATTTTAATTTGACATTGAAAAAATCAAAGCGTTTTAGTACTATGATTTTCAGTCACAGTCATTGTCCAACACGTCTTACGTTGAAAAAAAAAAACGCATCGCTCTTTTTTTTGCAAATTACAGTTGGTCTGCAGCCCACTGTCCCAACCTCAAAACAAACTCTGGTTAAAGGACTATAATTTAAAATAGTTATTTTCAGAGAGACAGGTGCAAATTGTTAGTCAATAAACGAATTATTCGACCACGGAAAGGCGACAAAAATTCAAAGAGCTAGGCGAGGAAATGACAATCTATTTTATAGTGAACGTGGCTGTTATTTTCACAGCTTTTGTGGGGAATCTCCTGGTCATCCTGGTTGTCACCTTTAACAGAATTTTCCACAAAATGAAACATTTTCTTCTGGCAAGTTTGGCACTGTCCGATTTCATATTTGTGACCTTTATCCAAATTTCCCGGTTAGTTTCCGTGGCGTACAAAGAATGGATCTTTGGTGAACAGATGTGTCAAGGTACTGCATTTCTCGTCCGAATTCTGTACGTCAACACTTTTTTTCATCTTTGTGCCGTGTCCTACGAACGATACCTAGCCATAGTCAAGGATCATCTCACCTATGACGGCCGCATTACAGCTAGAAAGATCGTCTTATCCACCATTGTACTGTGGATTCTGCCAACTATAATCTCTCTTGGCCCATTTCTTGGCTGGGGAGCTTTCGAGTACAAACCAATACTTTATGCATGCGGACAGCGTTTCGACAGCGAGACAACGTTCCCGTTTCTACTCATGTTCATCGCACCACTTCTGTTTATTTACCTGTTGAACTACAAAGTGTTTCAAACTGCAAGACGGCTTGAGCGAGAAGTCAGAATTAGGCTTGGTAGCATCAACGAGATGAATGTTCAAATGACGCCGCAACTTGAGCAATTTAGTGATCGAAACGGTATCATTTGTCAGCACCAAGATGAAGGGAATCTCGAGGTTATGAGTCAGAAAGAAGAGAGTTTTAGAAGGGAACGAGCCGTCACTGAAGAGGTTGCCAGCGAAAACCCATATCACAAGATGTGGAACTATAAGTTCTGTAGAGCTAAACAACTAAACCTTGAGCCTTATCAATCCAGTGCTCAGTATGATCATATAATGAAGTGCAGTGATGATTACCATCCAGAGACAAACCAGCCACACTCACCGGTAAGGGAACCACACCCAGGTCCCGAAAGAGTCGTTGTTCCAGCTGTTGCTCAGCAACGTAGCCAAACGGGTGCAAAGAAAACGCCGGCTACAAGGGGTTTAGTTAAAATTCTAAAAGAATGTAAAGCCGCTAGAGATGTCATGATTACAGCTGGAGCACTTGTGGTGTGCTTTCTGCCCGTCTGGATCTTTAACATCTACTACATGTTTAAAGACGAAGCTCCAAGTAGTGGGGAAATGATACTGATCAGCAGCTTGTACTGCTCAACAACTATATGCAATCCCATAATTTATTCAGTCCGTACGAAGCAATTTAGACAAGCAGTAACAAAAATGTTTAAGATAAAGCACGAGTAAAAACTTCTAGACTTAGAAGGCGTTGATGTTTGATGAAACGAATGGTTAGACTTTCTAGTCTTCTCGGATAAGGACGAAAAACCGTAGGTGTCGTCTCACAGCTCTTTCACTGACTTGTTCTTGTGGGACGTAAAAGAACCCACATCACTGTTCGAAAAGAGTAGGGGTCGTAAACCCCGGTGGTGTGGCCAACCTTTACGGGTTGTGGTATTGGGTAGGGATGGCACCTCGCATGGGACCTGAGTCCCGTTCGTGCACATTCCCTCTGGGCAGGACTGTGTCCAGAGAAGCTGGCAAATAAACAAGCCCATGTGGGTGGGATACAGTCTGGTATTGTGTGTGCTACGTCTGAGATGGCATTGATCTTCATTGCTTTCACGGGTTAACAACAAATCGGTCTGCTCCAAATGTATGGGTTTTCATAGCACAGTTGGTAGAGCACTGCGGCGCCAACGCGGAGGTCACGGGTTCGAATCACGTTGAAGTATGGTTTCGGGTCATAGCACCTCTCCATGGTCCATCAACACGAAACACGAACCTTCAGGGATAGTGCTACAATCATATAATAGCGATGAAAATATATTAACTAGTTGACCAAGTGGAAGTATTTTCTCTTTAGAGACCGTCGAGGTTGGCGCCCTTGCAAGCGCAAGGGGGTGGCGTCGCGCTCTGTCGAAAAAAAAAAAAAAACGAAAAACGTTTGTGGACAGACTAGAGGACAATTCGATGGCAGTACTTTCCTGTGGCACCTTTTTTTTTCGCCGTTAAAGGTTTGTCATTGAAATCTGAATTTCTGGGCCACTAGTACAATGCCTAGGAATTAGATCCAAATGCAGGTGACCTTTTCACTCTTTGATGATTTGTCTGTTATTTCTATCAATGAATCTCTCTTAAGCGCCATTTAAATCGATAATTTTAATTTATACCTTCTTCAATAAATACGATTATAAATATAACTGCGATCATATAACATTAACCTTCAGAATAACATGGATGCTTTAAATTGTTCTTTTCTTTTCTATTAAGATAGCAGCAACGAAGAGATATCTTATTAAATGATCTGCATAGCCGTAAATGTAAAAGAAAGTAACTCGGCATGACAAAAAAATCAATCTTGTCTTTCAAAGGCTTCTTTTGAAGGCATTGCAGATTATGTTGTTCTCTCCAGTAATGAAAGCTCCGCCTTAAAAGAAAAATAAAAAGGGCCATTAGACGCGGCAACGACAGCTACCTCCAGTAATATTTTAAGAAGACAGCGTGAGGAGGCAGCGTGGCCGAGCGGTTATAGCGAGCGTTGGACGCGAAATCCGGAGGCAGCATGTTCAAGCCACGCCCTAAGCTCTAGCTGGATTTGTTCTCGGTTGTCTCCAGTTCAAATCCTTGGCCACGCTTGTATAAGCCAACTGGTTTTGCCACTGCAGATCAGTTGGGATTCTCAACCTTGTTTTGTTTATTTAAATTATTTCTTTCAGTAATTGGCTCGACCCTACTACCCTTTGGGCAGTTACTACTGCCCAAAGAAAGGAAGTTTTTATTTCTTATTTTTTTTAAGAAGGCAAAGATCACAGCTGGTTTAGCATACAAGTTGTGCTATTAAAATTTGCGATACTTTAACGTGCTAACCTTAATAAACTACGCTAACACCGCGGAGAAAAAATGTGTTAGTTTGCCTATATAAAAAATTATTAGCACTGCTCTCGCAGAAACAAACACAGAGACGTTTAATACGAGGCATGTGGGCAGGCTCACTTAAGCGGACTTGAGGAAAATTATTTTGAAGGCAGAGCCGCCATCCAGCAAGGAAAAGTCACTCTTTCTCGGCCCATTGGCGGCTTGGCCGCCAAAAATTTTCCCCGAACACCCACAAGTGAACCTCTGCGCGCAGGCTATCAATACGTACCTCATTATGAGTTCTACCCATGACCTTCATATAAATCATCACCAAAGTCTCCGGAAGAAGTACTTTGCTGACGTAATCAAAGTACTAGCGAGAAAAAGAATAAAACACAATCACACCTGACAGGCAAAGCAATCTGTAATCGGGGTCCCGTCTACGCGTATCCGTATTTTTAGAATCCAGAAGTTATTTTTGCCGATTCAAAAATATTTGCGTACACACGTATCTTTTTCGAATCACTTCCGCTCGTCCACGAAACGTATCCTTTTCCGTTTGAAAATGGATATATTTTTTTAAACAGACTGACTCATTCTTTTAGGCACTGAGATCCATTTATACCAACCTCGTCCCGAGGGCTCTTTTCCCAGGAAAAAGCGCCCTGGGGACGAGGTTGCCATTTATACATCTGGTTGGAAGAAGATATACCGTGGAGCTGTTCTATGTTTAAAGACTCGAGCCCTGGCCGCCAGATCTGTGGTTCTGTGCCTCCGCTTCCAGAAACGGGAAGCTTACATTTATCGTTCTGAAAGCACAGTTTCATTACTTCGTTACTAAAAGCAATTTGGCGGATTTTTCGTAGTCTGCGAATGCGTGGCAGGCGTTAAAAGGGGAAGGGGAAAGAGGAATTCTCCTTGGGGTGCGGCCAAGGGGAGGGGGGGGGGGATAGCCGGAACTGAATATCTCTTTTTCCCCCTTCTCAAGCGCCTGCCATTCCCCCTTCCTCTTCCTCGTTTAAGCCTGCTAAATTTTTTGTTTATTATGATTTGGATAATACCTGCAGATCATCTGAGTTTACAGTATAATTGTTGTACCTTGCTGTGCTTGTAACAGAACATAGCCGTTAGCACCTCCATGATTCTGTCTCGCTGCTCCTCAGAAAACTGGCCAAACTGTACTTGGAATGCTAGATCTCCTACAACATAAGGACAAGGTCAAGGTCAGGTAGACACCCTCACAAACCAAAGAAAGAAGTCATAGTCAACCCAGGCCACCTTTCATCGGGCGCGTTCTACCTTTTGCGTTTTCCTTAACGATCTACGATTCGCAAAAGGGATGTAGACAGCGTAGAGAAAAGTTTAAAGTTGATTTAACCCTAGTCTGTCAAAAGAGGTAATCAAGGCACCCTATCAGTTTCTCGCTACTGGTAGGAGGGACGAGCGAGGGGAAGCAGCAAGTCATATGAAGGTTTTTCGGAATTGTGGACAATCTTTTTCGAAACGCTTTGCTCTTCCCCAATAATAACTGCAAAGGTACTACAGAACTTGATCTCATTTGTACTTCATGAATTCTTACTCTAACAAGTTTCAATGTATTGTTTTGTCACGTTTTTAATTTCCCGTTACGTACATTTTGATTAAAAACAAGTGTCTTACCTTTCATACGCCCGCCCTTCTTATAGTCTTCATGACGTCGAGAAAATCTCTACAAAAGGAGAGGAAATTATAAGAAAAACAGTAAATATTACACTTTTATAGGAAAATCAGTTTGTTGTGTTCACCTTTACGAACCACGGATCAATTCTTACAACACTGAAGCACATTTAACTCTGCGTATCCAGCTCTAATTTTGTCCCGTTCATTAAACTGTTCAAGATGCCTCTCACTTGTTCGTTCTAAATTAGTTCTAAATTAAAAGTTAAATTTTGTTTGACTTCTAAACTTTTTCTCAGGAAACATCAGGACTTCAGAAGAAAAAAAAACTGTTTCCGTCAAGAACCAAAAATGAACTATATATTACCTTGCCCTCAAATATTTCCCTGATTTCACTTGCAAATTCCCACACCAGCCGTTCGGTTTGGTCTTCAGTGAGTTCCTCAATGGTACTGTAATGAACAAAATATGGAAGAAATATAGGTATAATAAACCATTTATTATATGGTTTAAGAAGTCATTTGTTGTGCTGTGATAAGTTAATTAGAGCGCTTAAGCAACCACCACCACCACGACAACCTCAAAAACCAATTGGTTTCCTGAGCAAAGCAACAGCTTTGCTACTACGACGTGAAACCTGCTATTGCGACGTTTTATGGAGGACGTGAACATACGACGGTGAATTTTCCTTTCCTTTTTTGAACTTGGATAAACTCCTTAAGAATTCAACTCCAGAAAAAGTCGGCTACATTTGACAAATTGAGCGGGTCCAAATAGAAGCAACAAAGGTTGAAACTGGGACGCACATTCAATTTTTAGCGACGTTTTCATTGCCTTCGTTGAAGCTCCCTCGATTTCCGGTCGGGAACTCCTGGTACGCACTGAGGATGAAATAAAAAAGATTTTTTTTTTCATACAATTCTGCCGCAACAAGTGCGTCTATCTCGACGAAAAAGCCAGTAAAATGTAATAAGAGGTATACTATAAAGAGTTTTCTCGAATAAGCGCTTAAGTGACATAGGGTGCTTGAAAAATAAATTCTTCACAATAGACGTTGATCACATAACCTAAGAAAAGAAATACCTGACATTGAGGACAACAGGAGGTCTGTCTTCAATCGTGATTGGTTCCAATGGACTCGAACCGGGCTCCTCATCTATGTAAGAAAAAAAAATTCAAAAAGCAAGACTGTGTTTGCTAGAACAAAACTGCAAGTTTAGTTATAGACCAGGACACAAAATATGACATAACGTGCAAAATTGCCGAAATGCATTGCATTACTAGATTTTGTGCGGACCCCTGCAGTTGTTGCTGGATCGAAATGATCTCTTTTCGTCTGCAACACGTTAAGGCTCATTCTCCAGCAATTGGTGTGTCGATGCAACGGTGATAACAATACGTTGGGCACAACATTTCAGCGTGTGTCTACAACAATAAAATTGCAATGTTAATAATCACCTCTTACGTCTAAATCCGACCACTGGTCAAAAATGTCGCCCTGACGTGCGCAAATAGCCGCTAAGAGCAGCCTCGAAAATCTTACACACAATAACTCCGCTAGTGCTATTGTAAGTGGATTACATTCTCACAATACTCAATTTCCTGCGAAATGTGGTCTAGCTCTGGCTTCTAATGTAACATTACTAACCCTCTAAAATATCGCTTGTAGCTTTACTGGAAGTCGTCACTTGCCGTTTCTTAAGCTTCTTTTTGACTGGTTTATTAGTCTGACTTTTCAACGAAGCTTCAGAGGTTATATTTGTCCTGCTAGCTTTTCTTCTCTTGTAGCTCAACTCCTTTTCCACACTGGTACTTGATCCTGATTGTTCACATGTTGACATACGCGAGCAGACTCCTTGATCATCAGACAGATCCGATCCTGTTCTCTTCTCGGTATTTCGTCTCACCTTTGGCGTCTCAAAATCATTATCTTCAACAAACAGTGCACTGTCTGCACCAGATTCTTTGCTCTTGCCTTTATCTTGATTTACATTCACAGTCTTCTGTCTCTTAAGAGATGCTTTCTTGGCTAACCGCGACCGTAAAGAAGGCGGCAATTCTGAATCAGACTCTGAATTGGATCTCGGACGTTTTAAATTTGCCGTAATTGAGCTGGACGACTTTAAACTGTCAACTTTGTCACTGACAACAGTAACTGTTCCCTGTTTAGTCATATCATTAACAGTTTTATTCTCCTCATTATCAGTTAATTCAAATTCTCCACTCTTAGAAAAGTTGCCAGATGGATTTTGGACAGGAGTGCTGTTGCCACATTCGTGTTTTGTCTCCTTTAAATTAACAATGTCTTGACATGGTAAGCTGCCATTAATATCTCGTTTTTCATCAAGCTGTTTAGCCCTTTCCTTGATTTCAACCTCGACAAAGTCACCAGAGCTACTGGTTCTCTTTTTACTGCTTCCTTCTGATGTGCGTACAGGCTGTTCTTGCACGTTCTTTGAAGCAACAACTAATTCAGCTGCTAAATTTTCTTGACTCTCAACTTCACCACGACGATTTACCCACGTGATTTGGTCATGGTATTTTGCTCGTTCACTCTCTTTTCCCACATGACTTCTGTCTGTTTCACCTCTTTCTTTCACAGAGCTGCAATCATTGTCAGAAGTGACACTAAGAAACGGACTGACCTTTTTCTGTGGGTCTTGCTTCTTATTCCTACATGGATAAGAAACATAAGAACAGACATAACATTACAGGGTGCAAAGAAAGTCAGTTTTACAGCTTGCCATTCGGGCTAGCTGTAGCTAGCATGTACTAGCCCAAACATCACTTTAACAAGCCCTAAAAGCGTTTTGATGAGCAGGTTTGAATACACAGTCCTTCCGTAAATTGAATTCCCAAAAAACTTCACTTGCCCATCGGGCAAGCTAAGAACAAAAGTCACTAGCCCGATAGCAAAATCCTCTAGCCGCAGGCTATCGGACAGTACTTTCTTTGCACGATGTCACAAAATTTGCGTGGCTGTCGTGGGTACAAAAGGTGAGAACTAACTCAGTTTAAGTCAATTGTTTGTCAATTCAACATCCCTTAACAACATCTATCTTATGAAATGTAGTTAAAATGTTAAATTACGACCTTTTGATCACAAATTAATGACCGAGGAAAGACGTAGACAATTCTACACTTCAACACCTTGTTTTGTTTCTATTTTTACACAACACAAAAGTTAACTCTTCTCTACAACCAAAAAAACCATTATCCTCTTTTCGTTCTAAACTGTGTGCCTGACTTCACTGGAAAAAATTAATTACCGGTAAACAACTCTCTAGCCACTAGCGTCATTTTGCATAGTGCCCTAACACATACATTGTACTTACAAATTCTTAAGAGCAGCTCTCCCTTTCTGAGTTGAAGGTGTCATTTCAGTAGTGCCTTTTTCAAAATATTTACTGATGGAAGATTTCGATTTGGATGGTCCTTTTTTTGCAATATCTTGAGCCAACTTGAAAGTAAAAAGAAGCAAGAAAAATGATAGAAATATTTACATAAATTATTACAACAAACTTAACTGAAGGAAAGAATATAGTTGAAATTCAAGGATTCAAAGTGGCTTGGAGGTAATATAGAGGTGCCAAACTCTTCATTCTTATGGTCCCCTGGTCCTTGAAACTTTCTATTTTAGTCTTTAACTTTGTACTTGCCGATATAATAATATTATCAGGTGACAATTAAGAGGAAATATTCTGTTTCTCCTTTTCTTTGAAAGATTACATTACATAACAGTACATAAAACTGAGCTCTGATTGTATGCATACCCCTTGTACTGATGTGGTGGGATCCAAATCAATTTGGCTGACAGTTACTTTAATCTTCTCTGGAAAGATATTTACACACTGATAACCACCACCTAACAAGAGACAAGTTAACACACAGATCAGTAATGTTAACATCATTTGTAAGTTTGAAAGGATTACAGGGATTGGAGAAAATTGAAATTTCAGCTTAGATTAGAACATGACTTATCTGAACCTTTGCCCATTGGGCAAGTAAACATGAAAAGTTACTTGCTCAACAGGAAAATCTTGTTGTGCGGGACCAACAGATCCGCCAGATGGGTGGGGAATTTTTCCAAGGCTAGAATCAAATTTGGTGCATTCTCACCTGAATAATCAGCCTTTTGTGTATTTTTCCTTCCACCATCCAAAAGTGCTTTCTTTAAGAGAATGAACAGCAACAAATATAACATACATGCCTAAAGTTTGAAATCCATTAATCTATAATAATTATAGACTACTGGATTGCTTTGTTTTGTTTTTGTTACGGAATCTTTTGTGAATGTATTGAAATTATTTTTATGCAAATGATTCCTTAACAAAAACAAAACAAAGCAAATGACCAGTAACCTGATTTCAGAGCTCACTTCTTTCTACACTCACTTTCTTATGTTTGATGTTAATACATCAAACATTATAAGACAGAGAGTTTTATCTGATATCCAGCCACTAAGATGTAAGTTGAGACACTGAAGCATAGACTACTCTGTTTTTTAGACTGATCTCAGGGTACATATTCCTGAACATTTTGGTAAAAGACAACGTTTCATACAGCTCCTCAAATTATCAATGATTTTGAAGGAATTTTAGGCAAAGTTCCAAAAATTCTATGACAATATTATTATCCAATCTCAAAATTCCTTTATGGTAATAATTTCTTTTGTTTTCTATTAAATCATAAATTATTCATAGCATTTGAGGAGTATGTGCATTGCAGGAAATATAATAGAGTGCTCCACTTACGACCACGTTCCATTAATGTCAATATTGTTCTCACCTGTTTTGAAAGACACAAAGCAATCTGTTTAGATTGCCTTCTTCTCACAAAATAATATTGTATAAGAAGCTCAGGATCTATGGTGAAATGAGTAAAACATCATTGAAGGAGCAAAGATAATGTTAAATAACTTTAGAAGAAATGTTGTATCAGTCTACATTCTCTAGTGGATGAGGGATCTTAATCCATGTTTTAAACATTTTAGAGTTCAGACTCTAGTGATTACATTTTCCCAGGAGTGGGTTACTACATTATTTATTATTACAACAATACAGTTGTAACTGTAACCACACACAAAGACATGACTTTCCCTTGCTTGGTGGGTGAGTTTGAAGCTGGGCTCATAAAGACCTCAGCATATTTACGAACTGACTGTATAACACCGCAGGTGCTGAAAAATAAAATGGTAACAGTAGATGGGGGAACAAGATCAGGAAGTTAGAACATTGGAAATTGCAATCAGGAGATCTCAGATACATGTCCTCCTCTAATCATTAGTTGCAGTTGTTTCTTGGTATTCTGAAGATGGAAAGATTGTAAAATACATTGTAGTTGCACTTCTGTTAAAAGTGGAAACTTGAATAGACTTTCACAGACTGATTGGCTATCAAGGAACAAAGTGGCCCTACAACTCAACTTTAAAGATTTAAGACGTTGTCTTACCGGGCAGAATATCAGCATTATCACGGACCAAGCTTTTCCCCGATTTCTTTACTTTATTAGTTTCTGGTGGAGCTAAAACTCTTGCTAGAATAACATCCTCCAGTTTCAAAATTAGCCTCTATGGAAAAAGATTTAGAAAGTGTGTGAAGTATTTCATCTTTCTCATGCCAAAGCTGCGCTCTAAGGAAAAATGAAGGAAGCCCAGCATTCTGAACCTGTAAAAGCCAGAGGGCCCAGCATATGATTTTCATGAAGAAAACTAAGATTTCCTAGTCGCCCAAGAGCAAAAGAAAGGCGCAAGGGACACTGGGCACTGCTAGCTCCATCACAGCCCTGTATGCTTCCTATATACTAGTCATTAATTTACATCATTTGTTATTAGGATCAACAATTTGAAATAGACCTTGAATTAGTAATAAGATGAACTACCTGTACTTACAGAAAAGTGTTCGTCAGTGAACCATCTGTAACTGTTGGCTTTATTAATCCTTGCAGGCTTGACACCAATTTCCACTATCATAATCCCTTTTCCACATACCTTAAAATAAGCAGATCCCCAAAGTTTAAGCTTTGTTATTAATGGTTAACTTCCTACATCTGCATCCCCAATTCAACTCTTATACATATCTTGGTCAATGTATCGGCCCAGTGTCGGTCGATATGTCGATCGAGATATCAGTCCAGTGTTGGTTGCATATCGACCGATATATCGGTCGAGTGGTGGTCGATATGTCGACTGATATATTGGTCGAGGGGTGCACAAATTACACATGATCCAGATTTCCCAGGTTAGTGTAGGGGTAGAGAAAGCCCAGCAGTGCACCCCCACCCCTCTGAGATGCATCCAGCAACATAGGAAGGGGGATTGCATAGGCGTACGGGCCGGGGGGGCGAGGGGGGCGAGGGGGGCTGCAGCCCCCCCAAATTTTGGGCAACTCAGATTTTTTGGGCAGCGAGAGAAAATTTGGGCAAAGCCAGTTTTTAAGGACGTCTCCATTTTATTTAGTTATTTTAAAGACCTGAATATTAACCTGAAGTCGGCGTAATAATCCAGTTACATTACAGTGGTTGCTTAGCATGTGATGAGTAATTTACATATTTGCAGTTTTTTTTGGTTGGGCACTATACTGCACTGCACTAGCTGGAATGGGCTATTTCAAGTCGAGAATTGATTAAAATAAACTTTCGCATAACTTTCTAGAATCATCTCCACCCGATCGAACAGTGTATGGCAGATAGCATTTAGCAATGGGTATTGCCTGCATAGCAAGCGTTTTCCTGCGAGTTCGACTGGAAACGCTTGCTACGTAGGGCTACAATGGGTATGAAAATTAAGAAGTGGCTGACTAATTCTCAGTTTGAATTACGAGAAGAATCTTAATTCGTTTAAAAAATCTATTGAGTGGTTTAAAATAATTCGCTTATTTGTTAAAGTAGACCGAAATGTTTACAAAACTGCTAACAAGAATGTCTCGGTACATACTAATCAAATCCTTCTTTCGATTCTAGCAATCAAGCAGAGCCATTTCCACGATCTTTCACACATGTTTTTAAAAAGACTAAAACTACTATGAGGTGAAATTGCAGGTCAAAAGCGCTTCGTACTCTACAGATAACGGCCAAAAATGAAGATTTTCCTTTTCCTACCGAATTTCTAATAATAAAAACCTCATTGCAAAATATCTCGATAACGCTCTTAAGGTTTTGCTTAAACTTCACGAACATCCAGGCGACCGTAAGCTTGTAAGGTTCCCGTCCCGAGAATCATTGCTGAAGTAAAATAGGTAATGAAGTCATTTCATTGCTATGACAACTCCGATGTCATTGCGACCCTGATGGTCGCAGTTTTTCCAAATGTTTGTTTATGGCGACGTAGTTTATGCTCAGACTTGGTATTGACCATTAAAAACTGTGTCGAGCCACCTTCATATGTCAGGACGGCCTATGTTGTTGCAATATGGCCCTCATTTCTTTTCGACTCTTTCGTAAAAATTTGGGCAACTTGTGAGGTGTTTTTGGGCAAATGGTTTACCGCCCCCCCTGGCAAAAAAATTCCCGTACGCCTATGGGGGATTGAGAGGTGCTTTTAACTTCCCTGCCTTTATGAGAAGAATCACTAGAATCCTGTCTCTCAATGATGATATTTCAGCCTTCTTACATGCAAATGTTTTGCAATAACCATGGTTTGAAAGTGTTGCATCAAAGATCTTTCATCTGTCATTCTTGAATGAGTCAAAATTTTGTCTTTATAAACAACATAATATTTGGTTCTTCATTTCATGCCACTCCCCTCCCCATGCAACAGCTTATCTGAGAAATAATTTCTCTTTCAGTCACAGAACGGATGTCAACATGTCAATCTGGTAAACACCCTGGGGGTGTAACACTATGTGACCCCCCCTGAAAAATCCTAGCTACTCTTTCAGCACCTATGTATTTCCGTTTTTTACAGCCAAGCCAAACGAGCGACCAATACAAGCACGGCTTCAAAAGTGCCCCTGTCTGCTAACCCTGACCATCAAACGTAAGACATTTGTTTGTAGATGATATACCACGTATTAAAAACATTCTCCCTCGGTGTATAAAGCGAAATGGAAAGATCAGCATCAAAATTGCATTGCTCGAGCAACCTTTGAATAATCTTAACTTTTAAAATTTTTAATCATATGGCTACACTTACCTTTGCAAATATTGTACTGTTCTTCGCAATCAGGGCCATTACAATCAAAATATAAAACAAAATACCCGTCAACTCAACCCAACAACAAACCGACATGAACCGCAACTTCGGAAATCAGGCGCGAAATGCTCAGTCAGAACATAGGACTGGGTAACAGCCCATGAAAAGGGAAAGGACTGGGGATTAGTATGTTTAAAAATGGCGCCTATGAAGAGGATTTATTACGTCTAACCAAGAGGAAGTGTTTTTTATCATGAATATTTCATTTGAAGTTGCCTAGCATACCGCAAACTTACGAAAGGACCTGTATTGCTATCAACGGTTGACTGCCTCTAAAACTGGACGTGGGAACATGGCGAAAAGTTACGATTACTTGTTTAAAATTCTGCTTATCGGGGATTCGGGTGTAGGAAAAACTTGCATTCTGTGCAGATTCGCGAACAACGAATTCAACAGATCGCACATCTCAACGATAGGTAAGCCTATTCGCAGTTCTCCTTGCTTCAAAATCATTGTTTATATCAGCAGGTAGTTAAATACCTGCCACTCAAGATGCTAAGAGAAAATGTCCCTGATTTGTGTTTTCACAGGAATTGATTTCAAAATGAAGACGATCGTAGTGGAAGGCAAACGAATAAGGATACAAATGTGGTAAGCTAGGCCTGTATGTCGATCGGTTTCCGGTCATTCGGCTTAATGATTTTTATAACTGTAGGGAATAAGTGGGATTTTGAATTGTTAATAATTTGTACTGTACGTCTATTATATTAATGTTAATCGTTATCGGGATTCGAAACCAAAGTGTACCAAACTACTACTTTATCAGGAACGCTTTGGCTCAAAACTACCGCGTCACCACAGGAAGCTTTGAACTCTATAGAGCTAAATTTTCGTGGCTCTTCTTACCCACAGCGTTTCGTTTTTTTCTATAGTTATCGAAATGACTGGCTGATTCGAAAATCTTATCTAGTGTTAATTTTTTTGTTTTTTCTTTACTGAAAATCAATATATATAAGCTTAAATGCACGGTAGCGTGACCTTGGATGATCAAAAAAACAAACCAACGCGAGGATGCGGTAGTTTGACGTAGAGCTATGTATCGATATATTTCTCAACCTCCTATGATAGATTTGTGCGAACAGGAAAGAAAAAGAAATTAAACTACACCTATAAGAGTTCAACTGGTCATCTGACAACAAATTAAATTTTAAGCATCCAAGATAGCTATTTTGCCCAGTCAGTTCTGTTACCAATACATCAGCTATATTCGCTTTTCTTTGAATTCAAGGACGGGTGCCATAATATATCGGCATGAAAACATTAATTTTAGGCACAAATAAACTCAGCTGCAACGTCCTATTTCACTTTCTTCCCCTTGTTTTTTCAGCTGTCCGTTTCTGGTGAATAAAATTTCATTCAGATCAGATTGTGCAGTTAACTGCTCTAAGACGGTCGAACTTAAAGTTGATATTTCTCTCACTGTTATCTGAATAGCCACTTGTCTTATGTGTTTTCTTTTTGCCATGATATAAAGAGCAGCTAAGGGTTTTATTCACGAAGAATATCATAGGTATTGCATTAGAAGGTCAATAAGTAAACTCAAATGTCTTGAACTGAATGTCCCCGGCTTTAAGTATCTACAGAAATATATCTTCATTGAATATTTAAATGATGGAGTTGTAGATTTCCCATTTACACACCCAAACATAAGTTGCATTCTAGTAGATTTTATTTATATTTCCTTTTCTTAACTTTTGTTCAACAATAACTTGGATTACATTGACAGAAATTATGCAAAGGGAGTCTGTAATTGAACATCTTTGACACAATATGGTTAACAAATGATATCATATTTTTTTCTTACATAATCTAATAGTTTATTGTTGTGACTACACTTTTCTTTATTCTTTTGGGTAGTCGTAAAACACAGAAGAAGTGTGGTTAACCATGTGTATAAACGGTTTTCATTATATTAGTTTTACTTGTTGCTGTTTCATTCCCCAGTGCATTAAATAGTGAGTTTGAAAAGTAACTTAATGATGGATATTTTGTTTCATTAGGGACACAGCTGGTCAAGAAAGATATGAAACAATAACAACACAGTACTACAGGCGAGCGCATGTGAGTAATAAACACCCTATCATGGAGAAAACTTTTCTTGAAACACTTAAAAGAAAGTTCATCAGCGGTGTTTCAGAACCTATCCACATCCAAGAGCTCTGTTGATGTTTCAATAATAAACTGATCTATAACGTGTTATAAAAAGATCTTCACTCTTTTATTGACCCTTTTAGTTCATCTAGAAACAAATAAATAGCTGAGAAGAATATAAAAAAGTGTTTTAATTTTACGACTATATATATTCATATTCAAATCTGTTTCATCTTTTTGCAAGTTTTTCCAAAAAACGGGGTGCAAAGAAAGTCAGTTTTACAGCCTGCCATTTGGGCAAGCTGTAGCTAACATGTACTAGCCCACAAGCCATTTCAACTAGCCCCCAAACCCTTTTTGATAAGCAGGATTGATTACAATCCTTCTGTAATTTGAATTTCCCCCAAAAAATAGCACTTGACCGTCGGGCAAGTTAGAACAAAAATCACTAGCCCGATAGCAAAATCCACTAGCCCCGGGCTATCAGACATGATTTTCTTTGCACTCTGAAAAATGTGACACTTCTCCTGTGAAAGATGCATTTAGTTTTTGTTATTTTTTACTAATAATAATAATTAAGATTCGTCTGTTAAATTATCAACTAAATTTTGATTTTTTTTATTGTGATAAGAAGATGACATACCCAAACAAAAATTCACCACACAAGATAATGAGTATTTCTATTCTTTTTCCCCATTCAGGGAATAATTCTGGTCTATGACATCACAAGACAAGAAACTTTCAATAACATTCGAAAATGGCTTAGATATGTTGATGAGGTAAGTGTTGTCTCGTCAAATAATCCTTAAATAGCTTTATTTGACAAGAAAGTAGGAACTTCCTATTTAACATGAAACAAGGAAGTGTCAGAGACATTGCTTCCTGTTTTCTCTTCTTAATATGGAACAAGAAAATTATGTATGAAGCAAAGAAAAGTTATCCTATTTTTCGTTAGACATCGAAAATCTGTACAGTTTAAATAAATAATTTTTTATTGGTCTTGCCACTGGTCAGCTTTCCAGTAAGTGGACCCCAATTAAAGAGTTTAGCTCTCTGATTCAGGCTAATTTACTTGAATTCAAACCAATCTTTACATGGTGCTGTTGTAAATCTCAAAGCAAAATATATCCTATGCCCTTTTTCCACAGCACAAGTTTCTCTTGTTAATTATTTTCATTTTAATTCCAATTTAGCATGCTAACAACAATGTTCAAAGATTACTACTTGCAAACAAATGTGATGCAGAAGATGAGAGAAAAGTATGGAAAGATCAGGGAGCTAGGGTAAGTATTTTGTTGTGTTTTAAATAACCGTCCTGGAGAATTTTTTGTAGACTTTCTTCACTACTTGTGTCTGATTTGTCACCTTTTTATCGGCCTTAACCTTTTAAGCCCCAAGAATGATCAGCATCAAATTTCTCCTTGTAATATCAATGCTTTTGTAAAACAGAGTGGTCATGAAAATTACGGACATGATCACACAAGATGAATTTGCTTGATATTTTATCAACTTCTCCCTACTACTTCTGTAGGAAATGAATAGGGGCAACACATGAGAATTCAAATTTTGATCTTAGGGTTTAAAGGGTTAAATCGCTGACTGGCTCACTAGTTGTAAGACTTGTTGTCTCATGAGACTCGTAACCCGCAAAATAATAGCCTATCAAAAATTTGGAAGCCTGCTCATTAATATAATGTTCTTTTTTTATTCAGTTTGCGGCAGAAAAAAACATTAAATTCTATGAAACAAGTGCCCAGTCAAATATTAATATAGATGAGGTAAGGGTATTATAATTCCTTGATATTTAAGTGTTCTGAACAAAAATAATGTAGAAAAAAGCATATGCACTCTACAATAATTTGAATAACTTTGACTCTGATGAGGAGCTTCATACAATCAGTTGTTAGCAAAAAGCATCAATGGTCGTTATGTAGTGCTACTTTCTGGTAGAACACTATCTCAAATGGTCGTCTTCAACCTACAAGTTTGTGACAATTCTTCCATTTGAAACTTTTTTACTGGTAACAGTAAACACCAGATTAAGGTTCTTTGCTTCTGGTCAGTCATGTGGTACAACAATGCCACCATGCTGAAGATTAAGAAATGCACTGAGACAAGACAAAAAAAGAGTTAATGTCATTTAAAATGGCAATTTCCCTTGTTTGTTGTCACAGTTCTTTGTTTTCTTCCAGCATGACATTTTGATATTATGTGACTGATCACCCTGTGATGGGTGGCACACTTTAACTGAGTTTATTACAGTCGACTCTCTCTTAACGGACACCTCTATAAGACAGACACCTCTGTAAAACAGACACTTAGAGTTGGTCCCTGCCTTTCTTTACTCCCTTTATTTGACTCTTTATAAGATGGACACCTCTCTAAGATGGACACTTAGTGCCGGTCCCAAAGGTGTCCGTCTAAGAGAGAGTTGACTGTATTTACTTTTTCAAAATAAATTATTATGAAGCTCACTGTGAGCTAGCTGCATCTACAAAGAGGATGACAGGCTCTATTATCAGTTAAAATATAACATTATCATCTGTTATATTACTTTTTCTCTTTTTATGTTTAGAATTAAACATAAACACCTCCCTAATGTAACTCAGTTTCTTTAAATCATACAGCTTGTTTGCACATTGTGTGAGAACTGAATGGTAACTCTATATTTTTGTTTAGGCCTTTACAGAAATATGTCGGCAAATTTTACAAGCAATGGATGAGAATAATCAAGTTAGTATGATGTGAATTTTCAATGAAATATTCCTCTGATTGATTTCCAGTTTTGTACCCTTCACTCTAATATACCACTCAAACTACAAAGAAAAAAGATTGAGCCCACTGTAATGGCCTTAAGCAGTTTTTCATTATGTGGGTGAAAATGACTCTTATGACCTCCTTGAAATTCTACATCATTTCAACATATTTTCCCATGGTATTAGAATGACTGTGTTTATGCTTTCATCTTTTTTTAGAATGGAACCATGCTATCTCCTAATGGTGAATCAAGATCCAGTGCTATTCTCCTTGACACAAAGAATGAAGTTCTTCCGCGCAGTTCTTGTTGTTATTAAGATAGAACTTACAAAATTATTTTATGCTATAATATCAGTAGTTTATTATCAATGACAAAAATCTAATTATTATACTAACATTACCCACCTCACCTACCCAATGCTTGTTCTCAGGTGATTTAGCCGCCTTTTATCTCCTTTTTAAGGGGAATAGATTACTCTTTTGACAACCCTGCAGAACAGGCATTATTTTTTCACATTTCTCAGGTAGGCAAAGGCAAGGGCAAAATGAGCAAGGGGTCCCAGACACGCGACAGGTAGTTCGCTTGAATGTAAAAAAGACCTGTTTGTGCAAGCTACCTTTGACCATGAAAAATTATTGGCAAAGATAATACTTCTGACGTGGCCTCTTTCACAATGTTAAAGAAGCCAGCATTATATTAAGTGCTTGTTCAAAACACGTCCACACCCACTCCTTACAATGAAGGTCATATGGGGTAACCTCTTACACCACAGGAAATTCCAAACTATTCCTGCTCTAAAAATAATATCTGACCTTCCAGGATTAAGTATGGAAATTACATAGAACAACACATTTGAATAGGGTACCAGTAATGTAGTTATATGAAGATGATTTTATTTATTTTATAACGACATCAATCAATTTATTTCAACATGTGGCCATTCTGACACCAGAACTAAGCTGCAGTGAATGTGTAATATAGTAAACAATGGATGGAACAGTGTACAAACCCTCTATTTTGATCAGTCTGAGTAGAATTTTGTGATTTTCCTGTATGCCTTTCTCAATTCATTAGAAACAGCCATGAGCTCCAAACTCAATCTTATGTAAATAATTATTTTGTAGTTATTTAGTAGCCTACACTGTATATTCTTTTGGATGTTTTCTAAAAAATGTTTTGTTCTTGCAGACATCCATTCTTCTTCTTTTGGAGGAAATATAACAGATTGGACAAAAAGTTGTTAATTGTAATATTAATAAATTAGTATAGGTAATAGCATGATTTGCAGTGATATTTGGCATAAATACCACGAGAGATATTTCAAAATTGTTATACGTAATTTCACGAGCTGTTAGGCGAGTGAAATTTGCGACAATTTTGAAATATCACAAGTGGTATTTATGCTAAATATCACATACAAATCATGCTATTATTTGTTTATACTACTACCTGCAAAAGGTTGTAATTTTCACATGTAGGTATTTCAAATTAAGCTGAAATACCACTGCTCTAAGCCAATCAAATTGCAGAAATTTCTCCTGTAGAAGTATGAACATTAGTATAAAATGACTGTTGTGCAGCAAAGGGCCCGTGGACCTTTCAGAGTAACTAACTTAAGATATCTTTGCAATAAAATGTTGAAGAGGAAACTGTCTTTCCCTGCCCTTTATTGAAGCTGCAAAGTACATCACTTGCATACTGTGAACTCTCCCTATCAGTTGTTTAGAGTGATTGAAGAGTTCACATACAAATCCTATTATTAAACTGTTGTAAAAACCATTACAAATTATCAAAGCTGTGTTCTAGCAGCACCCAGTGGCCCTTAGCACCTTATTAATTTTAGCCCTTAGGTGACAAGGAATTAAACTTTTTTTTTTCTTCATAGAAATCCTATGCTGGGCACTCTGTATTTCACAGATTTTGAGCACTGGACTTCCTTCAATTTATCCCTTTAAGCCCCAGTATCCACATACAAATTCTCCAGAATGATCTCCATACATTTCTTTTCAGAATAGTTGAGAAAATTTGGTTTAAGATCAAAGGATTCTCCCTTTGGAGATCAATTTAGTAATTCTCATAACCTTTACTCTTGATGATCTGCTGATGTTGTCAGAAGAAAATTGATGTTGGTCACTCTTGGGAGCTAAAGGGTTAAGCACAGCCTTGAATGTAGACAAACCGTTTTCAAATATATTTTTTTCTGTAATATTTTGACGATGGCAAGTTTGGGGAGATTGCATTGCCAAAAATTTATTGAGGCAATGCTCGAATGTATCATTTGCACAGTAAATTACAGAAAACAAATTTTCCTCCAATTATAATCAGTCCAAAAGTTCCCCCCTAGGATAACAAACATTTCAAACAAATGGCACTAGTTAGACCCAGTTCAGGTGTCGTGATTCTGCCGTGCCGAACTTAATTGTAATTTGGTTCGACTGTAGCACGGCAAGAAAACAACTTTGATTCAGACGTCACGCCAGAGTCGAACCAAATTCAGGATTTGCTTATGAATTATTCTTCTCCCAACTCCCCATGGGAACACAATCTCACCAAAATACATTAATATAATTTATGAATTTTGTTTCGTGTGGCAGAAGCACGACGTTTGAATCGTTACCGTGCCAGAGCCGTGTAGCACGGCAGCACTTGTCGAACTTAATTGCTTGCCGAACTTAATTCAAAAGTTTGATTCAGGACGCTGTGCTTCTGCCGTGCTTTTGTCAAACTTAATTCCTGAATTCAGTTCAGCACGGCAGAAGCACGATGTCTGAACTGGGCCTTACATCTCAAGATTTTGTCCACAGACTTCTAAGTTATACTCCACTACATATCCTGTTACACTGCCCTTGAGATTACGGTTGAATCAGTCAAAGTAGAGTCACAAAATGGAATCTGTTACACTGCTTTGCAATCCCACATGAAAGGACTGCTGACATCTTAAAAGTCAAAGTATTAAAATTTTTGTAGGGAACGGTGAATACAGTCAAGCCAGGTCAAGGGTACCCCCCAAGATGCCATTAATTAATTTATTATTTGAAAGTTGAATCCGTTTGTAGTTGTAGATTTCAGATTCATCTCTGCATTCTTGCATGCACAATGAGCCATGAATTCACATGTGAGGCAGTTACGAAATTTCTACCAGCTCAGTTTCCCTAAACTTGATGTAAATGTCTTCTAAGAAATATAATCAATTCAAAGATTTTCAGTCTTACCAAATACAGAGAAGTTCTTGTGAAATATTCACTGCTCATTACGCACGGAGGGATGCCTATTTCAACGACTGACGGATTCATTTTTCAAATAATCAATTCATTAATAGAATCTTGAGGGGTACACTTGACCTGCCTCGACTGTATCTGGCAAATCTATAAGGAACAGTAGCACTCCGTCAACATTTGCTGCAGTGTTAAAACAATATTTTATTGTGAACTAAGTACCATTTACATGATCATCAATTTAAACATGAACAGCACTTCAAGGAGCATTTGAGTTGGGTCCCCGTCTTTTTCCAAATCCAGCAACGACGTTAACAAATCGCCTGTTGTACTGCATTCTACGCTTAGCACGACCTGTCCTCTTTTTCTTTTTTTCTTGCTTATCAACCTGAAGAGAAAAACAGCAATACAGTTGTGCTCCTCAGTTGTGAATGATATGCCCACAACTTTTTTAGTTGACGCACACACACACACACTATATTTTATTTCATGCACATCATTTTGCCATCTCCACCCGCACATAGCAAAAGCTAGACGAGGCGGGTGACAAAGTTTTGACATAAAATGTTTCTTATGGTCTCAATCTGCTGTATAACGTAACACTTATTCTCCCATCTTTATCACTAACTGGTTAATAAGTAGCAGAATAGTATACTTGAAAGAAATCAAGATCCCTCACAGTTCAACCAGCTTCATATACAACTGCACGATTTACAGCACAGCAACCTACCTTAGGTGTCTGGCCTTTTACTTTACCAGCACGGGCCAAGGAGCCGTGAACCTTACCTAAAAGTGAAGAAAAGAAAGGTAAAAAGTAAACACAACATACATTACCAATGTACATTTATTTTGGGAGTTATACTACTCTCCAAAAGCAGCTCCTTTCACAGCTACAGCTAGTGGAATTGTCAGGGGGAAAAATCCATTCTCAGGTTGAAGAAGTATTTAACACATAAGGCAGGGCTCGAAATTGCAACTGTTTCGGTAATACTGCAGTGAATTGTTTTGATACGGTTACTATCAATTTAAACAAAGTCAGACTGTACAACAGCAAAAAACAAAATTGAAAGTTAATACACAGGGTGTCTTCGATTAACCATAGTCCAGAATAAGGATACACAAAAGTCTTGTTACAAATCTCTTCCACTGGCAAGACTTGACTGTAAACTCTTATAGGAGCTTCTTACATGGTATTCATCCTATTGTTGGTTAACTGTAATACCCGTAGACAACATCACTTCGACACATTTACAACTGGTTTTGCTACTTGCTGAATTTGCTCCGTCCTAGTTCGCGACACGTTCACTACATATTACTTTCTTTAGACCATTGAAAATGTTTCTTTAATCCCACTAGGAAAAAAGAAAATTTTAAAATATTTCTCGTTCTTTTAAACTTGCTCTTCCAAAGTTGCAAGTTTTAGACTTTTACAATAGGCGGCAAGCCCAGCATACAGGTAGCGAACTTGGACGCAAAGAATTTGACAAGTAGTAAAACCAGTGTAAAGCGTTCATCCCAGTATGTGCATTCAAATGTTTGGTTATTTTTATTTAGTTCTGGAATAAGAATGCACACAGATGTTATGCAAATGAAGTACTGCTACTTTCTTAAAGTGACATGTTTTCTGCCGGTATTAAGTGAACGAATAACGATGTGAATAATGGGATTAATTGTGATCAGAACGAAAACTCCTTTAGATAAGATTTATTAACGGTTTATACGTCAACAAAAAGTACAAAATTTTATACCTCCAAGCAAGCGAAGACCAACTTCCAGTGTAGACAGATCAGCTACCCCACAATCCAAAAGACTCATTCCATCCTCAAGTGGCTTTCCAGCATAAAAGAGAACTTGCTCGTCTGCTGGGATGCCTTCGGCGAAGGCTATTTCGGTTTTGAGAGCTAACACACTCTCGCCACCGGTTACGTCGAAAGTATGGAGGTTTTCTCCGCGCACAAAAAGCTGCATCTTGAGTTAACTATCACGAAAGTAAACTACAATAAGTATTTGATGTATTAAGATGCAGAAGGCCTCATATCTTGAACCTTTATGGTATAAAAATATGGACTTTTTACTTACGTTTCTCAACAATTACACGTGGTGGTGCAACCGAATTTTCGAAGAGGAAGGATTGTATTACTGCGCAGCCATTTGACGCATGGCGCGCAAGGCATGCTTAGTTGAGCCACGAAGAGGTCAGCGTTTGTACTTCATGTACATTATTACCAGGGTAAAGATGGCGACTGCCAGATCACTGTGCAAAGTTTGCAGGTCATTTCTCTCTACGAATGTGATCCTGCAATCGCAAACTGGTCAAAGATCAGCAAAGGTTAATAGTGCAGTAGGTCTTGAATTTGGCAGATGTTTTATAAATGTTTTTTGATTTTCCTTGTGTGATCTTTTTAGACCGCAAGCCATCTTAAAAAATCAACACAGACAACTAATAGAGTGACATATATAATCAAACCAGAAAGGTTAAAGCAGATTGAAGAATCCCCTAGCGGTTGGGTTCCTCCCGCTACTGGTACGTTTTCTTCCTTCTTAATTAATTTTGAGGCCTCTGTTTTCCTTTATCATACCTTTGTTTGTACAGTCAACTCTTTCTAAGACGGACATCTTTGGGACCAATACTAAGTATCCATCTTAGAGAGATGTCCATCTTATAAAGAGTCAAATAAAAGGAGTAAAGAAAGGCAGGGACCAACTCTAGGTGTCCGTTTTACAGAGGTGTCCGTCTTATAGAGGTGTCCGTTATGAGAGAGTCGACTGTATATGGAGCTTTTGGAAACACAGCTTTAAACAGAGGAAGGCCATAGGGGACATTCCATTTTTTATCCGCACCCCCAAAGGTGACTGGAATCCGAACCCTCAAATTTTTGTTGGTACTCTTTTCAAAAATGAAGTCCGAAGGGTTCATTTTTTGTTTGGCACCTTTGCAAAATTTGTCTGAAAGATACAAGTTTTGTCGGCTTCTTTGAAGAAAATATCTGAACCCCCCTATTCAAAGAAGCCATCCTTAGGGAGAGTGCAGATAAAAAATGGAACATCCCCAGTAGCCTTGCATTCTTCTGTAACAATCACAGGGGGTGATGTGGAAAAATCATGCTTCACATGATGAACACATAATTTATCTATTGCCTTTTGCTCCAATTTCTATCCATTTTGTAGAGTTTTCCTTCCAGTAAACTACTCATCCATAAGACATTTGGTGCGTTCATTGATCCTTTCATGTACTAGCTAATTAATGCCTTTTGATGACCTTTTCTTTTGCAGAGTCACCAAATTTGCCATTTTTCATTAAGAGATCCAAATTCAACAACTTGCCAGTTTACTCAGACTACAAGCGTGGAGGAAATTATAAACTCACTGTGATAAGAAAAATTAAAGGTGATCTCCAGGTAAAAATTAAGAAAAAGAGGAGAGTGGAGGTGTGCTGTTGCCAGGGCCTCATGGCCACTGATGACTTTTAGAGCAAGATTTTGGAGACAATGTATTTTTGTTGGGAACAGTTCTTCATGTCATAATATTACTCAGCAAAGTACATCTTCCGTCATATATAAAAGAGTGCTAGAAGCGTAACAGCTTTCATGCATAATTTTCATTTCTTCTAAAATTGTTTCTTAGTCATTTTTTTTTTAATAGAAAAAGGCATTATTTCATATTTTTTACATCCTGTTGGTCAGCTTCCATTTAGATAAGGAAAAGAGGAGACCATCCATCAAATGTTTAAGGAAAGAAAGAGAGGAAAAGAATTAGAATTTTCTTATCTCTACTTAACAAATTCCTCTGTATTTTCCTTCTCTGTTTTTAGGCTCTTGATGATTGTTTGAGACACCATCTTGGAAAAGATATTAACTCCCAAATCAATGAACTTACAAGTCAAGTGAAGATAAAAGGAATTCACAAGGATGCTGTTGTGACTGTCTTAAAACGTCTTGGGTTCTAGGATCAGTGTAATAACTTGAGTAGATTGGAAACAACACCCAAGAATGACTGTGAAATAGTCAAGCAATACACAGACACTGAGACAGTGCTGTCAACTCTCCCAGATAATTCAGGAGATGCCATGAATGAAATCTCTAGGATAATCACCGAAGTATGCCATTTCTTCAGTAGACTCGACTTTGCGACAATAAAATTTTGACTATTTTGTGTTGTTTATGCCATTTTAATGTTAACATCGAATGTTTCCTCATCAACTCCAGTATGTCATTGTAATATAATAATCTGATTGGTTTTCGCGCATTTTGTATCATCACAAATTCATGACAATCGGAGTCAACGAGTATTTTTTGCACAAATGATGTCATGATCCTTGCATTATGATGTCATGTATCATCCCTTGCCTGTCAGTTCTCAATATTTAAAGACATGGGGAGTTGACAGCCCTACACAGAGATGAGATGATGTTCAGTTAAGAATTCACAAACTGCTGTTTTGGGTGCCTTGAAGTTGCTGGGGTCCTAAATAGAAGAATTTACAAACTTATGTACATAGAAAAAAACAAGACTCTTGAGACTGCACTAAGTCTGAAGAAACAGGTTTACTTGTAAACAGGCATAGGTGGTCATAAGATAGAATGTTGCTTGATTCCTATCCAGATTCTATTAACAGGTGTAATGGAATAATGTAAGCGTTGATGAAGAATACAACAAAGAAACATTCATACACTGCCTCTTTAGTAACATTAATTTTGTTCTGTTTTATTGTCTTGCTATTCACCTTTCTTTTGTATTTCAACTCTGTTGTTACATTTTGCCAATGATAGTCCTCTTTACTCTTTTCAGCCCTCAGTTCATTTAAAGTATTATTTTTCAAATCTTGAAGTTCCTAATTTACAGTTTAAGATATGCTTCCTTCAAGGAAAGCCTGAATTTTCCCGCCCATTTATAGTTATTGAGGACATAAACGTTTCACTTAAACCTCTTTCTCTATTTTACTAATGTCAATCTTTCCTTTCCAAAACCAGTGGTAGAAATTAATGACACAGTATCCGTAGGATCCATCTCTGACTTTAAATGTTACTCAATCAAAAAAATGGCAAAGAAAGTGGCAAGACACCTTTTGGGTACTAAGGCACAGATGGTCCTCAAGATTAAATAATTAACACCGTTGCTTTGATCTATAAGAATCTACAAAAATATTAAATAATTAATTAGCATCCCAAAATACTTCAGAGAGTCTACAAATTTGCCAAAACTGAATTGCCGTCTTCATGAGAAGTCAGAAAAAGATCAGTACATAATACTATATGATAGTCAAAGTCTAAAAAAATCCCATCCCTCAGTCCATAAACCATCTGTTATAAAAACTTTTTTTGCGTTGCTCTAAGTTATAACCAAATTCTTGCTTTCCATGATTATCTCCCACCCCTCAAAAACTCCCAGCGCGCACTACGGGTTATGAGATTTTTTGTGCCTGTTTACATGACGTTATTCCGCTTCAAGTTGTTGTGTGTTGTCCGTACGTCTGGTATCTTTCATCGTGTTTTCCTTACAAGAAAGTAGTTCCTCTTCCAAGAAAAATGGTCTGCGATAAGTGTAAGGCATAATAACATTTTTCTCCCTAAATTTATCGTTCTTTCCGGGTGGCAGCATCTTTTCCAGAGTGATTTTTACTCCCAGTTTGTATCAGAAATGTTTGAAAATGTTCACTTTCTATTCAATGCAATGACGCAGGTCAAAAAAAACTCGGAAAAGTGATTTGCCCCGACCCATGGAAATCTGGAGCAAGGAATACAACAGGTAAAGAAAGTGTAGAATTGTAGATGACTCATCTTCTGTTACCCTGAATGGTGAAGAATGAAAGATAAACAAGTCATTCAGAGAGATGCCAACCTCCAGGGATCTAACATCTGGAGGCTCTCTATCTTTCACTGTACCCGAATGTCAACAGCTTAAACACCCACCCCCCACCCACCCACAAATTGACCCAGCCACCATTGCCTAGGACATTATTTGAAGATTTACATGAGCTACATGCTATCAAAAGGACGAAATAATCTTTGTCAGCCATGAGTAAACAGGTGCAGAAATGAAGGTCCCAGAAACTGTACAATTAATAAAAAAGATTCAATTTTAAGAAAAAATACTAAAGCAGCGAAAAGCACAAAAGTCCATTTTATCAGGGAGATTTTGTGACCAGAACAGGAGAGTGGGAGAGACAGTGCCGTATCCAGGAGACCCCCGAATAATCCCAAGATTTAGCACATATGCGATCGGTGACTTACAGCTAGCCGAAACGGATTGGATGTGATCCCTGTAACCCTATCCCAAACCATTTGTCATTTAGTTAGTTGCAGGGTTTGATCCATTCCGATCAGATCCTGGGGACATCCTTAGCGAAAAAAAGTGTGCTGTCAATGGAGAATAATTATTTGCGGGGAGTATTCTGCTGAGGGCCATAAATTTTTCAAACCAAGCTCTTTGATTCCTTTTTCTTTTTTTCATTTGTCATTTATAATTAATGACAGCATCATAACTATTAAGTGTATCTACCAACAGCCTTTGAACAACGGGGTCTTGGTTTACTTTCAGAAGTCAGGAACATTCACTATAAATTAAGCTTATATGCACCAAATGAAAAGTCTATTTTTTCAAATAATTTCACAATCTGCAAAACATTTTTTGTTTGGACTTAACATATTGCCACTATATTGGCCTTATGTAACAGGAATTTGAAGAGGCCTGTCTTGAAAAGTTCAAATGCTTGAGGGGGCGGGGGGATGTGAAAGTTTTAAACTGATCAGTGCATAATACATCCTTTTTTAATACTGCATAGATTTTTGCAAGAAACGGTGTCTAAAATTATTGTTTTTATGTGCGGCATGTTGGTCGTTATTTATTCTTTAGAGAGTGGAGGAAGGAAAGTCAATGAGAACAAGCTTTTGACACAGAAAAAGAACAGGTAAAGTAACAGGAATGTATGTACTACGGAACAGTATGTGCGTTACTGAAGCTTATTTAATTAACCACTCATGTCATCTCATTATCAACACTTAGGACCAGTTATTTATTTGGGGTTTCACCACGGTTTAACAAAACCACGTTCTAAGCCGTTTTCAGTTTCCAGAACGCCTTTATGTGAACACCATTAATTTTATTGTGAACAGTTTCATGAAAGCATATAGCGTAGACTAGAAAAGCACTTGTCTCCATAAAATAACCTGTTAAGGAAGAGATCTGGAGGTCCAAAGATTGCCTAAACCATGGGCCTAAGTTAGACTTTGTTTAAATAACTGGCCCTTAGGTATATAGATATTCTGACCATAAGGTCAGAACATATTACTCTTTTGTGAGGTATATTATGTTTTGTGGCTGTCTAGTAAATTTAATTCTGTCTTTTGTTTTGTTTTCCCATATTTAGATTTAACCCATATACAACCTTCAACAAATGCAGAATCTGCAAACAAACTGTACATCAGGTGCATTCACACTACTGCCAAAGTATGTGCTAGATGTGATTATGCTATTATTTGCCATCACAGAAAAATCATACAATGGATTCTCAATCATTTGTGACAAAAGCGAAACTAAGGCAATATATGTAAAAAGCGCTACAACCTAAGAGGTGCCCCTGCAGAACATGTGCTTTGGAGAGTTAAGCCGCTGGCCCCCCCAGTGACTCAAATTTAACCTTGCCTAGAAAAAAATTTAACTACATTAACTTTAATAACACCAACATGCCTAAAGTTAGCAAATTATGTTTTAGGAAAAATATCATTGTTGAATGTGTGAATGGAATAAAGCCCTAAGGAAGTCTAGATCCAATATGTCAAAAATCCCCTTCTAAGAGTTAGCGAGAGATAGATACTTTATCAAGTATAAAAGCCAATTAAAAAGCCAAGGTGTGCATCCTTGCCTCTTCCTAAGTCTTGTGGTCCATAAAAACCCTAACTCCAAAACCTTGTGTTTGACACCGACCAGTATGCAGTCATCACTAACACAAAAATGCAGCTAGTTTGTTGTCTAACCATTTGGTTACAAAACAGAATCTTCTCTTGAATCTCTAATCACTCCATATGACAAACATTCTTTTCACTTTAAAGAGGAGACATTTTTCTCTTACCCGGATCTTGATATTGTTGATAGTTGGATAAGATAGCTGTCATCTGTAAGTTCCTGTGTTCATCAAAAGTTATGATTTTTTTATAGGTTGTGCATACAAGAAAGGTTTGTATCTAAACAATGTTTTTTGTTGATGTTATTGTTGATTTTGTTGTTTAAGTAGCAAAAAAAAAAGATTTTTCAATATGGAAGGCATGGTACACACTGTGATCACTACACTGTACCGTGACTCATTCAAAATGAAAATTATTCTTTCAGGTTTTTCCATTCATCCCAGTTTTTGATTAGTGTGTAACATGAAGAAACTTTCTTCCCTTTAGGTATCTGTGCCATGTGCGGCAAACAAGTCTTAGATACAACCAACTACAGACAAACTTCAGTATGAAGACAAACTCTGCAGTCATGTATCTTGAATTTTTCTCAGACTGTCTACTCATTTCAGCATAAAATGTGGTATATGTTGAGTTGCAAAAGAGTTTCTCTGGCATGTCACAAGAGGCACAGGGAATGGAATGAACCAAACAAGACTCAACCCACTTTCGAGCAAGACATAGCCTGCATATCAGGTATTTCCACATGAGTTTGTTCCCTGCAAATGAACTCATGATGAAAAACTTGCTACGCAGGCTAAGTAGGGAACAAGTGGTTTTGGTTTCACCTCTGATTGGCTCAAAAATAAAGCATAGACTAGTGATGCAAAACCAAAGTAATTTTGTGATACGGACTTTCGACATCCCTTTAACGCTTAGACTGAGAACTCCTCTGCTTACAGTGAATAAGAAAACAGGCTCAAAACCAGAATAATGTTAATTAATTTGCACATGCTAAGGAAGTTGTCTAATGAAAACATCTGTGAAGAGTGTTATATTTTATTGGTTCCCTCTTGCATATCAATTTTTTTTTATAACAGTACATTTTTCTTATTGGTTTTGCTGGAACAAGAAGAAGAGACTCTAACTTGAATCACATGTATTAATAAAATATTAAACAATTAGTAACAAGGCCATGTTACTTAATTACAGTGTTTCATTAAATCTCATCGAAGGTGATTTGCGAGGTATTCACTTAGATTGATACTGTGGAGCCAAAGGTTGCATGGCTTCTAACTTGTTGGAGAAAATGCAGCCGATAGAGCATCAACACTTGAACATTAAAGGAACAATAACACGGAAATGCCCCCATGTTACTGAGCACAGTAGTCTACAATTAAAAAGAGTTGACTGGCTGCATGATGCTCAAAATGGCACAACGGCTACTACACAAAGTTTTGGTTTCCTTCCTTCCCCTCTTCAGCCCCCAGGGAAGAGGGGATATTCCTGGGAACTCTTGGTGGGGGTGTGCCCCCGGTTCTCCAAATCCTGACCCTATAAGTTCATTTCGAATTCCCATATTACTCTTCCTTTCTTGTTGCTTTAGAATTGAAACTACAAATACGTTCATACAGCGTACACTCCCTTAGTTCCCTCGAAAACCATACCAGATTCCAGACCATAATGTGCAAAGTCTATACCCCTTTTCAGACTGAAAACCATACCCTTTGGGGCAACACATACATGTACTTATTTGATGGCAGGGTTCGCAAATACACCCAATTTGGCATATTTTACGCCAAAATTGTTCAGATGACTCCACTGAGGTTACAGAGGGAGTCACTTCGACTCCAAAAATTTTCGGTAACAAACACAGTTTGTCCTTACCTTTTTCGCAACAAATACAATTTACATTTTAATTGTAAACGTTGTAAACCGTAATTAATGACCACCATCATGGATTTCAGCTTTCCAGGTCAGCGGACCATGTGCTGGAAAGTCTGATACTTGACTCCAAATATTCCAAAATGACTCCAAAATTTGTGAGGCAGAAGTAACACGACTCCACTCATTAATAAAATTTGCAAACCCTGTGATGGCTTATATAAGGGAATAACACCCCCCTCCCCAACCACTTCAGCCAGAGAGAGAGGGCTTTTAACTCTTGATCTTTTTGGATCCATATGGATCCATGCTCATTTTCGTTCTTCCACCACCCCAAAATTCACTGCCGAACTAAGCAGCAAAATGAGCAAAGGCAGATCTCTTCATGGGTACCTCATTTATTAACTTTGGGCCAATCAAAAAACAAGCAATATTTGGGGAAAAAATCATTCCCGATTTTGGGCAAATTCCCGTGAGACCTTTATTGGGAAAACAAAACATTCAAGTCAGTGAAAAGGACTATTCCATGCGAAAGAAAGACGATAAAATGGGCATAAAAACTGGCCATGGCTATAAAATAAAGGGAATGGGAAAAAAGTGACGACTAGCAGGATCTTCGTCCAGGTTTTTTGTTGTTGTTGTTGCTTGTTTGTTTGTTTTTTGCGGTTTATTTCATGATCATTTAGGGATCGAGTTGAATTTTTATACAGACTCGTTCCCGGTTAAAGCGATGAAAAACTGGGGAAAGTAGTCGCGAGGGATGCTGGGAAGGAAGACAGAGGAAATTTCTCAATTTTGTCTGAGGAAGGACTAGGACTGAGTCTGCTGTATTTGTCATATAAGCATGCATTTGATTGCTCTTAGTGCTCCTAATACTTAGTCAAACCCAATCCCTCCTTCTGGGTTCTGTTCGTTAGTGTTACTCACAATTGAGCCTTTAACACTTTAACGTATTCTCAGTGAACGTAAGGGTCGGATTCAGAACATCCTGGCATGTATTTTTGAAATGTAACTTGGGGAAAATGTTTGACATGAAATGCGCATAGTAGCTACGAGCGAGTATTCTCATATTGAGCCGCTGTAAACTTGTGTCAGCAGCCCAACGGGCTCCCTCATTTCTCATAAGGGAAATGTACAAGGCAAGACTTCCCTGAGGGTTCTTGCATTGGTATACTGAACGTTTGCGTCATATACATGTAAAAATTTTAAGGAAAACGTTCTAGTTAACAGACAGTAAACAGACGGAAGTTCTCTTCTTAACGACGATTTTTGCGTTTCGGAAAGGATATTTCTCATTCCACCAGAGCAAAAGCTTGGCAGAAACCGCTCCTGAGGTTCTTGTTTGAACAGTGTAAAAATTCTTTGAACGTCTTTTGACTGTGGTTGAGGAGTTCACATGAAGATTAATTTTCTTTTTGTTTACCGTTTTTTCAGGTTCCATTTGTCACACTCCCAAACTGAGCATCACTGAGCCGCGATTGGAATGAAAACAGCAAAGCACCAACTTTGCTTTGATTCAAATTGGACTCTACACTACAGATCAGAGGAAAACGGTAAATAATTCCCAACATCTTTATCATGTTGCTGTCAAAGGAGCGCTTATTGCAGTATGTTACTCTATTGACCACTCGGCAAAAAAGTTCATGGTTTTGTAGGAAAAGATAACAGAGGCAACCTTTTCTAATAAATTCGGTCTATTTGGAATGAACTACTACCATGGCGAAGCAGAACTCCAAGTTTTCTCCCTAAATTTTCAAAACGCCACAAGAAGTCCATTAAAGAATTCTGTTTTGCTTTGAAACATAGAAAAAACAGTGAGCTGTTAGTTTTATTGTGGAAAGCTAGCCAAAACACGCCGAATATTATCACGGCCGCGAGAATGAATTTCAAAATAGCGCATAATTTAACTGCTTATATTTCAAAGAGTTTTCTATTTTTTTTATTTCCGTTGTCCTTTTTTTTTCGTGTTTTTAGGAGACAAGCAAGTTCGCCCCTAAATGTCGGTATTCCTGAAAATATTCTTACATGGCCGATTAAACATTATGTAAATTACAGCTGCTAACGAAAAATGACCAGAAAATTGGAACAAAGAGTTTCTGACAAACTGTCAAATAAGCCGTCTAAACCTTTCAAATGTATATCTCACCACCGAAATCTCCCTGTTTAAGTCAATGAAGTCAGGTCAAAATTACATTGAGATTTGAATAAATAACTTGCAAGCTAATGAACCGTTCACAAAAAACTACCGCAGAGTAAAGGCAGAAACTTGACGCATATACGGATACTCGCTCAATCGCTCGTGACACCCGTACCCGAGATGGCCCGGCAAAATGACGAACTTTTTAAGAACATTCCTGGATATTTCATGAAAAAAATGTAGCTTCAAAAACAAACGATTCTGTCGCGATTTCTTTTGAGTAATAAATTTCAAGCATGATTTTACTGATGTTGATCGCAAAAACGTAGAACATCTTTAGTATCTGATTTTTATATAGCGTCTGAGTAGATGCACGTGTCCGTGATCAAGGACACGTGGGAAGTTTCTCCAGTCTCTCCACGTGCGCTTGTAGGAAAATTAAAAGAAACTTTGTAGATTCTACCAACTTTTTGCGCTCTGAAAACAAAAGAAAAAGACGCATATCAGGCCTAGTAGCATTGCAGATGCGTATTTTTAAAATCTATGCCAGTTTTAAGCAATATTAGAAAGGCTAAAATCAGTCAGTCAGCACAATTCTTGACACTTGCGAATAATCTGAAAACTGAATTTAAAATGAGAGAAAACTTTGTTTGATGGAACAGCGGCTTGTTTCAGATCTACTGGTTACTGTGTTTTTTGATGAGGTAAAATTGATCGTAAATAGCAGCTAAGGTAGTTGTTATAAGGGTGAAAATAAAAATAAGAACAGGGAATCTTTCAGCCAATACAAATACAAAATTTTTTCCTGAGCGAGGACTTATTGTGTTTTAGACAAAACGTTTGGAGTTGATTAAGAAAACAAAATTTTACTATCTGTGGAATTCATTTTTTAGTGTTAAGGAACCTTGGAGGAAGACCTTGTTCATGTCAATGTAGCATTTAAAAAAAAAAACAAAAAAACACTGAATCCATACTAACAAGAACCAAAAGATAAAGTTGCGATTAGCCTATTAAAACATCTGTTTCTCCTCACTCTTTGCCACTGGAGACGTTTCGCGCGGAGGAAACAGCGAGGAGCGCGGAGAAACGGCTGTTTTCGCAGGCTAAGTTTCGATCAACTCTGCGGATAACAGAATAAAAGTAAAATCTTGGGCTGGAATGTTTGGAGGAAGTTTATTAAGAACTTTTGCTTCAGAAGTGCTTGAGTCTCAAAACACTGATTCCTGTGGGCGTTGTCCTGTAAGAAAGTGGAAACTAGGTTTGTACTTATGAAAGTTGAGCAACGAAAGTTGAACTGCATGAAATTTCCTTCGAGCACTGAAGTTTTAAGACTTGAACATTTCGTGACATTTAATCAAAAGTTGCAAGAAGACATTCACGACGAACATTTAAAGCTTCAGGGAAAATGAAAGTATTTTAAGTTCTTAGCCTTGTCCAATCGATGATAAATCCACACTGTAATCATTTATTTTTAGAATGAAACCCTCGTTAATACAGCTGCATGATCAATGAATTTTATTTGTAAATTTATGGACTTATTACATTGTAATAGCCATTTTACACGGATTCAGGGAATAACGAATTTTTTATCGGAAATGACTTCAGTTCGGGCATATGATTTGAAACAGGCGAAAAATCTTCCCAAAACACCTAGTGATTGAGAAAAATTAAAAAGGTGTATCTTGCAGCATGACTCCACACATTTCTCTCAGTTTTGGGCTGGGACCGGCACGTAACTGGAACTCTTTGTCGTTGTGCCTCCTTGCAACTCCAGACAATACTGGTTTACAGTTGTAGATGAAAGTTATGGTGCTTTTCTGCCGTTTAACCGTTGTTAATTGTAGTTACAAAAACACAGAAGATGGCTTTGTTGAAAACCTATAAGCCCATTTAGAATGAAACGTATGTTTAACTCTCGTTATCTGAGTAGTTTTTATGGATTTCTAAGGCTCGTAACTAATCTCTTTTATTTAGTAGCATTTCTGTTAAATTGTTCACTTGAACTTTTTACATAACCTATAAGAGGGATTTTCTCAGTTTAGTTTGGAGCGGACCGTTGATCAGCTAACGCTGGTAACAGAATAAAAGAAAGGGCTTTCCCCGGTGCTTGACTCAGTGATTCGAGGGCCTTAGAAGGTCTCCAAGTGAACGAAATTAGGTTTGTTGTTAGAGTAAAATTATATACATGCATGTACAGTGAAAAGAATTGAATGATCAAAGTTAAGCTGAAAAACTGAATTCAAGGATTGAGTAAGACAAGACAGACTGTTTGATGCATTGATATATTCATCAGGTTTCCCCAAGATTTTCGAGGATTTTCTCATCAAAATCCTTCAGTCAAGAATCAATGACTGATGCAACTGTCTTCCATGTTTGTTTAATAACATGAACGAAATTCAAGCTCTTTGAGCTGACTTAGCATGAATAAAATATGAACACATTATAATTTGCCAATGTGTCATTGTAAAACAAAGCAGTATTTTAAAAGGAGTTTTCCTGTTTCTTCTCGCTTTTTATTAACAGGCAATAAATTAAGCAGTCATTTCATGTGCCGTTCCATAATCTCCTGAACTCCTTACAACAAGTTGTTGCAAGTGTTGAAATGAAGTTTGCTGTGGTCCTTGTTACTGTTCTGTTTTTCACCAGCTTCTGCTCTTGCCGAGCTGCGGAAAATGTCTCTGGAAACCAAGTAAGTTTACCCCTCATTCTGCCTCATTCCTTAACACCCGATGCTTCAATTCCTACAGCTTTTTACGTCTGTTTATTTGATGAGCAGTTAACATTAAAAGTGCGGTTTCTCCGCATCCACAGTAAGACGTTAAGTAACCAGTTCATTTCTGTACTGCGAAACAAAAGTTTGGGTTAAAATCAATCACCAACAGTTCTTACGAACTAAATTCAGTGTTTTACTGATTTTTCAAGTTTTAACGAATATTGTTGATTTTGTTTAATGCGAAGTGATTTCGCTTGCTTCCTAGAAGATTTGTGCAACTCCAGGAAATCCGATCAATATCAACGTGGGGCAACATGGAAATGCAGTTAAGGTAACTTAGATTTTCATTTTACATGTCATTCAGGTTTTTTTCCGAAGTTGTGATTAAAGTTCTTAATGCTTTGCTCATGCTGAGTTTGACCATTGTCTTCGCAAGATAATAGCCGCTCCGTATTTCCCTATAAATTCCAATACAAAACGAACATACCGATGAATGACAAAGCAATTATTGAGCTCTTCGTTTCACAAAATATCATGATTTGTCAGTATTTCGCAGTTCAGTTGTTTATCTCTGTCTTCGAAAGGCAAATTGTTTGAGTCTACTCGGCTTAACAGTTGTTAATTTTTTAATCAATTTCCCCTCGCTATTTAAATCCGTCTATTTTCTATGTCGGCGTTTATCATCCCTTGGTTTTCGTCGCGTCTTTCCTTAATATAGAGGCAAAAGTCGCACGCATTTCAGCTGTAATAAATATTATTCTTAATTTATTAACGTTTCAGTGTCAGACGTGCAATCGCTTTTTTTCAATTCTACTTACGTGACTACATATACGGGTATATTCTAACTCCATTGAAATTCGTAATCAACATTGGCTTGGTTGAATAAGAGGAAAGCCCGCTGGAACATGTCTGGTATTTTTTAGGGTGAAAAGGGCGATAAAGGTAGTAAAGGAGACGCTGGAATGAAAGGTGCAAAAGGGGATGCAGCAGGAAAGTCTGCACCTTGCAATTGCAAGTTACAGGTGAGATATTCCTTTGATGATTTTACAAGGTTCGTATACACCCTACTCGATAAAAAAGTGAAAGGGATGGAATCGAACTCAAGAAGTCAGAAAATATATTATATTTGCGAGCTTAGTAAAATAGCTGATAGCAAACGTAAAGCGGAAGAAGAAATAATAAATACGTATACACGAGGTGCAAAAATGAATCCGTGCATGTTCGTTGTCTATCCCCGTGAAAACTATCAGGTAGTGAAGTGAACAAGGAAGTTCCATTTCTCATTTCGAATTTCGGAGTTCCTTTGGCTTCAGGGGTTCAGTTTATGCCGAAATTTAACCTTTTGTAGTCAGGGAAAACGCAAGGTTCTGAAGTATTACCTAGAGAGGAGTATCGACATTCCTAAAAGAACAGTGAGAATTCCGCCTCTAACTGAATAATTAGGCCCCCGCTCAGTGTTTCCACTTCCATCGTAAATGAGTCATCAGCTTTTTAAGTTTGTTATTTAAAGTCGGATTTCAGATTTATTTATCTCACTGTATGCTCTTTATCCCGACTCTTCAAGGATCCAAACAAACCGTCGGCTCACATTGAAGGTGCTAACAAAGGGGATGTCACTTACCAAGTCAACAAAGGTATCGGTCATAATAGCGATATCTTTGTTTATGGAAGCTATTATTTTGATTTTGTCACCGTCCATATTCTCAAGCTGATATGAGTTGAATGCGGACATTCATCAGTTATCGGGTTACTGGTCAGGCAATGAATGACATGTTGATAATTTTCTGATAACTTTTCCTAGGTCTTATACGGCCGGGTTCTTTTAAAATTACGTGAATTTAAATAATAATACTAATAATAATAATAATAATAATAATAATAATAATAATAATAATAATAATAATAATAATAATAATAATAATAATAATAATAATAATGACAATGACAATGACAATGATAATGATAATAATAATAATAATAATAAACAATTTTCCAAAGCGCAAAATGCATAAATTTACTCCTGTTTGGAATTTTATCTTTAGTAACGCGGCTTTCCATACAGCGTTTATTTTTTTCATCTTGTTACCCATCTTCCACTTGTTTCATTATGAAAATTGTAATTTGGGCCACCGGGCGGACCCGTTGCGGCGGACCCAAACGTTAGACTTACCGGACTTTTTTTTGATGCTTTTGCAGTAATCAAAGACTGGACTCTAAGTGCTCCCTACAGCCATCTCGCAGGCGGCATGAAGTATAAAGACGGAAAACTTACTGTACCCATCCCTGGACGTTATTACATTTACGAACAGATTTACTGGCGTGGCTACAGAGGAAAGCCTGTCAGAATTTCTATCCTTTTGAACAACAAAGTGATCGCCATGGCTCATCCACCAATGAACTCGCTGCGAAGGGACGAGTTTACGATTTCCACAGGCGGAGTGTTTCATCTTAAAGCTGGTGACGTCATTACAGTGGCCGCCACAGAGCATGCTGGGATAGCCTACATGTACACTTACCACAGCTTCTTTGGCGCGTTCTTGATTTGAAATGCACCAGGATTTTTTCTAATGCACGAGTGTTTTTTGGTAGTTTTAGCCTCTTTTCTTGACGGCCATTCTGTCAAAATTAATTATATAAAGTGTTGGGACAGCCTTTCAGCTGAATAAACTAACAATCGTTAACAGAGCTTGGCTTTAAGTGTTTTCTTCTTTTTTGCGTCGTTATAATATAAGGGGTTCCGCGTATCCCAAATCCCATTTTGCTATTTTTTTCTCGTTTTCATTCGCATTATAGCCTACATCATGGGTGGGGGTAATCACTAGAATTTTCTTAGCTTATGGTGCATGCACAGTAGGTAGGCAAGAAGCGGGAACTGGAGAGAGGGAAACAATCGAGGACTACGTAAGATTCCTCACCTCTTCATTTCGCGCCACTCTCTACTCTCCTAATTAGCCTGAACAGGCTAAAGAAATAGCTAAAAAACGGTGTGTTTTTCTTTACTCTCCTCCTACCCCAATTCGACCTTTCTTTCCCCAATCTTTCTTTGCTTTCAAAATCAAAGATGGCGACTGCAGGAAAATTCTGAAAATCCTTGATAACAGTTTTATGAGCCCGCGAGACTGAGCACTTGGGCAAAACTCTTGTTTTCACCGTCGTTTATACACAGGAAAAAATAACGGATTCCCATTTTTGGATATTTTAGGGTATCCATGGGCTCCTGAGGGTATTTAAAGAATACCCACAAAAATCCCAAATTTGGCAAAGTGAGACAAGTCCCAATCAGGGAACTTGGTTGGGAATTCCCTGGTTGGGACTTGTCTCACTTTGCAAATTTTTGATTTTTGTGGGTATTCTCTTTAAATACCCTAAAATATCCAAAAATGGGAATCCGTTATTTTTTCTTGTGTTGCACCAACCTAGTTCAGGTTATTGTTATCTAAGGTCTTCCAAAAATTCTAATCTCTCGCTCACCAGAAAAATATGCCTGTCAACTATAGGATAGTACATATTGCATATAATTGCAACCATTCGTTTTTTTGATTCCTTTTTAACTCTTTGTCAAGTATAATAGGAGTTGGAGAATTTTTAAGGTAAAGCGGGTTTAGTGTCTAGACTCAAGGCTACAAGTATTAATCAAAGTCATCTATTGATACAGGATAATCGCCTTCTGAGTAGAGTATGCTTCAGTAATTGAAAAAAGTAGACTGGCTGATGCTCAAAATGGCACAACGGCTGCTACACAAAGTTTTAGTTTGCTTCCTTCCCTTCTTCAGCCCACAGGGAGGGGGGAGTATTCCTGGGAATTCTTGGAAGGGGAGGGGGGGGTAAGCTACCCGGTTCTCCAAATCCTGACCCTATAAATCCATTACGAATTCGCATATTACTCTACTATTCTTGTTGAGTTACAATTGAAACTACAAATACGTTCATACAGCGTACACTCCCTTAGTTCCCTCGAAAACCATACCAGATTCCAGACCATAGTGTGCAAAGTCTATACCCCTTTTCAGACTGAAAACCATACCCTTTGGGGCAACATATACATGTAACTATTTGATGGCCTATATAAGGGAAAAAAAACCCTCCCTCCCCTCCCCCCACCCACTTCAGCCAGAGAGAGGGCTCTTAACTCTTGGTCGTTTTGGATCCATATGGATCCATGCTTATTTTCGTTTTTCCACCACCCAAAACTCACTGCCAAACTAAGCAGCAAAATGAGCAAAGATAGATCTCTTCATGGGTACCTCACTTATTAAATTTGGACTAAAAAAAGCAACATTTGGGGAAAAATCATTCCCGATTTTGAGTAAATTCCCCTGAGACCTTTATTGGGAAAACAAAATATTCAAGTCAGTGAAGAGGACTATTCCATGCGAAAGAGAGACGATAAAGTGGGCATCAAAACTGGGTAAAAAAATAAAGGCAATGGGAAAAAAGGGACGACTAGCAGGATCTTCGTCCACGTTTTTTGTTGTTGTTGTTGTTTGTTTGTTTGTTTTTTGCGGTTTATTACGTGATCATTTAGGGATTGAGTTGAATTTTTAAACAGCCTCGTTCCCAATTAAAGAGATTAAAAACTGGAGAAAGTAGTCGCGAGGGGTGCCGGGAAGGAAGTCAGAGCGAAATTGTCAATTTTGTCTCAGGAAGGACTAGGACTGAGTCTGCATGCATTTGATTGCTCTTGGTGCTCCTAATACTTAGTCCAACCCAATTCCTCCTTCTGGGTTCTGTGCGTTCGTGTTGCTCTCAACTGAGCACTTATCACTTTAACGTATTCTCAGTGAACATAAGGGTCATATTCAGAACATCCTGGCATATTTTTGAAATTTAACTTGGGGAAACTGTTTGACATGAAATGTGCATAGTAGTTACGAGCGAGTATTCTTCATATTGAGCCGCTGTAAACTTGTGTCAGCAGTCCAACGGGCTCCCTCATTTCTCATAAGGGAAATGTGCAAGGCAAGACTTCCCTGAGGGTTCTTGCATTGGTATAAAGCGTTTGCGTCATATACATGTAAAAATTTTAAGGAAAACGTTCTAGTTAACAGACAGTAAACAGACGGAAGTTCTATTCTTAACGACGATTTTTGCGTTTCCAAAAGGATGTTTCTCATTCCACCACAGCAAAAGCTTGGCAGAAACCTCTCCTGAGGTTCTTGTTTGAACAGTGTAAAAATTCTTTGAACGTCTTTTGACTGTGGTTGAGGAGTTCACATGAAGATTAATTTTCTTTTTGTTTACCGTTTTTTCAGGTTCCATTTGTCACACTCCCAAACTGAGCATGACTGAGCCGCGATCGGAACGAAAACAGCAAAGCAACGACTTTGCTTTGATTCAAATTGGACTCTCGACTACAGATCAGAGGAAAATGGTAAATAATTCCCAACATCTCTATTTTGCACTATGTTACTCTATTGACCACTCGGCAAAAACGTTCTAGTGGTCTGTTTTGAATGAACGAGCTACTTTATGGCGATGCAGAACTACAAGTTTTCTCCGTAGATTTTCAAAACCGCTACAAGACGTCCATTAAATAATTTTTTTTTGCTTTCAAACATAGAAAAAACAGTGAGCTGTTAGTTTTATTGTGGAGTTAGCCAAGTTAGCCAAAACACGCCGAATATTATCATCGGGCCGCGAGAATGAATTTCAAACTAATACATAATTTAACTGGTTACATTTGAAAAGAGTTTTCTATTTTTTTTATTTCCCTTGTCCTTTTTTTTTTCTTTTTTTAAGGAGACGAGCAAGTTCGCCTCTAAATGTCGGTATTCCTGAAAATATTCTTACATGGCCGATTAAACATTATGTAAATTACAGCTACTAACGAAAAATGACCAGAAAATTGGAACAAAGAGTTTCTGACAAACTGTCAAATAAGCCGTCTAAACCTTTCAAATGTATCTCACTACCGAAATCTCTCCGTTTAAGTCAATGAAGTCAGGTCAAAATTACATTGAGATTTGAATAAATAACTTCCAAGCTAATGAACCGTTCACAAAAAACTACCGCAGAGTAAAGCCAGAAACTTGAAGCATATACGGATACTCGCACGATCGCTCGTGACACCCGTACCCGAGATGGCCAAAATGACGACCTTTTAAGAAGATTCCTGGATTCATGAGGAAAATGTAGTTTTAAAAACAAACAATTCTGTCACGATTTCCTTTGAGTAATAAATTTCAAGCATGATTTTACTGATGTTGATCGCAAAAACGTGGAACATCTTTAGCATCTGATTTTTATTCAGCGTCTGAGTAGATGCAAGTGTCCATGATCGAAGACACGCGGGGAGTTTCTCCAGTCTCTACACGTGCGCTTGTAGGAAAATTAAAGGAAACTCTGTAGATTCTACCAACTTTTTGCGCTCTCAAAACAAAAGAAAAAGACGCATATCAGACCTAGTAGCATTGCAGATGCGTATTTTTAAAATCTATGCCAGTTTTAAGCAATATTAGAAAGGCTGAAATCAGTCAGTCTGCACAATTCTTGACACTTGCGAATAATCTGAAAACAGAATTTAAAATGAGAGAAAACTTTGTTTGATGGAACAGCGGCTTTTTTTAGATCTACTGATTACTGTGTTTTTTGATGAGGTAAAATTGATCGTAAATAGCAGCTAAGGTAGTTGTTATAAGGGTGAAAATAAAAATAAGAACAAGGAATCTTTCAGCCAATTTAATACAAATACAAATTGTTTTCCTGAGCGAAGACTGATTGAAACGTTTGGAGTTGATAGAGAAAACAAATTAAATTTTACTATTTGTGGAATTCCTTTTTTAGTGTTAAGGAACACTGGAGGAAGACCTTGTTCATGCCAATGTAGCATTTTGAAAAAAAAAACAACAACACTGAATCCATACTAACAAGAACCAAAAGATAAAGTTGCGATTAGCCTATTAAAAAATCTGTTTCTCCTCGCTCTTTGCCACTGGAGACGTTTCGCGCGGAGGAAACGGCGAGGAGCGCGGAGAAACGGCTGTTTTCGCAGACTACGAGTTTCGATCAACTCTGTGGATAACAGAAAAAAAGTTAAAACTTAGGCTGGAATTGGAGGAAGTTTATTTAGAACTTTTGCTTCAGAAGTGCTTGAGTCTCAAAACACTGATTCCTGTGGGCGTTGTCCTGTAAGAAAGTGGAAACTAGGTTTGTACTCAGAACGTTGAGCAACGAAAGTTGAACTGCATGAAATTTCCTTCGAGCACTGAAGTTTTAAGACTTGAACATTTCGTGACATTTAATCAAAAGTTACAAGAAGACATTCACGACGAACATTTAAAGCTTCAGGGAAAATGAAAGTATTTTAAGTTCTTAGCCTTGTCCAATCGATGATAAATCCACACTGTAATCATTTATTTTTAGAATGAAACCCTCGTTAATACAGCTGCATGATCAATGAATCTGATTTGTAAATTTATGGACTTATTACATTGTAATAGCCATTTTACACGGATTCAGGGAATAAGGAATTTTTTATCGGAGATGACTTCAGTTCGGGCATATGATTTGAAACAGGCGAAAAATCTTCCCTAAACACCTAGTGATTAAGAAAAATTAAAAAGGTGTATCTTGCGGCATGACTCCACACATTTCTCTCAGTTTTGGGCTGGGGCCGTCACGTAACTGGAACTCTTTGTCGTTGTGCCTCTTTGTAACTCCAGACAATACCGGCCGGTTTACAGTTGTAGATGAAAGTTATGGTGCTTTTCTGCCGTTTAACCGTTGTAGTTACAAAAACACGGAAGATGGCTTTGTTGAAAACCTATAAGCCCATTTAGAATGAAACGTATGTTTAACTCTCGTTATCTGAGTAGTTTTTATGGATTTCTAAGGCTCGTAACTAATCTCTTTTATTTAGTAGCATTTCTGTTAAATTGTTCACTTGAACTTTTTACATAACCTATAAGAAGGATTTTCTCAGTTTAGTTTGGAGCGGACCGTTGATCAGCTAACGCTGGTAACAGAATAAAAGAAAGGGCTTTCCCCGGTGCTTGACTCAGTGATTCGAGGGCCTTTGAAGGTCTCCAAGTGAACGAAATTAGGTTTGTTGTTAGAGTAAAATTATATACATGCATGTACAGTGAAAAGAATTGAATGATCAAAGTTAAGCTGAAAAACTGAATTCAAGGATTGAGTAAGACAAGACAGACTGTTTGATGCATTGATATATTCATCAGGTTTCCCCAAGATTTTCGAGGATTTTCTCATCAAAATCCTTCAGTCAAGAATCAATGACTGATGCAACTGTCTTCCATGTTTGTTTAATAACATGAACGAAATTCAAGCTCTTTGAGCTGACTTAGCATGAATAAAATATGAACACATCATAATTTGCCAATGTGTCATTGTAAAACAAAGCAATATTTTGAAAGGAATTTTCCTGTTTCTTCTCGCTTTTTATTAACAGGCAATAAATTAAGCAGTCATTTCATGTGCCGTTCCATAATCTCCTGAACTCCTTACAACAAGTTGTTGCAAGTGTTGAAATGAAGTTTGCTGTGGTCCTTGTTGCTGTTCTGTTTTTCACCAGCTTCTGCTCTTGCCGAGCTGCGGAAAATGTCTCTGGAAACCAAGTAAGTTTACCCCTCATTCTGCCTCATTCCTTAACACCCGATGCTTCCTACAGCTTTTTACTTCTGGTTATTTGATGAGCAATTAACATTAAAAGTGCGGTTTCTCCGCATCCACAGTAAGACTTAAAGTAACCAGTTCATTTCTCTACTGCGAAACAAAAGTTTGGGTTGAAATCAATCACCAACAGTTCTTACGAACTAAATTCAGTGTTTTACTGATTTTTCAAGTTTTAACAATATTGTTGATTTTGTTTAATGCGAAGTTATTTCGCTTGCTTCCTAGAAGATTTGTGCAACTCCAGGAAATCCGATCAATATCAACGTGGGGCAACATGGAAACGCAGTTAACGTAACTGAGATTTTCATTTTACATGTCATTCAGGTTTTTTCCCGAAGTTGTGATTAAAGTTCTTAATGCTTTGCTCATGCTCAGTTTGACCATTGTCTTCGCGAGATAATAGCCGCTCCTCATTTCCCTACAAATTCCAATACAAAACGAACATACCGATGAATGACAAAACAATTATTGAGCTCTTTGTTTCACAAAATATAATGATTTGTCAGTATTTCGCAGTTCAGTTGTTTGTCTCTGTCTTCGAAAGGCAAATTGTTTGAGTCTGCTCTCAACAATTGTTAATTTTTTTAATCAATTTCCCCTCGCTATTTAAATCCGTCTATTTTCTATGTCGGCGTTTATCATCACTTGGTTTTCGTCGCGTCTTTCCTTAATATAGAGGCAAAAGTCGCACGCATTTCAGCTGTAATAAATATTATTTTAATTTATAAACGTTTTAGTGTCAGACTGCAATTGCTTTTTTTCAATTCTACTTACGTGACTACATATACGGGTATATTCTAACTCCATTGAAATTCTTAATCAACATTGGCTTGGTTGAATAAGAGGAAAACCCGTTGGAACATGTCTGGTATTTTTTAGGGTGAAAAGGGCGATAAAGGCAGTAAAGGGGACGCTGGAATGAAAGGTGCAAAAGGGGATGCAGCAGGAAAGTCTGCACCTTGCAATTGCAAGTTACAGGTAAGATATTCCTTTGATGATTTTACAAGGTTCGTATACACCCTACTCGATAAAAAAGTGAAAGCGATGGAATCGAACTCAAGAAGTCAGAAAATATATTATATTTGCGAGCTTAGTAAAATAGCTGATAGCAAACGTAAAGCGGAAGAAGAAATAATAAATACGTATACACGAGGTGCAAAAATGAATCCGTGCATGTTCGTTGTCTATCCCCGTGAAAACTATCAGGTAGTGAAGTGAACAAGGAAGTTCCATTTCTCATTTCGAATTTCGGAGTTCCTTTGGCTTCAGGGGTTCAGTTTATAACGAAATTTAACCTTTTGTAGTCAGGGAAAACGCAAGGTTCTGAAGTATTACCTGGAGAGGAGTATCGACATTCCTAAAGAATAGAGAGAATTCCGCCTCTAACTGAATAATTAGGTCCCCGTTCAGTGTTAGCACTTGCATGGTAAATGAGTCATGAGCTTTTTATGTTTGTTATTTAAAGTCGGATATCAGATTTATTTATCTTACTGTATGCTCTTTATCCCGTCTCTTCAAGGATCCAAACAAACCGTCGGCTCACATTGAGGGAGCTAACAAAGGGGATGTCACTTACCAAGTCAACAAAGGTATCGGTCATAATAGCGATATCTTTGTTTATGGAAGCTACTATTTTGATTTGGTCACCGTCCATATTCTCAAGGTGATATAAAGTGCGTGCGGATACTCATCAGTTATCGGGTTACTGGTCAAGCAATGAATGACATGTTCATAATTTTCTGGGAACTTTTCCTAAGTTCTATACGGCTGAGTTCTTTTAAAATTACATGAATTTAAGTAGTAATAATAATAATAAACAATTTTCCAAAGCGCAAAATGCATAAATTTACTCCTGTTTGGAATTTTATCTTTAGTAACGCGGCTTTCCATACAGCGTTTATTTCTTTCATCTTGTTACCCATCTTCCACTTGTTTCATTATGAAAATTGTAATTTGGGCCACCGGGCGGACCCCCTGCGGCGGACCCAAACGTTAGACTTACCGGACTGTTGTTTGATGGTTTTGCAGTAATCAAAGACTGGACTCTAAGTGCTCCCTACAGCCATCTCGCAGGCGGCATGAAGTATAAAGACGGAAAACTTACTGTACCCATCCCTGGACGTTATTACATTTACCAACAGATTTACTGGCGTGGCTACAGAGGAAAGCCTGTCAGAATTTCTATCCTCGTGAACAACAAAATTATCGCCATGGCTCAACCACCAATGAACTCGTTGCGAAGGGACGAGTTTACGATTTCCACAGGCGGAGTGTTTCATCTTAAAGCTGGTGACGTCATTACAGTGGCCGCCACACAGTATGCTGGGATAGCCTACATGCACACTCACCACAGCTTCTTTGGCGCGTTCTTGATTTGAAATGCACCAGGATTTTTTCTAATGCACGAGTGTTTTTTGGTAGTTTTAGCCTCTTTTCTTGACGGCCATTGTGTCAAAATTAATTAAATAAAGTGTTGGGACAGCCTTTCAGCTGAATAAACTAACAATCGTTAACAGAGTTTGGCTTTAAGTGTTTTCTTCTTTTTTGCGTCGATATAATATAAGGGGTTCCGCGTATCCCAAATCCCATTTTGCTATTTTTTTCTCGTTTTCATTCGCATTATAGCCTACATCATGGGTGGGGGTAATCACTAGAATTTTCTTAGCTTATGGTGCATGCACAGTAGGTAGGCAAGAAGCGGGGACTGGAGAGAGGGAAACAATCGAGGACTACGTAAGATTCCAGTCTTTCTTTGCTTTCAAAATCAAAGATGGCGACTGCAGGAAAATTCTGAAAATCCTTGATAACAGTTTTATGAGCCCGCGAGACTGAGCACTTGGGCAAAACTCTTGTTTTCACCGTCGTTTATACACAGGAAAAAATAACGGATTCCCATTTTTGGATATTTTAGGGTATCCATGGGCTCCTGAGGGTATTTAAAGAATACCCACAAAAATCCCAAATTTGGCAAAGTGAGACAAGTCCCAATCAGGGAACTTGGTTGGGAATTCCCTGGTTGGGACTTGTCTCACTTTGCAAATTTTGGATTTTTGTGGGTATTCTCTTTAAATACCCTAAAATATCCAAAAATGGGAATCCCTTATTTTTTCTTGTGTTGCACCAACCTGGTTCAGGTTATTGTTATCTAAGGTCTTCCAAAAATTCTAATCTCTCGCTCACCAGAAAAATACGCCTGTCGACTACAGGATAGTACATATTGCATATAATTGCAACCATTCCTTTTTTTGTTTCCTTTTTAACTCTTTGTCAAGTATAATAGGAGTTGGAGAATTTTTAAGGTAAAGCGGGTTTAGTGTCTAGACTCAAGGGTACAAGTATTAATCAAAGTGATCTATTGATACAGGATAATCGCCTTCTGAGTAGAGTATGCTTCAGTAATTGAAAAAAGTAGACTGGCTGATGCTCAAAATGGCACAACGGCTGCTACACAAAGTTTTAGTTTGCTTCCTTCCCTTCTTCAGCCCACATGGAGGGGGGAGTATTCCTGGGAATTCTTGGAAGGGGAGGGGGGGTAAGCTACCCGGTTCTCCAAATCCTGACCCTATAAATCCATTACGAATTCGCATATTACTCTTCTATTCTTGTTGAGTTACAGTTGAAACTACAAATACGTTCATACAGCGTACACTCCCTTAGTTCCCTCGAAAACCATACCAGATTCCAGACCATAGTGTGCAAAGTCTATACCCCTTTTCAGACTGAAAACCATACCCTTTGGGGCAACATATACATGAGTTACGTGTACCTATTTGATGGGTTATATAAGGGAATAACACCCTCCCCCACCCCCCGCCCGCCTCCCCCACCCGCCTCAGCCAGAGAGAGGGCTTTTAACTCTTGGTCGTTTTGGATCCATATGGATCCATGCTTATTTTCGTTTTTCAACCACCCAAAACTCACTGCCAAACTTAGCAGCAAAATGAGCAAAGGCAGATCTCTTCATGGGTACCTCATTTATTAAATTTGGACTAAAAAAAGCAAGCAACATTTGGGGAAAAAATCCATCCCGATTTTGGGCAAATTCCCCTGAGGCCTTTATTGGGAAAACAAAACATTCAAGTCTGAAGAGGACTATTCCATGCGAAAGAGAGACGATAACGTGGGCATCAAAACTGGGTAAAAAAATAAAGGCAATGGGAAAAAAGGGACGACTAGCATGATCTTCGTCCACGTTTTTTGTTGTTGTTGTTGTTTGTTTGTTTGTTTTTTGCGGTTTATTTCGTGATCATTTAGGGATTGAGTTGAATTTTTAAACAGACTCGTTCCCAATTAAAGAGATTAAAAACTGGAGAAAGTAGTCGCGAGGGGTGCTGGGAAGGAAGTCAGAGCGAAATTGTCAATTTTGTCTCAGGAACGACTAGGACTGAGTCTGCATGCATTTGATTGCTCTTGGTGCTCCTAATACTTAGTCCAACCCAATTCCTCCTTCTGGGTTCTGTGCGTTCGTGTTGCTCTCAACTGAGCACTTATCACTTTAACGTATTCTCAGTGAACATAAGGGTCATATTCAGAACATCCTGGCTTATTTTTGAAATTTAACTTGGGGAAACTGTTTGACATGAAATGTGCATAGTAGTTACGAGCGAGTATTCTTCATATTGAGCCGCTGTAAACTTGTGTCAGCAGCCCAACGGGCTCCCTCATTTCTCATAAGGGAAATGTGCAAGGCAAGACTTCCCTGAGGGTTTGCGTCATCATACATGTAAAAATTTTAAGGAAAACGTTCTAGTTAACAGACAGTAAACAGACGGAAGTTCTATTCTTAACGACGATTTTTGCGTTTCGGAAAGGATATTTCTCATTCCACCACAGCAAAGTTTGGCAGAAACCTCTCCTGAGGTTCTTGTTTGAACAGTGTAAAAATTCTTTGAACGTCTTTTGACTGTGGTTGAGGAGTTCACATGAAGATTAATTTTCTTTTTGTTAACCGTTTTTTCAGGTTCCATTTGTCACACTCCCAAACTGAGCATCACTGAGCCGCGATCGGAACGAAAACAGCAAAGCAACGACTTTGCTTTGATTCAAATTGGACTCTCGACTACAGATCAGAGGAAAATGGTAAATAATTCCCAACATCTCTATTTTGCACTATGCTACTCTATTGACCACTCGGCAAAAACGTTCTAGTGGTCTGTTTTGAATGAACGAGCTACTTTATGGCGATGCAGAAGTTTTCTCCGTAGATTTTCAAAACCGCTACAAGAAGTCCATTAAATAATTTTTTTTTTCCTTTCAAACATAGAAAAAACAGTGAGCTGTTAGTTTTATTGTGGAAAGTTAGCCAAAACACGCCGAATATTATCACGGCCCCGAGAATGAATTTCAAACTAATACATAATTTAATTGGTTACATTTGAAAAGAGTTTTCAGTCTATTTTCTTTATTTCCCTTGTCCTTTTTTTTTAGGAGACAAGCAAGTTCGCCTCTAAATGTCGGTATTCCTGAAAATATTCTTACATGGCCGATTAAACATTATGTAAATTACAGCTACTAACGAAAAATGACCAGAAAATTGGAACAAAGAGTTTCTGACAAACTGTCAAATAAGCCGTCTAAACCTTTCAAATGTATCTCACTACCGAAATCTCTCCGTTTAAGTCAATGAAGTCAGGTCAAAATTACATTGAGATTTGAATAAATAACTTCCAAGCTAATGAACCGTTCACAAAAAACTACCGCAGAGTAAAGCCAGAAACTTGAAGCATATACGGATACTCGCACGATCGCTCGTGACACCCGTACCCGAGATGGCCAAAATGACGACCTTTTAAGAAGATTCCTGGATATTTCATGAGAAAAATGTAGTTTCAAAAACAAACAATTCTGTCACGATGTCTTTTGAGTAATATATTTCAAGCATAATTTTACCGATGTTGATCACAAAAACGTAGAACATCTTTAGTATCTGATTTTTATTCAGCGTCTGAGTAGATGCACGTGTCCGTGATCAAGGACACGTGGGGAGTTTCTCGAGTCTCTCCACGTGCGCTTGTAGGAAAATTAAAGGAAACTTTGTACATTCTACCAACTTTTTGCTCTCTGAAAACAAAAAAAAGACGCATATCAGACCTAGTAGCATTGCAGATACGTATTTTTAAAATCTATGCCAGTTTTAAGCAATATTAGAAAGGCTGAAATCAGTCAGTCTGCACAATTCTTGACACTTGCGAATAATCTGAAAACTGAATTTAAAGTGAGAGAGAACTTTGTTTGATGGAACAGCGGCTTTTTTTAGATCTACTGATTACTGTGTGTTTTGATGAGGTAAAACTGATCGTAAATAGCAGCTAAGTTAGTTTTTATATAAGGGTGAAAATAAAAATAAGAACAAGGAATCTTTCAGCCAATACAAATACAAATTTTTTTTCCTGTGCGAAGACTGATTGCGTTTTAGACAAAACGTTTGGAGTTGATTAAGAAAACAAAATTTTACTATTTGTGGAATTCCTTTTTTCGAGTTAAGGCCACTGGAGGAAGACCTTGTTCATGCCAATGTAGCATTTTGAAAAAAAAAACAACAACACTGAATCCATACTAACAAGAACCAAAAGATAAAGTTGCGATTAGCCTATTAAAACATCTGTTTCTCCTCGCTCTTTGCCACTGGAGACGTTTCGCGCGGAGGAAACGGCGAGGAGCGCGGAGAAACGGCTGTTTTCGCAGGCTACGAGTTTCGATCAACTCTGTGGATAACAGAAAAAAAGTTAAAACTTAGGCTGGAATGTTTGGAGGAAGTTTATTTAGAACTTTTGGTTCAGAAGTACTTGAGTCTCAAAACAGTGATTCTTGTGAGCGTTGTCCTCTAAGAAAGAGCAAACTAGGTTTTATACTAAAGAACGAAAGTTGGACTGGAACTTTCCTTCGAGCACTGAAGTTTTAAGACTTGATCATTTCGTGATATCTAATCAAAAGTTGCAAGAAGACATTCACGACGGACGTTTAAAGATTTCCGCGGAAAAAGAAAGAATTTCAAAAGTTCTTAGCCTTTTCCGGTGAAAGCCTCGCTAATACAGCACGATCAATAAATTTGATTTGTAGATTTATAGAGGGGCACTGTAATGTAGTCATGTGAAATGGCCATTTTACACGGATTTAGGGAAAGAATTCTTTTGGAGATTACTTCAGTTCGGACAGTTGATTTGAAACAGGCGAAAAATCTTTCCAAAACAATTAGTGAGTTAGAAAAATTTAAAAAGTGTATCCCTGACTTAGAATAATTAAAAAAGTGTATCTTGCGGGATGAATCCACGCATTTCTCTCAGTTTTTGACTGGGGCCGGCTTGTGTCGAGAACTTTTTGTCGTTGTGCCTCTTAGTAACACCAGACCTTGCTGGTTTACACTTGGATAAAGTTCTGGTACTTTTCTGTCGTAATACCGTGGTTAAGATGCAAGGCTTTGTGGAAAACCTGTAAGGCCATTTAGAATGAAACGGATCGGTTTTACTCTCGTTATCTGAGTTGTTCAGTTGACAGATTTCTAAGGCTCGTTTAACTTATCTCTTTTAGTTCACTTTTAATTGTTCCCGTGCTCTTTTTATACAAGGCGGATTTTTTCAGATCCGTTTGGACGTGCTGGTTGATCAGCTAACGCACAGAATAAAAGAAAGGGCTTTCCCTGGTGTATGTCTCAGTGATTCGAGGACCTTTGAAGGTCTTTAATTTGGACGAAATTAGGTTCCTTGTGGGAGTAAAATTATACGCATGTATAGTGAAAAAAAAAGGATCAAAGTTAAGCTGAAAAACTGAATTCAGGGATTGAGAAAGACAAGATTTTAAGACAGACTGTTTGCTGCAATATATATTCATCAGTTTTCCCCACGATTTTCGAGGATGTCTCATCAAAATCCTTCAGTCGGCAAAATCAATAACTGATACAACAGTATTTCCATGTTTGTTTAATAACATGAACGAAATTCAAGCTCTTTGAGCTGACTTAGCATGAATAAAATATGAACACATCATAATTTGCCAATGTGTCATTGTAAAACAAAGCAATGTTTTAAAAGGAGTTTTCCTGTTTCTTCTCGCTTTTTATTAACAGGCAATAAATTAAGCGGTCATTTCATGTACCGTTCCATAATCTCCTGAACTCCTTTCAACAAGTTGTTGCAAGTGTTGAAATGAAGTTTGCTGTGGTCCTTGTTACTGTTCTGTTTTTCACCAGCTTCTGCTTTTGCCGAGCTGCGGAAAATGTCTCTGGAAACCAAGTAAGTTTACCCCTCATTCTGCCTCATTCCTTAACACCCGATGCTTCCTACAGCTTTTTACTTCTGGTTATTTGATGAGCAGTTAACATTAAAAGTGCGGTTTCTCCGCATCCACAGTAAGACGTTAAGTAATCAGTTCATTTAACTACTGCGAAACAAAAGTTTGGGTTAAAATCGATAACCAACAGTTCTTACGAACTAAATTCAGTGTTTTACTGATTTTTCAAGTTTTAACAAATATTGTTGATTTTGTTTAATGCGAAGTTATTTCGTTGGCTTCCTAGAAGATTTGTGCAACTCCAGGAAATCCGATCAATATCAACGTGGGGCAACATGGAAACGCAGTTAAGGTAACTGAGATTTTCATTTTACATGTCATTCAGGTTTTTTCCCGAAGATGCTCATGCTCAGTTTGACCATTGTCTACAAATTACAATACAAAAAGGACATACCCATGAATGACAAAACAATTATTGAGCTCGTCGTTTCACAAAATCATCATGATTTGTCAGTATTTCGCAGTTTAGTTGTTTGTCTCTGTCTTCGAAAGGCAAATTGTTTGAGGCGCTCTTAACAATTGTTAATTTTTTAATCAATTTCCCCTCGCTATTAAAACCCGTCTATATTCTATGTCGGCGTTTATCATCCATTGGTTTTCATCGCGTCTTTCCTTTATATAGAGGCAAAAGTCGCACGCATTTCAGCTGTAATAAATATTATTTTCATTTATAAACGTTTTAGTGTCAGACCTGCAATTGCTTTTTTTCAATTCCCCTTACGTGACTACATATACGGGTACATTCTAACTCGATTGAAGTTCTCAATCAACATTGGCTTGGTTGAATATGAGGAAAACCCGTTGGAACATGTCTGGTATTTTTTAGGGTGAAAAGGGCGATAAAGGTAGTAAAGGAGACGCTGGAATGAAAGGGGATGCAGGGAAGTCTGCACCTTGCAATTGCAAGTTACAGGTGAGATATTCCTTTGATGATTTTACAATATAATGATACATTATACAAGGGAGCAATTGGTTAGTATACACGCTAAAAAAGTGAAAGCGATGGAATCGAACTCAAGATGTCAGAAAATATATTGAATTTGCGGGATTAGTAAAAAAAAATAGCAAACGTAAAGCGGAAGAAGAAATAGTAAATACCAAGTGCAAAAAATGAATCCGTGCATGTTCGTCTATTCCCCAGAAAAGTATTAGGTAGTGAAGTGAGAAAATTTGAACAAGGAAGTTCCATTTTTCATTTCGAATTTCAGAGTTCCTTTGGACTTCAGGGGTTCAGTTTATAACGAAATTTAACCCTTTGTAGTCGGGGGAAACGCAAGGTTCTGAAGTATTACCTGGAGAGGAGTATCGACATTCCTAAAAGAACAGTGAGAATTCCGCCTCTAACTGAATAATTAGGGCCCCACTCAGTGTTTCCACTTGCATGGTAAATGAGTCATCAGCTTTTATGTTTGTTATTTAAAGTCGGATTTCAGATTTATTTATCTTACTGTATGCTCTTTATCCCGTCTCTTCAAGGATCCAAACAAACCGTCGGCTCACATTGAGGGAGCTAATAAAGGGGATGTCACTTACCAAGTCAACAAAGGTATCGGTCATAATAGCGATATCTTTGTTTATGGATGCTATTATTTTGATTTGGTCACTGTCCATATTCTCAAGCTGATATGAGTTGCATGCGGATACTCATGAGTTATCGGGTTTCTGGTCAACCAATGAATGACATGTTCATAATTTTCTGGGAACTTTTCCTAAGTTTATACGGCTGGGTTCTTTTAAAATTACATGAATTTAAATGATAATAATAATAAACAATTTTCCAAAGTTCAAAATGCATAAATTTACTCCTGTTTGGAATTTTATCTTTAGTAACGCGGCTTTCCACACAGCTTTTATTTATGTCATCTTGTTACCCATCTTCCACTTGTTTCATTACGAAAATCGTCATTTGGGCCACCGGGCGGTCCCCTGCGGCGGACCCAAACGTTAGACTTACCGGACTGTTGTTTGATGGTTTTGCAGTAATCAAAGACTGGACTCTAAGTGCTCCCTACAGCCATCTCGCAGGCGGTATGAAATATAAAGACGGAAAACTTACTGTACCCATCCCTGGACGTTATTACATTTACGAACAGATTTACTGGCGTGGTTTCAGAGGAAAGCCTCTCAGAATTTCTATCCTTGTGAACAACAAAGTGATCGCCATGGCTCAACCACCAATGAACTCGTTGCGAAGGGACGAGTTTACGATTTCCACAGGCGGAGTGTTTCATCTTAAAGCTGGTGACGTCATTACAGTGGCCCCCACGTACCATGTTGGGACAGTCTACATGGGGACTTTCCACAGCTTCTTTGGGGCGTTCTTGATTTGAAATGCGCCAGGATTTTTTCCAGTGCACGAGTGTTTTTTGATAGTTTTAGCCTCTTTTCTTGGTCCATTGTGTCAAAATTAAATAAAGTGTTGGGACAACCTTTCAGCTGAATAAACTAACAATCGTTAACAGAGCTTGGCTTTAAGTATTTTCTTCTTTTTTGCGTCGTTACAATATAAGGGGTTCCGCGTATCCGAAATCCCATTTTGCTATTTTTTCTCGTTTTCATTCGCATTATAGCCTACATCATGGGTGGGGGTAATCACTGAGAATTTTCTTAGCTGATGGTGCTCAACTGCAAGCACAGTACGTAGTGAAGGAGCGGGGACTGGGGAGAGAGAAACAAGCGAGGACGACGTAAGATTCCTCACCTCTTCATTTCGCGCCACTCTCTACTCTCCTAATTAGCCTGAACAGGCTAAAGAAATAGCTAAAAAACGGTGTGTTCTTCTTTACTCTCCTCCTACCCCAATTCGACCTTTCTTTCCCCAATCTTTCTTTGCTTTCAAAATCAAAGATGGCGACTGTAGGAAAATTCTGAAAATCCTTGATAACAGTTTCACGAGCCCGCGAGACTGAGCACCTGGCCAAAACCCTTGTTTTCACCGTCCTTTTCACCAAAACTGCTGAACACCAACCTGGTTCAGGTTATTGTTATCTAAGGTCTTCCGAAAATTCTAATCTCTCGCTCACCAGAAAAATACGCCTGTCGACTACAGGATAGAACATATTGCATATAATTGCAACATTCGTTTTTTCGTTTCCTTGGTAACTCTTTGTCAAGTACACTAGAAGTTAGAGAATTTTTAAGATAAAGCGGATTTGTTTCTAGACTCAAGAGTACAAGTATTCATATATATTACCCACTGGCTCCAAGGCATTGGCTCTTTAATATCCGCTCGTAACGAGGTCGAACAACAGTAATCTATTGGTGGTTTTCAGCTAAGTGACAAGGCAGCCATCCTGGTGCACAAACCAATAACTTTCTCTTGCAAGGTTTGCATGAAAAAAGAAGAGTTTAGTTTTATGAAGTGGTGGGTTTGTCTCTTGGTTTGTCCCTGTCAGTCATAGCGCATGGTCGTCATCAGTCAGCTTGGACGGTCAGCAACCTCGTCCCCAGGGTCCTCTCCCACGGTCAGCTGAACTTTGTAAACCCGAGTCACGCGAATTTCGCGGGATTTTTTCTTGCGTGGTCACGCCCCCAGTCATTCACCTTATCAGGCTATATTTTCCATAAAAGGCATAGATAGAACAAAAGGCTTGCCATATAAGGTCTTCAAAACAAGTCTTTCCTGTCATTCTGCCCGACCACTTGTTTACAACCTGAAAGTTTTACTACAAACTATGAAAATCCGTTTCACTTTAATTGCGAGCGGAAAGGACGTTCAAAGAGTCCACAATGGTTGATAGCGTCTATCGAACCCGTTCTCTTGGAATCGGAGTGTCGGGTATTCCCGATCAATACGCCGATGGGAAGGCAGCAAGAGTTTGGCAACACTATATTGGCGGACACAAGAAGAGAACCGAGTCATACAGGGAGTTCTTCTGTAATCTTTTGAACGAAAACGGGATCAGACACATCTTGGATGTCGCTTGTGGCACGGGGTGAGAAAATTGTTGGTGTATAAAGTAGGTAAAGCGAACTTTTAGGACTTAAAACACGTTGATGAGGATCTGAAATGGAAAACTCGTGTTGCTCATAACAGCTTAAGTTTTGTTGTTTTCTCTCTACGTCTTTAAGTGTATTAGCATACGAAGGTAGTAACTTATGATCTCCAATCGATTTTTACTCAACAAAAAAGAATAAACATTAGGCTAGAAAGACAGGATACCTTCTTTGGTTGTTTCGATTTTTTCGTGACAAAAACCTTCGATTCGTGGCATCTTTGAAAGATATGAACACACCAACATTGTTTTCAAGCCGGTTACACCAGGGTAACGTCAGGTTGTATTCAGGTTTTTTCGAGCGACGATGGCACGTGAAGGAAGTGAGGAAGCCGCTGTACTGTTTACGTTTCTTGTTTTTAGAATTAAGTGTGACGAGGTTTTTTGTTCTTGCCAAGGCTAAGCAGCGATAGGAAACAACAAAACTGTCAATTGTTTTAACGTCAATGTTGGTAATCTATTCTAAAAAGTTTTAAATAAATAATAAAAAACAACTCATCCATACACTTTTCACACTTCATTTAAAACAGAAGCGGCTGATCACGCTTCAGCATGTTCAGCTTTGATGAGGTAGAAAAAACCTTCAGTGAGGTCTTGTTATGGAAAAAAAATGCTGGCAAGCAACATGGCCTTTAATAAAACATCATCATTTCAAATTTTAAAATGGCAGGTAAAATAGTGACAAACAATAAAATTAAGACTCAGTGACAGAGAAAAGATATCTACAAACACATAGTAACATACATATATGGCTATTTCGAGAAAGGTTGTCGCAAAAGCTGTGCACGCGACAATCCCGAAAGGTAATATGGGATATGATCAATACACTTGTTCTTGACACTAAAGCTGTTGAACCTACTTTTGTTGCTTTCCTTTAGCCCTCGAAAACATACGTCCATGGCCTCTCATGCAATTCTTTGAAATTTCTTTGAAAAACAGTGAACAAAAAACCAGCCACAATACCTTTCGAGATTGTCGCGTGCACTTTTTTCGACATCCTTTCTCGAAACAGCTGTATATGGGACATGGAGACTTGCCCAGTGTTCCCACACCTCCTTCGGCTTCTCCTACCCCACCACTACAGGGGCCTCTTGAAAGCCTGCATCCTTGGTCTGTGGGGATGAAAGGATGAGAGCTCAAACAATGAAGCCATGTTTGACTTTTTTTGTGAAAGGTGTGAAAATAGATTTCTGTATCTAATATTTCATTCACATTGTCTTCTCGGTGTTAAAGCAAGTTCTGTCATTTCTACTAGTTTCTCTGAAATCTGTTACTTTTATTGACTGCAGTTTACAACAATGTTATTATTATTTGTGAATTTTCGTTTGCAATATAATAGGGTGGGGGAGTAAGTGATCTTTGCTCCTTGTAGCATATGTTTCTTAAATTTCCTCTGGTGTTGATGTTTATTTACAGATAGCTACCTGACAAATATGAGTTCCTAGATTTGAAAATCTAACGGAACTGCAGGATGTTTCCAGTTTCTCAAATAAGGTTGACCTTCCTTCTCCTTTCAAGTCTTGGAGCTTGATAAAAAAGGAAGGATACCTACTACCCTGCAGGTAACTTTTGATAATGAATAACATACTGTCTAGTAGAAGTGAGTTGGACAATACAATAACAGAGGTTTAATATTCAAGTGGAAAGATATCAGATGTGGAAAGCTACGGTGCTGCCTCTACAGAAATATCCTGCGAGCAGTGATTTCTCCAGGCCTGACGCTACAGGAGAGAAACTCTCCCGTAGTGTCTGGCCTGGAGAAACCATTGTTCGCAGGGTAGTACAGAAATCAAAAAAAGAATGTTGGTTTGTCTGGATATCAAATTACAACACCAATTTAAGTGATAGTAAACAAATGAAGTAAAGAAGCATGAAATTTTCAAACCTCTATTGGATTTTCCTTCCATCAATAATACTTTATTAATCTTGGTATCAAAGTGTAGACTGATACATTCTCCTATCTTTGATTCATAATGATTATAGGTTAAAGATTGTAGTAGTTAGGGAGAAACTTCTTAACACAACAATTTCAACTGTAGTTATGATTGTTATGTTTGTTATGATTGATAGTGACCATATGTTGCTGAGGTCCAGGTGGTAAATGTTAGCCAAAGCACAGAACAGCAGTCCAAATCCTTAATAATTTTTGATAATATCATTGTTTAGTGATCATAACTCACCGAAACATTTGAAACAGATCAGACTGGATTCTGGCTATTACCATACAACAACAACACTCTAATTTTTTCTCTTAATTTTTTTTTTTGGAGTCATTAAGACTACACTCCTGGTAGTTTCTGCTGATACATGACACCATATGATATTTTGGTCAGGTGCATTTTACAGAACATTAACTTTTTGACCCTCACTCTCTTGTTTTGCTTAAGGGTTGATTCCATAATGCTGCTTGAAAACAACTTTAAGGTGACAAGCACAGATGCCAGTGATAAAATGTTAAAACAGGCATGGAAGATTCGTTGGCAGCGTCGGAAAGAGGAAGCTTTTGATAACTGGGGTAAGTTCTCATCAGTATTATGATGATTGGTGCCATGATTCTGTTCATGTTATAGAGGAACCATTCTCCAATTAACACTTCAGATCATGAACAACATCATTAACCGTTTCTGTAATAATACATCATGTCAGCAGTGGTAGTTGTGGAGTATTATAAGAGGTTTTGAACATTTAAATTTTATGTGAATGCCTTTGGATTTTTCCAGATCAAGGCCTTTTTTATGGTTCTCCTAAAAAATCCTTAATTTCCGAGTGATAAAAAATCTTGTGTTCGAGATAGAGAAGCTGCGTAATCAAATGGATACGTTATTTATATAAGTTGTGAGGACACTTGTGGCTACTAACTTGTAACTTTTCTTCCAGAAATTGAAGAGGGTAACTGGCTGTCCTTGCAAGAAACTCAGATTACAGTACCTGAAGGAGGATTTGATGCCGTTATCTGCCTTGGCAATTCATTTGCCCACTTGCCAGACTTTCCAGGAGATCTTAGTAATCAGAAACTGGCGATTGAGAACTTCAAAGATATGTTGAAACCAGGCGGAGTGCTCTTTATTGATCACCGGAATTATGATGCCATTCTTGATACTGGCAAAGCCCCCTCAAAGAATTTATACTACAATGTGAGTTTGTATATTTGAATGTGCTTGCAGGGATAAATATGGCAATTTCAGTACAAGAGGGTAAGGGGAGGCCTCAAAGCCAGGTATGGGTATAGAGGGAGTGTTTAGGGATGCTGTGATAATATAATTATTGTGATATTAATTCTCCTTTCTTGGTCATTTGTCTCAGAGATAAAATTGAGTTGTAATGAAATTGAGTCCTGTGGACTGCAAGTCCATCACTCCAACTGCACAGTTGGCCAAGCCATTACGAGTGAACTGTACGTCATCACGAGTGGGTTCTATAATACAGAGAATAATAATCATCTTTTTGTGTGATTGTAGAGTGACTGCATTGAAGGCATCAAGACCTCTGTACTGTATGTGGACGGTAGAGAAAGTATGATAACTCTGGACTACACCGTTGACCCCTCCAAAGCATCAGAAGATTTTATGGAAGAGGGAGAAGAACCAAAAGCAAAGAAAAGGAAGTCAACTGATGGAGAAGTCAGGTAAAATAAATTATCTATAGATGCCCACAGGTTGGTTTGGAAGGTGGAAGGTTGTAATCAGTAACAACTGAATCTTTTTGGTTTTCCTCCTTGTGCTGAATATCATAATTTAAAATAAAATAGATGTATCTTAGGTATTATTATTTATTATTGACAGATGTTATAATCATTTGCAGCAAATTCCGTCTGTCATACTGTCCACTTCGCCTGAAAACCTTCCGCAGCCTTCTCAAGGGCATATTTGGTGAGGAAGTAAGGCATGAAGTTTTTGGTGACTTTGAACCACTTGGAAAAGTTGAGCTTCCTGCATACTATGTGCACATGATCTGGAAAGCAACCAGTGAGAATGGTGTGGCAGCAACTTGATTAGTACAAGCAGTGGAAAAATTACCCTTCTCCTACTTATAAGTGTTCAGGAAATAGATAAGAAACATTCATGATTATTATGATCACTGTACGTTAAAAAATAATAGTTATGATAACTAAAATAGTGCACAGAGGTCCTGCCTTGCATTTATTTCCCAAGTAAGGTTAGCCTGTGTAGCTTGCAGTTGTCTTGCAGAGTTGTCAAAAGAAGCTGGCTGCCAGCGAAAATCGCTGCCTACCTAGTTAGGTATCGGCCATGTACTCTGCTTGGCATTTCTTTATGGATGGTGTTTCTTAAATAAAATATTCCTGGACTGGCCACTGACTTTGACAACTCAGCTGTCTACTTCGAAACTTTCTGACAACCCTGAAATGAGCACAAAGTCGCCTCGCTCTCCACGGCCCCTCCTGTTATATCCCATACTTTGCGCATTCGCAGTGTGTTCGATGTTTACCATGTGCTCGGTCGGACATGCTTCTGATGCTTGTTGTTAAAATTGGCCTTTTAAATACGTGAAACATTACACCTCCCCAAGATATTCACCAGCTATGAAAGCTAAACTGATGCATGTTAGCCATGAAATTTTAGAGAAATAAAAATTATAATGTAACCTAGTATAACGATATAATATGGCAATGTGAAAAATTCTTAAATAACTTTGGACCAAAGTTTTGGACAACTTCTTTGCTCATGGGTGTCAGTTTTGTAAAAAGTGCCTCAGTAGCAAGAGGCAATCTTAATTTTTACTTCATTATTTTGAATGTAAAACTTATCAACAATAAAAAAACACATGCAACAGATACTATAGCAGGTTGTGATTGTTGTACGATTTTGTAACATTGAATCTGAGTGAGATAAAAATCTCTTTTCTTTCATGGTTTTAGTTTTGCTTTCAATTTCTTAACTTATGAAAATTAAACCAGGAGAAATAACTAATACATCATACCTGGCACCTGATTGCCATTAAAAAGGCGTCAACCAAAAAAATGGGGCTTTTTTTAGTTTGGAGAAGCAGTAGCATTTGCTGTCCATCCCTTCCACTGAGGGTAGACCCAGGCAGTGGTCATTTCTTGCTTCAATTGGATTCAATTTCAAAAACAATGCTGTCTGTTTATGATTATAATTGACCACTTCATAAACTACCAGGAGAAAGGTACAAGCTTTGTAACAGTGATTTCTGGGATTGTTTGGAATGACAGAAAACAATGATTGGTTAGTGGTTGCCTAAGATTCCCATCAAGCAATCATAATAATATTATCCAGCAAAGCACTTCCAGAAGTCACTGTGCCCAAAGCTAGTATCTATTCTCTTAGATTATTGAGCTGCAAATTGTCAGAAACAAAGTTTTGCATCATCACTTCCCTGTCTATCTCCATAAGGCATACTAGGAATAAAACTAAAAATTATTATTCTCACAAACACAAACTTCAAAGATAATTTTTTTTATTTGAAAAATCAGAAGCAGCCTCTACACTGTCTTATGAATGTTCCAATAGTTTCTAGTTTTTACCTGGAATAAATAATGCTGCTTTCAACACTTTACTTTAAGTTTGTTTCGAGGGCCAAGGCAACTTCCGTGACATCTAGAACAAACAGCCAGTCCTCGTATCCTTACATAGTTGTCAATACTGCTAGCACAAACTACCACATTACAGCCATGGGACCAAATAACTAGAAGTATTATTTACCGAACAATATAAAGAACCCTGATAGTTTGCCCCTGCTATGAACTAGACATTTTCACTGTTCATTGTTCTAAGATGTGTGACACATGACAGCTGACTGTGTAGCTTTCACCTAGTGAACCAAAACTGACTTGGACACCAATGCAGTTGTAAAATTCTGACACGGCAAAACATGCAACAAGCTTTGCTGTCTGGTTTTTAGCCTTCCGAGCTATAACTGATGTGTAGTCTGTCAACAGTGCATGCCTGCAAGTGTTTTCTATTGTGTGGCAGTCTGGTGTGCATGTCCATATGCTGCCCCATACTGTTGATACCACTGACTGTAAGTGTAAGCATTCTGGAACAAATGACAACAACATATTCATGAGGAATTTTGCTACAAGGAAAACAGGAGGAATGGAAGCCAAAATTAAAAAAAATGCATGATTTGAATAGTCACACCACAGGGTTAAATCAGATGACTTATTTAATGTTAAACATCAACAAATGGCTTGGGAATAAAAGGGTCTTTAAAGGGAACTCACTTGTCCATGAAAGTGTTCTTTGAAGAAAAAAGAGCTTTTGGAAGCAATGGCAATACATCTGCTTCATCAGTCTGCTCATCATCAGAGCAGAGATCAATGGATAGCAGAACAGTACAGTTGCTGTTGGCAACAGGGAACGAGCAAACAGTCACTGATCAGACGTGTTCACTAGCAAAGGTTGCCAATGAAGGAAAACCCTTGAAGGGAAACCCTTCATTGTTACTGTAAATCCTCTGTTAACCCCTCCCTCCTCAATAAACCCTCCTTTTTCAGGGGAAGAAAGTTAATATGGCCCCCCTCTTTTAGGCCTTCCCCCTCCCCTCCTCCCTTATTAACCACTAATAAAACTTATTAGTGGACTACTGTCAAACTTCATCTGCCCTGATCCAGGATGGTTTATGCACCAGCTGGAAGTTTGGATTTGTGTTGGATCCTCAGCTGCATGCCCTCCAACTTCTTGTACCTGAGCTTTTCCACTTGATACCGTCGTCTTTGCTAAACAATATAAACTTCCCTGTCTCTATTAAGCACCTCCTCAAATGTGTTTGAAATAAATAAGCCCCCCTGGAGACTTAATAGAGGATTTACTGTAATAAGAACTAATAGACCCAAACACATAAAGTTCATTCAGTATAAGATCTTACCGGGTGAGCTGCAGAATAAGCTGCCCACTGGCTCTGAGGTGTGGCATAGCTGTAAGCAGAAGCAGCTGCAGTGTAGGCAGCAGCTGATGAGTAGGAAGGGTCGTAAGCCCCAACATCAGTCAATGCTCCACTTGTCACCTGCTGGCTGCTGTCTGCTGGTACTTCTTCACTTTTGGCCATCTTGGATTTTATATCCGAGCTATAATATAAATTGAAAACATCTGTCATTAACCTAACAGCATCTTATTTCCCATAAGAAAATGTCATTGCATAATCAAGTATAAAGGTCTTGAAAATAAAGAGAATGATCGCCCCCCAAAATTAGCAGTTTCTTGTCAATAATTGTCTGTGGAGAACATTGCATTGCAGAAGTTATACTCTTATTCAGAGCTGTGCTATAGCAGTACTCAGGGTCCCCTAGTGACTTGCATTGTCTTATGGAGGCTGTCAGGAAAATCTTCAATTTTGTACCAGAAATACATGTTACATAATGCTAAGCACCCTAGATTTCATAGATGCAGAACTTTTTGACAACCGATAATCATTTTTCTCAGAGAACAACCTTGGTATTTAAATTGAGGGTAAGGTTTTAATAAATAATTGGGATAAAACAAAGCAGATCACTACCAAGGCATTGTGTGTTAAAAAGCACATAATGCATAGGAGCATTATGTGCTGTTTGTATCAACCCAATTTAACATAATTAAAACAAGGATTATTGTGGCACATCACAACAAAATTCAACCCCCAAAGACAGGGGAGCTTCAGAATTGCAATATGCGATTTCTCTTGGCAACAGGGAACGAGTGAAACGTCATGGATAGGACACATCCACTAGCGGTAGGTTGCCAGATAGCTGCTGAGGAACCGTAAGAAAAATATTACTATGCAGTACTATGCAGTCGTACTAGCTAGTTTGAGAACTTACCCATCTACTTCTTGTGATCTCTTTCTGCTGCTCAAGGAGATCAAAGCAGACTTGCCTTTGTACAACTTGGCATGATTCTCCTGAGCTGCCATTATTTTTGAAATATCACTGCTGAAATCTTCAAGAAACTCAACTCTTCGCTGGGAAAATCCTTGCTTTGTTTCTAAATCCAATTCACTGTCTTTGACTAGGTCAAATACTTCCTCGATTTTTTCTTCATTTACTGGGTAAGTACTTAGTTCCAGGTCCAACAGCTGGAGGTATAGTCTCTTGTTACCCTGTGCACAGTTAAGAAATTAAAGACAAATTCTAAATTTGGGTTAGGAACAAAGATTGCCCTCACTGCCCAGTGACTGCTAAATTTTAAGATGCAAGTCCAGGGTTCATGCTTAACCTTTAAGAGCACTGATCAAAGCTTTGAATAGAAGATCTTTTCCACCAGAAAAAGTGGTCAAGGTAATGACAGTTACGGGCTTCTTAAATAAGGGTTTCATAATCATCTTTTAAAAGCTACAAAAATGAACCAGAAAACCATTCTCTGTGTTTTTCAGTGAAGCACAAATGTGCAGTCTTGCAATAATTTAAAATTAAAATAAATGAAAATATGGGAAGTCAAGGTCAACACTGTTGCAGATAGCAAAAGATTGTCTCAAAATAACCAATGAGAATCAGCAGGACATTGCTTTATGCTTTTTACTGTTGGCAACAGGGAACGAGTGAAGAGTCACAGGGCAGACGTAATCACTAGCAAAGGTTGCCCGCTCTACTTGCAATAAAACCTGATAAATCATGTCTTCAGGAAGCAACAGTGATGATCAGAACATCAACCTTACCTTATCTTTCTCCAAAGCACCTTTCAGTACTGTCCGGGCCTTTTCAACATCACCCAAGACCTACAATGATAAAAAAATCTAATAACCAAGTCACCAATCAACTTCAACCACAAGGTCTCCTCATTATCCAATATGGTGGCAGCGGCAGGAGAGAAGCCTACAGCCACAGGGTTGGAAAACAAATCCCTAGGGTTGAGGTAGGTTACCAGTATACAACAAAGGCCAATATCAAATTAATGTTCCATTTTTATGCTAAAAAACCTCTGTCTTACAAACTGCATGTATGTATCCCAAATATAGGCGCACAACTTAGAACAATGGCATGTGTACAAACAGTCGAGTGTCACCTTAACCCTTTTTTAATTCCCAATAGTGACCAAGATCAAATTTCTCCAAACAATATCCATACACTCTCAAGAGATAAGTTATGAGAATTAATAAAATGATCACCAAAGAGAAAATGCCTTGATCTTTTATCAAATTCTCTCAACTCATTCTTTAAGGAAATGTATAGAGATCAGTTTGGAGAATTTGTGTGTGGATACTTGGGGCTTAAAGGGTTCAACTGTACATGATACCTTAGCTAAGAATCTTGCATATCTAATGGCAAAAAATGTTGCAAGTTCCTGATCACTTGTCTCAATCATAGCTTCTTCATATAACCCAGACACAGCATCAGTGTTTCCTCTTCTTCTTTCAAGATTTATTCTTCTTAGCTTTACCATAATTATCCCTGGTACTCCCTTGTCCAATTCAGTAAGGATCTCAGATGCCTTGCCAGCATTTCCTAGAAACACAAACAGCATGCTCATTGCTCACACTCATACGATGAATCTATTGTCATGAACAGGTCAATGCAAAGAAAGAAAATACGCCAAAATTTAATTTGAGTTATTTAGAACTATTTTATAAAATAATTCACAATGGCTATTGAAAATAAAGGTTTGAAATATATTCAAGTTACCCCTATAATCTAGCCCTTTTTTTTCGGAGAATGGGGGGAAAAAATGCCCGATAATTTTATTTCACAAGTGGTCTGCTGCCACCAAAACAAGGCATGTGTCATCATTATTTTGTGTTATAACGAAGGCAGCTAGTTGAATTTATCTACTGTCCAGGCAAGCGGTGAATGCTCCTCAAATCAAATTCTGCCTGGTCCAAGCAAGAAAGAGTTACTGAAGACGAATATCAACTCGTCCTCAGCAGCTGTCGAGGTTTTTCTCTGTGCATTGTTGACTTGATTCACTAAAAAGTTTTTATTTTTGTGTTTTAAGACCTAGCTAACCTAAGCTTGCTGTTAAGAAACAATCGGGAAGAAGGCTGGGCTGATTGCAGGTTACTCATAATCCTGAGTGACATTGCCTTATAAATACACATCCTTTAAAATCTGTCATCCCACCTTGCTGTTCTTCAAATGCAGCCCACGCTAAATGGATAGAAGGTTTCCTTGGCAGATGTATCGTACAGGCTCTCTCATAGACATGTCGACATTTTTCAACACCATGTCCCTCCATGTAAGTGGCAAACCTTTGCCAAAAGTCTTCATACAATGCACATGCAATTACGCAACGTTCAAAGAGAATAACAACTCTTCTATGATCCCCACTGCTTAGTTCAAAGTCAAGGTATTCCCTCCAGTTCTTAAGTTGGACACGTTCTAATGGCTTAACATGAAAGTAGGGCCTTTTAATGGCTTCTTCAAATGGCCATCTTTTTCGCACCTCCTCTTCCAAAGCATTAAATACCTTCTGCCTAGCTGCTATTACTTTCTCTCGGATGGCAACGGTCTCAGCATCATTCTAGCAAGAATACAGAGTACTTATTAAAAACAGTGCTCCAAGCTGCAACCCGTTTTGGCTGCCATGTCAAGTACAAAAAAAAACTGGCCACCAAAATTGCACCGAGTCAATGCCAAGAAGTTCTAGTGTTTTTTCAATAGCTAGCGTTTACGGTACACTGAAGCTTTGTAAAAAGCTAACAATCGATTCAAATTGATCATGTTACCTACAGACAAAGCATACAATTTAACCATGTGCCTCACCTGTGCAGAGACGGAGCTTTCTGCTCCAGGAGCACACAGGTTCTCCGTACCTGGTGCAACTTCATCAGCTTCTGAATCTCCATCTACACCTATAGCAGATAGTTAACAACCACAAGAAAAATTAGAACAACTTCATTACACCACCTGTCTGCAATTCTGTAGTAACTCAAGTTGCCTAACACCTGCTATGTGCTTTTATTTTCTGATGGTAATATCCTTGCTGTTCCAATTCTCCCTAGCCCCTTCCCTGCATTCTATTTCCCATGTCAACACTGCAAAGACTTTATGTGGAATCAAAGCAAATGGAAGTAGATCTGCTTTACCTCTACCCACCAAAAGAGCAGTGGTCAAATAAATGCAGACAAATACAGATGTTATAGGCAACAGGGACTGAGCAAAGAGTCACTGAACAGACACATTTACTAGTAAAGTTGCCACATCCTTTTATCATCATTCTCTGTGATTTTGTTACCTCTGCGTCGTAAGTCCCTGACGCATAAAAATCCTCAAAGACACAGAATAATTCATGGCATAAGTCCATGTAGGACGCAAAGATAGAACTTGAGATGTTTTCATAAAATACCTTGTTTTTGTGATTTTGGTGGCTGTTCTCAAGGCTATTGTTTAGCAATTCATGTTTCTTTTAGTCTCTGTTGTGCTTTCAATAAAAGGAGTATAATTATTCCAGGGTTCTCAATAGATTTTTAAGTAGGAGGTGATCACTGATAAAGTAGGAGGCTCTTCAGCAAAGCCAGAGGTGTTCAAAGAAAAACTTAAACAAAAGGAGCTATAAATCCCAAAATTATCGCGGGTGCCGCCTTCTATTTTTATTCTTGGTTCAGTAAACTGTGATACAGAGTTTTGGAGTCAGACTGCCAGGTTAAATGAAGGCCCAAGCTTTTTCAATTTAGGACTCATTGGTTCTGGACTGGGACTCATGACTTTTCACAAGATGAGTCTCAGGACTCACCATAACTATTTGCAGTAAAATCACTGCACTTTGTAAAATAGCAGTAATCATAAATCAGTAAAGTGGATTTTGCCTCAGTGAATTCTGTTTTTAACTTGACCGATGGGCAAGTGATGTTTTTTGAAGAATTCGAATAACAGAAAAACTGTGAATACAATTGTGCTTGTCAAAAAGATTTTGGGGCTAGTTGAAATGACGTCTGGGCTAGTAAATGCTAGCTTCAGGTTGCCCGAATGGCAAGCTGTAAAAATGATTTTCTTTGCACCCTGGGAAAGAGTAGTCCCTATCTAAAAGTAAATTTTAATGGCTCTTGTTAGGACATGAACATGGTATTTTTACCTGGTGGATGTGTTGATGTTGTAGCGACGCTGATCAGAGGCTCAGCTTCTGCAGTGGTTACACCGGGAGGAGCTGCTGCCACTTCAGCTCTGAGCTTCAGTAATTCTTCTGTACACAGTACTGCGGCTATGGGGTTAGAGTTGATGTGCTGCTTAAACCTGGAGACAGATTACACACTGTCATGAATAACATCTAATACAAACAGTTTTCAATTATTATTGAACTCACTAGACCAAAATAATAATGCTAAAATGTTAGAAATGCTTTATTTAGCTAACAGGCCCTTAAGAGTTACAAGTCATGTGACTGTGCCTATGAAGCTATGCAGGCTTATTTATTTTAAATTATCCCATTTCTTTGCTTTCCAGAGCAAGAAAGAAAGAGAAAAGCTTGCAGCCACTTGGCTCTCCCACAGCACATGGGACTTTGTACAGAAAAAAACAACTTTAAGCTTGTCCTTTGGGCAAGTGGCTCTTGTACATGTATTTTGCTCCTCTTAGTTAATCATTTTCTTTAGAGTATGATTTGCCTAGACTGCTGCCCACTGGGAAAGTCAGCTTTAAAGGTTACTTTCCTAGTAACAATGTCTTTTTGTCCTGGACCACTGGACAGGACTTTTTTCTAAATGGAAAACTGATATCTGAATCTGACAACTTTGAAAACTGATATCTGGTGATGGAAGTTCTTACTTTTCAAAATGTTGGGTGTAATTCTGTGTTGGGACTGTGAAGACTTTATCATAAAGGGCAGTCACCCTTTGCAGCTGGCCCTGGCTTTTTTCCCACTCAATGTAAGCATCCCATAGCTTGTCTGCTCTGAATTCATCACCAGCAGTAGAAACAGCTCGCTCAAATAAACTACAAAGTAACAAAAGAAGCGCAAAAAAATGGAAACTGATCCTAAAGGAGATAGAACATGACTTGTAGATTTAAAAATGTTAAAAAGAGGACTGAACTATAAAAAATACCTTTTCCATCAGAAAGTACCCCATACCAATATTGACCTGCCTGAGGCCAGCATGGGTTGCGATGCACACTACCACCCTAACTGGAGAGTTACTAACAAGAAACACATGGCACAACAAATTATGGGGGTTAGATTTACTGCCAAAATGAAATTCAGAAATTCAAAAACAAAACTTTTTAAAGTTTGAAAACAAACACACTCATCAACGGTGAATAATCCTTTGGTGTGCGCTCATCTCTAGGATTTCAACCATTTATATTTGATGCTTGTCATGTCTTGAGATGAAAGTGGTACTCCTGGAGAACAGATAGACTGTCAATATCAGTACAAAGGTACAGATTAACTGTACAGATCAAAGTTACCTTCGCATGAGCTGTGGGCCATCAAGTTGACCCTTGGTAGTCAGCGAAGCAAAGTTCAGATAATGTACCCACAAATCCACACTTAGAGGGATTGCAGCAATGGCCCTTTCAAACACCTGAAAAGAGAAATATGCAAGGCCTGTCAAAATAAAAACTAGTTTCCAAATAATAATTGATTGATTAATGGATCAGAGACCACCTCCAACAGTGGCTAGAACAGTTGTCCACAAAATGATTACTACATGTGAAAAAGTGTCCTCGCCAGCGGGTTCTCAGGAACAAGAAAGCTGCTACCTTTTGACTGAAGAAACAAAGCCACAGTTGTAGTTTGGGAAGCGAAGGCGGAGCTCAAGGCAAATCAGTTTGATGCCATTATCCAAAATTGCCGATCAAAAGTTAAAATTAGCTTCAAGAAATTTCATTTTTTACCTCTTTGGCATTATCTATGTTTCCATTCTTTCTCTCCATGTCTGCGTACTTCTTCCAGTAACCATAGCAATAAGGATAACGCTTGAAGAAAGCATCAAAAGCTTGCCTGGCTGAAGAGAGCTTGTTCTAAAGTAAGAAAAACACATCAATTGCCAAGTTAGCAGCAATTACTCGGCTTTTGATATCAAAACAAAGTGCAGGCTGGAAAAACAATCAACAAGAAATAACCTCCAACAGAAGTTTCTACAAACGCTGACTTGCATGGTTTTATCCAAGTAAAGGGCTAAAATTATCCTAGACAAAGAGAACGATTTGTCAGAATTCGCAAAACGTGCTCAAGAATCGAAAGTATTATGTAAAACAGCTGTTAATGTTTAACAACAGTTGCTTTTTCCAAGTGATGAAGATCAGAGCAAAAGTAGAAGTGTTTAATACATACCTCTTGCTCCACAAATTGTAGGAGATATGTCCAGCTAGTGAAGTCCGCCGGATTTTCCTTGACAGCTTTCCAGTATTTAAGTTCCTGTTCATTGACAACTTCATCTTGAGTAGTATCAGAAGAATTCTCTTGACTAACTGCAGCCTCTCCATTTTCTTTCGTTTCAGGCATTTCCGCATCAGCATTAACTGCCGTAGTGCTAGCAGCCTTATCCCCTGAATTCCATTGCAAACAAACACAGTTAACAGATCGAAGGTCGAACTCGAAAGATAATTGAACGGCCGTACACAAACACGCTGCAGTATTCGAAGTTATGATAAAGAGGAGCCGCAAAGTAATGAGAAAAAACCTTCTTTGAAAACAAGGATAACAAAAACATAAATTTCAGCCCTCCTACCTTCAGGATGAGCCTGATTTTCGTTGGATTCTTCGTGAGAAGCTTCTTCTCCTGCAGTCGCCATTTTCTCTGCAGCGTTGTCTTGGTCTGAGGGAAGGTGGTACTAGTCACGTGAGTGACTCGGAAGTCGGAAGTAGGGGTGAGGGTTAAGGGTGAGGGAGGGTTAGGGACGGTGGGGTAAGTGAAAAAAAAAATCTTGATCCAAGATTAGCTCATTTACTATGCTAAGGGTAGCTAGTATGGTATTTGTAGAGACGAACTACTCGGGTTTCTGGAGGGAACAAAACAGGCAAAACTGAGCACTCTCCATGGGACAAAGACATCGTGCATCAACTTCATTTCCTGCTATGATTGTGTAGATATAAAGCATTCAGTAGTCTCCGAAGCACTAGTGATTTCTTTACTCAGTTTCCACTGCCAGAAGACTGACAGGAGGGCCAAAAACTGAGGGGAGGGGTCCGTTTTGGAGAGGAAAGATTTATCGCTGACCTATATTAAAAACAGTGTTCACGGCTCAAGAGATAGATACCGTGACCCCAGTGACCCTGGGATAGCGCGCAGTCACGCTACATTCTAAAAATTAATAGTTTACATACCGATAAATATCCTTGTGACCAAAACGGACTTGAAGAGGACTTTTCCAAAGAAAATGGACAGATGTCAAGTTTATGAAAATTTCCTTTACGTTGCAGCTCTAGCCGCTGCTTGTTGTGTTTTAGTTCCTGTGAAACTCAACGAATCTGACACAAACGGCAATTGTTTGCTTTTCGCGGAGCTCAATGTCCTCACGAACACAGTCGCCACGGGCAACAACATTTTCTGTTCTTTGGCGTTTTACGCGTATCTCGTGAATGCTGCGTTAGCTGCTGTTTTGGGGTTTCTTAAGTCTTGCTGTATTGTGACCACGGAACGTTTAAGGTAAAAGAAAGTGTTAATTATTTGACGAGTATTGCATACAAATAATTGTTTTTGTCATAAAACAATTGATGACAACATTTGATCTCCGAACTCTTTAATAACACATGCACCTATACATACATAGTATACGAATTTAATTCCTTCATTTTGATTTACAAATACCTCAGCAATTCTTAAGACTCTCTCATAACTCTTTTTATACGTTGGACGTGGTTTTTGTTGTTTTCTTTCTTGTCGCATGATGACTACTAGTACTTATTCTTTTGTTGTATTTGTTTTTGACAGGTGAGTACGTGGGAGGGAGGTAATTGCGATTAAAATCTACCCATTCAATGACTAATAAAAGAATAACAACAAGAAGCAGGAGCTAAAATTAGTCATTTTCTCATTTGACTCTCCCCAACCCACGGGACCGCGAAACAATTCCCTACCCCTGGGCCTGAAGGGCTGGGTTTGCCCTAGGGGATACCTCAGGAGGGGCACAAAAAAAATACACTTCATTTCTAATTCTACTCAACCTAAACGTAAAGTAAAATACATTCACTCTGACAGCAGTTCCGCACATCAGCTGAAATTAAGTATTTTTTTTGTTATAGTGCTGTATATTTCTTATTTGCAAGCAGTATTGTGTCAGCTTTAGTATGGATCAGCTGTTTGGTGTGCACTATTTTCATTGTAATTGGCCTAACAGAGTGGTGCAACTCAGTGGAGAAGAATGGAAATGTGGAAAGGTATGTATACGGAATCACAGATTGTAAGTGGCTCCAACAAAAATTTAGTATGGATCAGCTGTTTGGCAACCATTTTTGTGCACAAGATAGTTTTTTCATTGTAATTGGCCTAACAGAGTGGTAGCGTCCACTAAACAGATCTTCATTTAAAAAACTCAGTGGAAAACAATGGAAATGTGGAAAGGTATGTATAAGGAATCACAGATTGTAAGGGGCTCCAACAAAAATGCATATGATAACTTTCCAAAGCAACCTCCACCCCCGGTCTTTCATTCAGAACCTAATCTGCATCATAGTCTGAAGCATAGTCTGTCACTGCGCCACTTTCTTTGTCAGTTTTAACACAATTCCATCTCAAGAGACAGAATTGAGGTGTGGAATCCACAAAAGTTGCAGCTCACAAGAGTAACCAAAGCCGAGAGCTGGGAGATTGGAGAAAGTTCCCTGTCGTTGTCCTCACATTCCAACTCCCTTGCTAAATCAGTTTATTCATAGAGCTTACAGCCATTCAACAGATGCTGTCTCTCAAGACTGTTTAGTTGTTAAAAATACGTACATATTCTCGTTGTTGTTGTTTTTTTCATTAAAATAATAATTACTATTTCAGCTGTAAAGATGCTGAAAACTGGGACTGGACCCTTTTTTTACCAACTGGCATTGATGGTAGCAAGTTTTACACTCATCTTTTTATGGCAGAGGTATCTAATTTATAAAATGTTGAAATTAAAACAGATTTATTGTACTTTTAAAAGCTTTGTAGTTTCCACTTAACACAAATACAATATACTATAACCCTCTCCTAGAGCCCTTCTGAGTTGCCAAATGGCAATATATAGGGCAGATGGCAGCATTATTTCCTGGATATCCAACCTAAGCATGACAGATTTTTGAGGTGATTATACATTGGAGTGTTCAAAAGGTTACCTGTATTTCTTAAACGTCATTGCTTTTTTCTAACCCTGGAATGAAAGTGACTCCCTATTCAAGAGAGAACCAATATATTATGCAGACTCAAAGATTTCAACATGCTCTGTAAATGCTTTAATAACAGTTCATAAATATTGTGAAAGTGAGCTTTTTACTGGGGTTTATAACCTGAGATTAATAAGCCAACATGAGTGAAAGGAACTCTACCCAATGAAAAAAACCTAACTGAAACAAGCCTTAACTCAATGTAGATTAAAAACCATGCTTGACACCCTGCCAGGGGGTCCTATGTCGCCTGTCTGAATTTTAAAATGTCTTGTGTTGGAATTTATAAATGCTTGTTGCTGATTGTCGGCTTTGCCGTCACTGTCGCAATTTGACCGAGGGAGGTTGTCTCTTGTCACGATTTCATTTTACACGCTGTCGCTACTTTTTGGGCCATGTCGCTTGTTGGCATTTACCCTGGCAGGGCCTCATGCTTTATACTGCAACACTAGCTTACATGGAAGTCCCCCTAATACCTCCCAGTGAATAACATTCTCTCCGAATGATTCTCAGATTGCATCAATTGCTAGTGTACTGATTTGGTTTATCATCCTTATCCTGTCTGGGAGGAATTTCAAGCAGAGCTTGCTGAATGTAAGGGCAGCTGAATACTATCGGAATGAGGAGCAAATGAGTTACATGTATCCACCACCTATCCAAGACATACCCGCGTATGAAGTCAAAAGTGATGGAGGATCAAGATTCTTATGATCGTTTTGTTAAATCAAATTCAATAGTGGTTCAAAAGGCCTTGTAACAGGAAGTGCCCATGCCTATGGGATTCTGTAACATTGAAGACACTATGTCACTTGGAATGCTTGTCCATCACAGCTCTAAAACCATTTGGGCAGTACACTTTTACGCAGCTACCTGAGAGAGGCTATAATATTTTGCAGTGACATTTTTCACTTCCACAGACCATACAGTCCTATACCAAAGACCATAGGTACAACATTCTAAACTTTCTTCTCGATCTTTTTACTTTACATCAGCTGTTAATTACATGTATAGTGATTTTGATTTTTTTGTGTAGTTACTCATCATTATACATGATGCATAATTTATATCATATTTACAACGATCAAATAATGACATTAAAACAGTTAAAAACCTAAATAATTTCCTTTTTATTGCACTACAATCAATATATCACGCGCAAAAGTTAGTACCAAATTGAAAACTATCATTTTGTATTTATCAGACATTAGCCAGGATTTACGTTATTATTACATTAGCCTAACTAATTACTATTCTCCATAATCATTTAACCCAATTCTTTTGACCAAATTTACCAGTATGTGTTGAGGCCTCAAATGTAATAAATGACCCTAAATGTAATAAAGGTCCTAAATGTAATAACTTTTGGCCCTAAATGTAATAACGGTCCTAAGTGTAATTCTTTCAACTCTTATTATGCTTAGGATCATAAGAAGATTTCATAGTGTTTGTTTTCAGCCTTACTACAGGTTAACTGAGCGCAAGAATGTGTCTAGGGAAGAATCAAACACTAAATACCCCAGGCAGATCCCCTATACAGCCATTTGAGTGACAACTTATTATTATTCATGTGGTGAAATCCTGGAAAAAATAGTTAGCATAAAATTCACTTCAAGAAGTACTCCTGGTAGAAATTAAAATCAAAGTCAGGAAGTCAGAAAAACTATCAAGATACACTGCCCTTAATATCTTGCTGTCTATATATAACTTTGTGTTCACAGCATTCTGTATGGACCGACCGACATACTCTTTTGGAAAATGATAAAAAAATAAATAAATAAATAAACCATTTCTTTTTTTGGCCCAACATTAAAAAACCCTATAGGCAAAAGTAGTTAATTTACTACGATTGTTTCTAATGAACATTAATACTTCCTTCAACTGCTAAATTACTACTGTATTTTGAAAACTTTTGTGAACTCGCGTTTTACGATGTAGGGATGTACTACGAAACACGATCTAGTCGTAGTTAATTTATAAGTGTTTTTCCTACTTCTTGAGCGCTTTAGCCGCTTTCTAAGTTTATGAATATCTATGAAGACTACAACAGGGCGAAGAAAGTGAATCGCCAGCTGGCTATAAAATTAATATCGCATCAGACCGTTGCATGTTTCAGTCAGCGACTTTATCAAGTTTGGGGCTGTTATACTACATACATGCGGTATACTGTTAAGACTTCCATTACATTTAGGGCTAAAACCTATTAAACATATAATATTATTAGACCCTTTATTACATTTAGGGCCAAAAGTTATTACAGTTAGGACCTTTATTACATTTAGGGCCAAAAGTTATTACACTTAGGACCTTTATTACATTTAGGGTCATTTATTACATTTTGAGGCTTCAACAGTATGTTCTAGACATTGGGGTCATTAAAGTTTCCTGAATTGTGGATTTTTTCCATACCAATCAAAGATTTATTTAAATTTTTAAATATCTCTTGAATTTTTCATGAAAAGGGCTTAAATATAGCAATTTGCTCAATCTATAGGACTTTAAAGGAGCGGTCTGAAAAAATAGGATTTTATAGGAATATAGGACTTGCTTGACACCCTTCACAGTATTGCTTTGCCATTCATTTGCGATCTCCTGTCTAATACAGGTCAACACAATATGCAACACGTAACTAAACTATATAGGTAGTAATAGAAGTCAACATTTTTAAGTTGTTTCATGGTAAATGATTACACAACAGTTAATCTACAGTGGAATTGCTGTTGCATCAAATGTACTGATAAATTTGAGGTCTTCTCATGTTTTCCCACAATGGCTGAGGTTGATTTCTGGTGCATACATGTGGTATTGGCATGTCATCAATTTTTGACTCAGTATTTCTGTATTTCTAAATTTTTCATATGGTATTGCGATACTGGGTACTCCTTAAAGTCCCCTCTTCTGTCTTCAATTTAAAACCTTTTAACATCATTTGTTTTACAACCCATGACAAGCCTGCCATAAGGTAATAATTAATATTATATTACATTGGTGGGGCTCCTGTGAATGCTCGAAGAACATGGACTATACACAAAAGGAAAAATATGAAACAGGAACACCATGAGCACACCTAAGAAAACAAAACCAACAAAAGATTGATGAGCACTGGCTAACCTGTCTTTAGCAAAGTAAAAGACCCTTATCATAGTGTACAGCACTACCGAAGCAGGTAGACCACGAATTCAAAGATACATGTGAAAGTTGATTTTGGTGCCAGGCGTTTTAAGTCTCTTAGGTCACATGGCTTTGTTTATCAAACCAAAAAGGTGAAATCGGGAGGTAGCGGAAATACATTTCACTTGGGATATGTGTTTCCATAAACACACATCCCTAGTCGTAGTGATCAAATCCTTTGAGTGTACTTTCCTTGCTAAATTTAACTACAGCTAGCAGAAAGCAAACACTACTTGAGACAGCACTTCCTTGCATCGCTAATCCTGGTGGTTTTCAAATACTGATCCGACCTTATTATTACAGAAAGACCGCGCCGTGCATGCATGGTGTTGTTTTCTCATGTGTCAAGACTAGATCACGACTATTACTGTGACATCACAGTGATATGTGTTCCTCCCTAGCGAAACGAAACCCATCAGAGTAGTCAGAGTTTATATATAGCATGAGGAGGCTGAAACCGAAAGAACTTTAACCAACTGACTTTCCACAAATGAAAATTTCTCCTTTTTGGTTGACAGAGAACACCATCATTCGACTTGACCTTATCATTGTCCAACCAAACGCTCAGGAATAACACCACATGAGTTCACCTTTTTGGTTCAACAAACAAAGCCACGTGACGTATTAAGTCGTTAATGTAAAGTGCCAAAATGAACTGTCACACGTATCTCTGAATTCACACTCTACCTATTACCAATTTTATTTTGGCACTGAATAAATGCTACAGTTAAATTTTGCAGACAGCAATTTTTGGCAATGCGATAAAGATTGCATGTAGATATTGCATTTGCGTGGCAGATTACTATGATTTATACCACAAAATTCTACAAGCAGCTTTCTGTCCCACAATAAATGTATTGTTTGGTTACCTATGAAGTGCTTCTTTGTGCCATTCATACAAATGGCTGCTGAGAACTGAAAATTCCACCGTATTACTTTGTTGCTTATGGTTTATCATTTCATGTGTCTTGGCATTCAATGTGAGTGGTTACTTAAAAATATTTCCCAGAATATTTCAAGTGTTTACAAAATGTTTGTGGTTTGACAACAACAAACCCCTGGTATCAACCTAAGAGAAAAATACAACAATGATACTAGTCAGTACATATTAACATTAGTCTTAATCTTTAATGCTCTACCTAAGATTACTGAAAAATAAAGACTTTTACCATTGTTGATTCCAGTAAAGAATAACCTTTATCACAGTCACAGTACTTTGGAGTAAATTTCTTCCAATCCATCGAATCAAAATGAAGATCTGTACATCTGCAACAGAGGTTGTTAAGATCTGATAATCCCTTCATCACTTAAAATAACTGCTAGTTTCAAGGGATTGGTGGACCCTTCATTATTTGACCTACAAAAGACTTAACACTGAAATAATTACTGGTGTGTTTTCTGACCACTACTAGGCTTTTCACAAACTTCTTGTCAACGTGTGCAATTCACTCCTTCAACTAAACAAAAAGCGGAGGTTGTTTTCCTATTCAGGGTGGATATTGTACACTTATTTTTAGTTCTAAACAAGATCAGAATTTTTCTTACTCTTTAAGCCCCCATGGCTATATGTTGTGATTCAATTTTATCCTTGGTTTCAATTTCTCTTTGTTTTTGTTTTCATACATTAACATACTCCAAAACAAAGGGAAATAAAATTTAAACCAAGGATCAAAATGGAACTACAGCATATATACATTCAAATTCTCCAGAATGATCTTTATACACATCCTTAAAGAATACAATGTAAGTTGCGGGAATTAGATAAAAGATCAGAGTAGTTTCGCTCTGGTGATCATTTCAATTCACATAACCATTTTTATTGTAATATACTATAATTGAACTAGTAAATGCCTGAGGCATCTATTTAATTTTAGGGGTCCAAGCAGGGGCGTCTAATAGATAGGAGGCATTTAAAAACTACAATGTAATACATTTTCGGCAGAAATATCAAGAGAGTTTAGAAATAGTGTAATATCCCTCCAATTGATACATCTAGGCCATCTAGAGATCCATATTACACTTTGAAATTCCAACATCGATGTCAGAATCTTGCTCATTGTTATTGTGTTGCTATCATTAGTCTATCCTTACTTTAGACTTGACATGGAACAAGATGAAATAGCAAAGCCTTGTAGATCAAGCAAGAAACTGAATGAATTAAATGATTTTGCACAATTTGGCTGATTCCTAGTATTTTGGACTAATTCTCATAGGGGGCATTTATTATAGGGTGGTATCTAATACAATTATTTTAACTGTGTAGAAACTGTATTATTAGGTCATTTACTGTATTCATATTGTTAGGAGAAAGTTGATGTAAAAGTTGCCAAAGATGAAGAAGACTAGTGAGTTTAAGCAGCGACGTTTTTGAACGACACATGTCAACTGGATGTGGCCTTTTTGCACTCTTCAGCAGTAATTTTGGACAAATTTTTTTAGCAAATCGTCTCCATAAGAGTAAAGACAATTAGCAACACAAATTTGGTAGCGTCAAGCAATATAAAAAGAGAAAAAGGCTCACTTACAGTAAACTGTCAAAGTGTGTCGCTCAAATACGTCACTTCTTAAACTCCCTACTATTACCTGTTAATGACAAATGAGTCACATAAGACTTGAAATCCACGGCTGATTACCAAAGCAGCAATAAATGTCGCCAATGTAGAAGCTATCAGCAGTGCAAGAGCATTAAAGAAATTGCTATAACCCCTACAAGTGATAAATAAAGGAAGTTTCAACAATGAGAAAAATGAAGGTACTGGTATTTGCGCTGCTAATGGCAAGACCTACCCATGGCTCAGATGACCATGCAGAAATTGTGGTCCCATTTTCAGAAGATGTCAAAACTGTGTCGTCAATTAGTACTGTCACGCTAAAGACATTGACACTTACTTGACACTTACATAAATACTACTACAGTCGATCCTCCTATAATGCAAAGACTTAATGTCGCTTACAGAACACACTATACTCATGGTGATAATCTCGCTTACCTAACTTTCCCTCTTCTTATAAACCGAAACAAGAAAAGTAATGCAGATCCAAGAGCTATAACGTGTAAAAATATCGGCAAGGCACACCATACTTTGTGGGATCCTTCCAGGATCCTTTTCCTCTCATAAATTTTCGCGAACAATAAGCACTGACCAGCGCATCTCACCGTCACCATAATCAAAGTAACGCATGATGCGATCTCTAAAATTATCGCAACAATCAATAAAATGCCATCACTGGAAAGATATTGACTTAAAGAAGAAGTTATTCTCTGGTGAATGGAGCGCCAGGAAGAAGACAGCAAAGAAGCCGCCATTGCTCATACGATCGAGGGCCACTGGGTTCTACTTGCGCAGTAAAATATCTAAAATGTTCGAACAGTGCGCATCGCGTATTCGGCGCGTTTTTTCGAGTCTTTCGCCGCGTTGTTTACTTGCGAAATAGAAGACTACCGTTAAAATGGGGTAAATCTTCGGTTTTGTATCTCTGCATACAAAAGTGCGCTCAGAAAATGCCTCCGATAAAGAAGAAGAAAAGAACGAAAGTTGATAGAAACTTCGGAGAACAAGGTACGGTGAGGAAATTTATTTTATAGAAACAATTAATGAAAGTTTCAGGACTTAACTCAAGCTTGCTGAAGTACACAAACTATAAAAATCAAACTTTTGAAATTGTTTACAGCTTAAAACAGTTTTACAACTTAACAGCGTTACAGTGAAGCCATAGACTAGAAAGGGTAAAAATTTTGCACAACTCCATGCTTTTATCATACGTACATTGATCTGTCTATTCAAATAAAGCCTGTGTGCATGTATGTCTTTGTCCTTTTACTCCGTGCAGGTTCATGAATTTATTGTGCAGCAATTTCATACTATTTCACACAAATATTTTTAAACTACACAAAATACACATGTATGCATATAAATGTTGCAGTTAATTTTTCATTTCAGGTACTTTTTGTTTTTCCTTTGTTTCAAATTCATTAGCATACATTACCATATCCAAAAGCAATGGAAAAATAAAAATTAACTGAGATAAAAAACATAAATAAATGTATGGAGCTGTACAGAAATCTTACAAGTATCCAGTTTCAACATACTGTCCATTATAAGTAACACCTGATTTAAACAATTGGAGAGTGACATTTATCATGTATCAATCTATTTTATTTGATTTCTTCTCATACTCCCTAACCACGAAGATGTTGTAGTTAATTTTTTATCTCAGGTAATTTTTCTTTTTCTTTTGTTTTTTGGTATGTTAATGTTGCTAATGGCATTGAAACAAAAGAAAAATAAAATCTACCTGAGATAAAAAATTAACCACAACATAGGTATTATATTGTCAGTCTTAAACTCAAAGACAGATAATGCGTTAAGTCAAGTTATCTATTGAAGCCGTGTTAGAGTAAAATTCTGACAAGCAACATGGCTTTGAAACGGCAACATGAGACAAAATGAAATGGTGATAGTAATAATAATTAACATAATAATAATAATAATAATTTAATAATTTATAGCTCCCAAATATCTATATGAATATAATCAAATGACATAAAGATGGGTTGAATACCAACAGGAACATGGCCTAATCCTCAACACCCGAAAGGATTGTATTTGAAATAAAGACTACAATCGGCGACAAAATTGTTGAGACATTGTACTTAACTAGGGTAACTCCAGAGAACAAAAGAATCTGCACCCCTCCCCTGTCTCCTCCAACTGGGCTTTTTTACATTTTATTAACTTCAAAAGGAGGAAATATTGCTTTCCTCCCCCATCCCCTCCGTGCAATGTTGTGCCCTTGTTCTAGCTACCTATAGAAAACAACAAACACCCCAACTTTGAATGGAGGGGACAGGGGAGGGGTAGTGTTAATCAAACTAAAGAGCATAGTCAAACTTAATACTGCACAAACTAGAAGATGCATAAAAACATCAAACTCATGCACCAAACTCCTACTTTAAATTATCACTGATCTAGTACAAAAATAGCCAAGATCACATACAGGTATTTTTTTATTTATGATCTGACATAGCCTGTGCTGTAGACAAAACTAAACTCTGGTTAAGTCGGTCAGTGAAACAGCGCCAAATCCTTGTTCTGGGTCCCCACCTTTGTACCAAGATTTGAGTACGCACCATGATTAGCTTGTTTAAACAGCCTTTGTTGATTTGCCAAAAAGGTTAAAGGAAATTCAAGATAATTCATTGAGTCCTGTTGGAGGCCCAAAACAAGGCTATTGGCGCTGCTTTGCAGTCGTTACTCACCTAGGTTAAATTTCATCTGTGGTGTTGGCTAGATGTGACATTGTCTTACATTCTACCTACAGAAGAAACCGAGTCTTCTGAGTCAGGAAAGCTAAGTGAAACCAATGAAGTTGTCAAGCACTTGTCAAGAACAAGATTAGTAAGTTCACTCCACAGTAGACTTCTGGACGTGTTAAAACACTCCATGATTAAAATATTTTTTGTCTGAAACACTCATTAGCCACCATCCTAGTGCCCAAGAGTGGTAGATATTAGCTTGCCTGCCTAACATCTTAATTATGCAGTTTTGTCAGGACAGTACTGTACTTCTGACCTTCACCATGCCCAAAGCATGAAAGTATTTCAACTATTTTCAAGTTTCTTTGACTTCCCTTGCCTGTTTGTGTTAACAGTCACTGTAAGTTACTCATAGTATGTTTGTTTGCCTCATAACTGTGTCCTTCATACTTTTAAACTGTGCCATATACATTGTAGGTCTTGAGACAGATATTATATAGATTAGTAGGAAGCATCAAAAGCTGGAAAATTAGTAAAAAGGTCAAGACAGAAAATATGACCCCTTGATACCAGTCCAGTTTCAAACAGTACTGTAATGCTGTCCTTTAATTAGGTGAAAAGAAAATCCTTACATGATTCTGAAGGGGGATGACTGTCTGAAATTCAGCTGTAGTAGTATATGGTTATCAAAAATAGTACCTGTGACCAGCGATGTTGCCTTTTACTTTCATGATCAGAACACTTTGTTTACCCTCAAAAATCCAGTTGTGGAACACTTCATGTTGAAAACCCTTGCAGGACAATAATAATTATTACGTTACTCAGTACAACTAGTAATTGAAGAAGTGGTTTTGTCATAATGATGCTAGTTTGTACAGTATATATATTCGTTGTTATTATTAATACAAATGGTATCATAGGATAAAGAAAATACCCCAAGAAGAGCAAAGAGTTGGTTTGCTCAGAGAAAAGAAGGAGATCCTTATGATGCAGACTCTGAACCTGAACATGGAGCTATCCCTCTAACAGCAATGACCATTGATCAGAACATTCCTCTGGATAAACAACTCTTCCATTCTAGGCTGTCACCAGTACATACAGATCATTCTACACCAAGCATAGCACCAAACTGTGGTTACCAAACCTCGGATTGTTATGGATTTGATGACATGCCTTCACCACTTCCTTTTTCTCCAGTGGGACAACCTGTTTTGCCACCTAGTTTTGTCCCCAGCTCTCCTGGATCTGTTTCTGTTACATCATCTATTACGTCAATATCTCCTGGAAAAAGGAAAGCTGATCCTCGTATTTTTGATGTGCCAATCGAGAGACCAAGCAAGAAAATGAAGAAAAAGAAAACCAAATTGTTGGTGAGTATTTTGTTGATAATAAGTAATATTATTGGAGACCCAACAAGGCAAATGTCAGTCAGGTGACAGACTGGCAGTGACATGACTTTGTGATATTGATGAATCAATGACGATTTTCCATGTTCTGTACTCTTATCGACACCATTGCATAATTTCCATGGTCCTAACTCCTATCAAACATAGCTCTCAGCCAGTAAGGGCATGAGAAATTGCTCAGTTATTGTAAAATCTGCATTTGACGTGGCAAGTGGCTCATCAGGCTAGCGCTTATGTTGACTTTGGTTTTCCAAAGCAGAAAAGAACAAGGGATATTTCTACTTTCCCCTGGATGGAATGCTAATCCATCACAGGGTTACCCTCCAGAATTTGATTCACCAGTATACACCTGGGTGGAAGAAGGAATTGTGAGAGTGAAGTGTCTTGCCTAATAGCACAACATACATGTAGTACCTCGGCTACAGCTTGAACCTGGACCTCTTGTTCCAGAGTCCTGTGCACTAGCCATTATGCCACTGTTTCTCCACTTGTTATGTTATCAAAAAGCTTTCACAAATACTAGTAGTTTCGCTCCCATCTGGTTTCCCAGAGTTTACAGTCTTATTTGTAACATGCAGAATAGCTGGTGGTGAAAAATCTACAAACCTCTAGGAAACCAAGTATTAAGCAGCTACATTTTCATCCTAAATATTGTTGGGGTCATCAGGCAAATTTCATCATCAAATCATTTTCCTTAGTTACTGAATTGCTGTCCCCTCTAAGCAAACATCTCCAGGTAATGAGAGTTTGTTTGGTCAAGTTCAGCCCCCCTTTTTTTCTTTGCATGATTTACAGCTTTGCTTCAAAGTCAAGATATCTTATTTGGTTCGTTTTCAGGATACAGAAGATGAAGACTGGGTATATGAGTTGAAAGCACAGTTTCAAGAAGTAGAAATGGTTGATCTTGTTATTGACTAGAGAACAGAGTTTAATGAAAGTTTGTAACTTACTATGTACCTTTACCAGTAACCCTGTGTGGTGTAAATAAATATTATAAGTAATTATAACGTATAATATAAAGGAGCTGTGATAAAACACAGTGATCAAAGAACAACAAACCTTACTGCCAGCAACAGCAAGAATTCCATGATCAAACAAGCTTTGTTTGAAAAATAAAGAAAAAGCACTTTCTCACCGACAGACTTTCACCAATTTTAAATTAAACAAGCATTTTTAGCAGGACTTTCCATTTCTACTAGTAATAATCTTGAATGTGTACTATGCATCTGTCTAATTTATTCCAGAAAAGAAAATTACCGAGATGATGCTTTCGATAATGATGTTTAATGTTTGTTGTGTTTTAGTGAATGTAAGAATGCAGCTTTAATAGTTTAAATCCATGCATATGCAGCATGCGTCCAGCATAAATGTCTAGTGGAAACTGTAATAACTTGAGGAAATATTGTTCATTCGCAGAATGTAATTTTGACAGTTTTTACAGGCTTAGCACACACTAGACTTTTTCTATGCTACACTGTACCATTTTTAGGGTCAGTTTCTAACACTCTCTAAAGTTTGGTCTTTCTAATTCATTACTACACCTGGGGAGGAGACCAGGGCTCATTTTTCAGAACAGGGGCTTGTACTCCACCTTACATGTCCAGAGACAATTGATTTTGATTCGTTTTGTCCTTGAAACATGCCACAGAGGAGTAATATAGCTTCAACTGCAATATGTTGCCTGGTGTGTGCCAAGCTTATTAAGGTCAACACTTGCTGTATACTGTCGTAGGTACAGGTAGTACAGGTACAGTTAATGAACTGGTCGCATTAATAATTACACATCTCTCGGACTAAAAAATGAATATGTTATTTCATGATTCAGGGTCGGCCGGGGTAGTGGTATACCAGTATGCCGAAAAAAAGTATACAATAAAAAAAAATTCGTCAAAATACCCAAAATTATACCCACGTATACTTCATACCTGAAATTCAACGAAAGTGATATACCGAATACCCGTATTTAAGCTGCAATATACCGTATACCCGATTTAAAAAGCCCCTGTATACCGTATACCCAAAAACCCTGGCCGACCCTGATGAATCTCTGAAATCAAGAACACTGAAAACATTTCATGGTACATCTGTCTGCGAGAAAAAAATATTTATTCTGTCACGTATTTTCCCTACATGTGTTGTGTAAAAGGAATAAATCTGTGAGGTAACTCTTCAGTTTTGTTGAACTGTAGATTTTACGGCCCTGTACGTGGCTACACTCATACTTGAAAATCTACTGGAGGATTGTTTTCTCTCTACTGAATGGGAAAGGCCGTTTCAGTCAGGGGCACCCAACGAGAATATAGCTCAAAACCACTTAATCATAGCATTGTTAAACGTATTTTAGTATTTCAAAGGTAGATATAGGCATATTTTTATCTCCTAAAAACTTTTCATCTGTTCGGAGTTCCTAGCTGAAAGTCTCGAGATCCGAAAATCATAGGGATCAAAACTTACCTTTTCGAAAATTTCAGCCCGAAAAAAGGCTAGGGAAAATTCTAGGTGAGCTTTTTAGCGTAAAAATTCGGTAAAAATGGGCAATTACACCAATTTTTAGATGTTCGAAAATCCTAGGAGAGGTAGGCAAGCAAGAAATTTTACAAAAAATGATCGGAAAATTCTAGATCTCAAATCGTCTTCCGAACAGATATTTTCCGAAAATTGACGTTGGGTGCCCCTGTTCAGTTAATGCAAGACTATCAGAAACATTTTTGTTTTCAAAAATTCCGTAATAATGAAGCACTTCTGGTCTGGTGGCCAAGAAACGGAAAGTGCAATTTACCCTCGTTCACTACTTTCTGCTATTCTAACCTGAGATCAGGCGTTATTTCTTTTGTTTGCTTCTTTACTTCTTTGACTCAAGAGTGAAAAAAATAGTTCCTCCCGAAAACAGATTACAGAGATAAAAGGAGAGGGCATGATCGCAGGCTACTGCTATTCATGCTCTCAGTTCCTTCCCACCCCACCCCCAATAAATAATTACCAAGTACCGGATAGAACTCTGTAAAAAATTTCCTATGACTAGACTGTGGGCTTTCTAAAATCTGATACCTACAAAAAGTTCAGTGAAAGCTGGCTCGAAAGTGTTTTAATTTTTCACAATTTGGTCGATATAAACGTTTTTCGAATAAGTTACGATCTTCTACGGCACCATGACAAAAATTATCTTAGAAACCGGGTTAGAAACCAAGCACATTTCAAAGTAAACAACAGAGCACTTTCACTTTCACGTTCTTTATTAACTGAGGTGTCACGCCAGGCGTAATATTTCGACATCGCACACTGGGCTCCTTTCAACATGTCGGCATGGCTGAGGTCCATTTTCATGTTATTATTCTTCCGATTTTCAACCAAACGAAATATCACCCTCATGTTCAAGAACATATGGCTTCAGCTTTTGATAACATGGAGAAAGATTTGTTATTTTTTGAGCAGAAGGTTTGGTTTGCCCTTGTGGAGGTGAGTACTCACTTTCCCGCTACTTAAGCCTTTTCTCAGCGGCTTAATCCATAAATACATTACTGGCCGCAAGGGTTAAAGCTCTAGTTTGTTCTCCTGGATTTGGCTGTACTTCAACATAATGTGCTCCTCACACGAGGGTATGATATATCAGCCCAGGTTTTCAACTCTGTGAGCGCGGATGGTAAGAGCGGTTCTGATGATAACATCCTGCCAGATGAACGAGTCAAAAACGACTTCCAACGCTTTTTGATGCCTTGACTGGGTTAAACTCTTGTACGGTATGCTGTAGACATGGGGGTATAGACTGAATTTTCGATTTTGTTTTCATGAAAGTATTTGGCCGCTTGAAATCTCGAAATTTTTCTTCAAGTTTGCTTCCCGTTCAATCTTTGTTTGAAGACCCGGAAGTTAGCTTACCGGGACGTATAAAGCTACCACAACAGACGACAAAACTGTTTTTCTCATCAGATCTTGACAAGCAAATATTTCAGGTAGCGTAAGGACAATTGCCACAAGACGAACACGATCAGGAAAGAAATCAAAGAGTAGCTTGTTGGGTCTAACCCCCAAGATTAAGGCCAACTTACGACGTAGCCTACCCCCCTCCCCCCCCACCTCCGGTAGATGATAAGCCGAAATATAGACCACGTGACCAAAACTGTGGGGACAAGAATGAAATGTACGTAGGAAAGCATTGGGTGCTAGAGGTATTTATTTTCTCGCGTGCTTTTATCGGTACGGTTCATTCATTTTTGTCAAGTATTACCTGAATTACTATTTTTTTTTCTCTGCAGCTATATTTACGGCAAAGACATTCCAGCCACTCCCCTTTCATTGTTTCTGTTTAACGTTGGTAAGTGGCAAGACACGGTTTGGGAGGAAAGAAAAAGATTTTTGTCTCCTTACATCCCTTTCGAGGAGAAGTTTATTGGTGAAGTGTTTGGAATGGGCGAAGTTGAAGTACGTTACACAGGTAGCTTTCGGGTTGGACTCCAATCCTTGGGGATGACCGGATCCGACAATGACATGATGTACATCTACAAATCCATAAGGGTGAACACCACTCAGAAAGCAAGTTCTACAGACCATTTAACCATTAAAAGTTCTGATCAGCCAGGTCATGTATATCTGAGGCTTAACGTCCCCAAGTCAGTTTTTATACAGTTCTATCACAGGATTGCATTAAACGTGCAAGCGGACAACTTTGGTTTCCCATCTCCAGGAGAGGTTGACAAAATCTTAGATGAATCGGGGTTGCAAAATCTACAAGAGGGACCGTGTGAATTTTTTCTGTCATCCGAAGTCTTTACCGAGCTTCATTCTCGTTTCAACTATTTTCGGTTCGGCGGTTGGGTGACCTTTCAACAGTCTGGTCCAGCTTCAACTGTACGCTGGAACATTTCCACATTGCCTAATTACGTGAACCTTGGGCCCCTGGATAATGTGTTCGCTCTTCACTGTCCCTCTTGGCCAGAAGAGGCATCTAGTTGGCTTAAAAGGGAAAGAAAGTTTGGCTTCCCCAAGGACGATGTTGTCAAAAAGATGTTAGACTACGGAGTTGACCTTGTTCCCAAGCCCAGAAAAATGGAGCACCCATCCTCATACCAGAGAAGAAAAACGTTTATGTGGAGGCTTTCGTTTTCCGTCCCTGAGCTGCTGCTTGTCAATTCCTGGAATGAAGCCCAAAGGATCTGCTACAGGTACGCTAAAACGCTGATGAAGACAAATCTTAAACACCTGGACATTCCAAGTTATTGTGGCTTAAACGTAATGTTTTGGCTGATCGAGCAGACGGACCCAGCCCACTGGGTTGATCATCATCTTGTGTTTTCCTTACAGATGTTTTTTAAAAATTTGGAGCGATGTTGTCTGAACGGATTTTGTTCTCATTATTTCATACCTGAGAACAACCTATTCATAGATATTTCTCAGGATAAACTGCTCAAGGGTTCACAGACCTGTAGGGAGATCAGTCAGAACTTGTACGTTCATCTCTGGCTAGATGAAGGAATTTGGTGCTATTTGAGTGGACTTCGCCAAACCACTTGGCATTCATTTAATTCCGCATCAACATTGTGCAAAATGTGTGATGAGAACATCTTGACGGAATTTTTGGAGAGGTGGTCGCAGGCCTTATCAGACTTGCAACGGTCTTGCGAGAGAAATTTTCGGATTTATTACTGCTTAAAAGTGTACAGAGAATTGGCTCGTGCCTGGTATGCGTCAGAGCAATACCCTCAGCGAAGGGAATTCATCCTTAAAGCTGTGAGAACATTTCTGCACGACTCTCGCAAAAGACAACAAACGGCAGAGGAGAAGTTCATTGCCGACAGTGTTTGCTTTGCAAACCTGAGGTGCTTGAGGGCCTATTTCCATGAGGTTACATCTGTCTCAGAATGGCGCTTTTTCTACCGAAAGGAGTTAATCCAACTGCAGCAAGATCTATTTCATCGAAAGGACTTTCAGGGCTCTGTCAATGTAGCTCTTCATAATTACTTGCATGGAAACTTTGAAGCTGCAGCAAGAGTTTTAGAAAGTGACTCTTTGACGGATGAAACTGAGAATAGTGCGCAAAGCATTCCAGTGTTTTCTCCTTTCGATAAAAGTTCTGCTGACCCATTTATCAGAGAATTTCCCTTCAAAGGACACGCATTTTACTGTCCAGAGATCGTCGTTCGTTGGTACCTGTTGTGGAAATGCTACCTTGTGATGGACAGAAATGACACTGAACGAGCTGCCTTGGCTCAAAGGAAGCTCAGAGAGCTGGATCTCTGCAATTTATATCAAGAAAACCTCAGAATAATGAAACCATTATTTGAACCGTTTGGGAGATATTTGAAAGACCTTGCTATTCGACATAAGGACAGGTCATGATTACGACTTAATGCATTGACTTGACAAAACACGGCCAGAGGAGACGTTGGAGAGAGTAAAAACTCCCAACATTGTTGGGAACTGCTGGGCGCGCTCCATTCAACCAAAATTTCCGAACGGTCCTACCGGGAAAAGTGGTCCACGTCAAAAGGTGGACAAATTTTTTTCGAAACTTTTCCGGTTGGACCAAACCGATTCATTAAGTTTTGAACCGAAATTTCCGGAACTTTTGGTTGAATGGATCGCGCCCGTTGTGTCCGTTTGCGCGTCGCTAAATGTTTGACCCGTTTCAAACCGGCTTTGCGCAACAACTCCCAGCAACACGCAACAACAAGCAAAAGGGTAAGCAAACGGACGCAACATGTAACATCCAATAATGTTGGGAGTTGTTAGCCAACAATGTTGCGTCCGTTTGCACTGGACTTTACAGCAATGTCTCTTAAGCCCGGTGCAAACGGACGCAACATTTTTGGCCAACAACTCCCAACATTGTTGGATAGGATTCCGTTTGCACACCCTGTCGTATGATGTTGGGAGTTGTTGCGCAAAGTTTGAAACTGGTCAAACTTTTAGCTACGTGCAAACGGACGTAACAACTCCTAACAATGTTGGGAGTTGTTGGTCAACAATGTCGCGTCCTTTTGCACCGGACTTTATAGTATACTGGACTTTGTAACTGTATAGTATTTCTCGCTGAGCAAAGCTGTAAATAAGTGAAAATCAGCTTTCAAAACAAATATACTGATATTAATTCAAAGATGAAATGTCTTGTTGAAATGTGAACAATATGGCCAAGGAAGTCAGAAAACAAATTTTGCGTCATAGAAAGTTCAGTAAGAAAGATCCAGATGTAAGCACAGCGCACTAAGTTCGAATAGAAATTACAGTATACCTCTCAAAAACATTGCATGATTAGTCGATGACTACTCGATCCATGAACGCCAATACTGGTTTTAGTGAACAATACTTTAAATTCCAACCGCGGTGAGCAGGTACCACCGGTTGCAGCGGCCGTCCAGCAGGTGACCCACAGGAATACATGGTGTGCAAATCATGGTCCGACCCTGCGCAGTAAGAACATTTATTTACTGATCTTTTGTTCGAAAGAATACAAAACATATCCATACACGTGTGGCGAGGAAACGCAAGGGTTTAGAAAGTATTATGTGTTCAATTTGCAAATGAAGAGACGGTGAGTGGTGAGTCATGATCTCTACTATGATTTTTCCTAACCCCTTCGCTTCTTGTGCCGCATGTAGCCTGTGAATTCCAGATGAACGTGTGTCCCGTTTGGAAAACAAAAATGTGGCAAAAAGGGTCGAGCACGAATCTGATCAATGTTAAAATACCAAAAGACTTATCATTCTCTGAATTTTACGGTGAAAAATAGTAAGAAAAAGAAACTTAACAGCATTATATTTTTTCTTACTTCTAAAACCAAATTACTTTGACAAATCACAACAAGTTTTGAATTCAATGTTGCAATTACCGGAGAATTAAGCAAACTGAATATAAATGTAGCCCGCGGCGACTAGCCACGTAAAAAGCGTACGAGTGGTTGCAAGTCAACATCTACATCTACAACTTATCCTTATTGAGTAAGTAAGGATACTAATATTCTGCTGGGAGTTGTTGCTTCCGTTTGCACGCAGCTAAAAGTTTGACCGGTATCAAACTTTGCGCAACAACTCCCAGGAAATTCTCAGGAATTTTGATTCTATTCGTAGTTTCATGTCTTCGCGTGGCCTTCTAGCCTGTGAAATGATCAACTGGTAATGCCATAGAAAAGCATGAAGAGCACATTTTGTCCATGGGGACATTCTCAGTAAGGAATCTACGAGCGGACACACAAAACGTTGCCATGAGGAACAAACGGACCTTTCCCAGGCTGATGCGGTTTTTGTTATTCTATCTCGCCACCTGTGTGGCTGTGTACCTTTTCTTTCGCTATTACTTGACGAATGACCATGATTATGGAACGCCAATGCCCGCAGCTTTTATTCACGAGAACGTTTTGAGGCCACTGAAAAGTTTCCCCTCTGTTAAACTTACGGTGTCGCCGAATGAATTGTTTGAAAAATTATACTATCATAAAATCAGGACAAGACCAGGAACGTTCCATGAGCCAAGCTGGCACAAGACAAAGAATGATTTTGTAACAAAGCCGGGTGATTCTTCAGAGAAAGGCGATGAATTTATTCCCGACTCATTAGGTTTACAAGAGAAAGGGGATAATAATAGTTCCTTGAGTTCTTTAGTAATAAACGTGAGTTCGACAAGCAATAGTAGCATTCATCAAAATGACAATTTTGACGGTAGCCAAGATGACATTTTGGTGGAGGAAACTTCAACAAAAGGGAAAACATATAGTTCTTTAATAGCCCCGAACCAAGAGAATAATAGGATGAAATTAAGTTTACTTCATAATATTTCAAGTCTTCAAAGAACTTCTAATTCGTCATCGACCATTTGGCATCGATATCAAGACTTCCGTAGCGAGTGGTTTCGCCAACGTCGCGCACGCGTAGATTGGCGGAGTATGATTCAACCGTGTATTGATAACTTGGCTTGGGGACTGGTGAAAAATCAGTGGGGGAAGACCAACAGAAGTAGTGCCGCTGCAAGTGAGATTGTCTATCAAGAAATTAAGGCAGCAGGGGAGTTTAGTAAAATTTTCATTCAATCTAAGACAGTTAATAATCAAACAAAGCTGATTGGCGGCGACACGTGGAGGGTGTATTTACGAGGTCCTTCAAGTGTTGCGGCCACTGTATTTGATCATCAAAACGGGACTTATGAAGCTCTGTTTCTCCTCACGGAACCTGGCATCTACCAGGTGCTGATCTTTCTTGATTATAGCCTTTGTGATGGATTTAAGGATCCACCTCCGGATTGGTTCATCCAAGGCAATGCGCAAGGGAAGTATCAAAGAGATGGCCTCCTAGGTACACTTGATGACTATTTGAATGAGCCCTTTAGAAATGGGAACCCTTTAACCATTACAATACCCAAGGCGCATTTGAACACGACGTTTATAGGTAGGTAATTAAAGGATGGAATAAAGAGAGTTTTCAAGCAGAACTTTCCCAGACACTGGAAATATCATAACTAGCCCATATTGGGCAAAATCAATGAGAAATGCATCTATTTTTTGTCTCAAAAATCAGTGTACTCATTTGACGGAAGTAAGGCCAAATTGAGAGCTTTTTGGCTGCGATAAGCCAGAAAATGACACCACATTAAAATTATAAAATTTTCCATATTTCGATGTTGGATTGCTAGTTGAGGAAGACCCATTTCACATATAAAAGTGAAAAAGAAACTTGTATTAACCGACAGTAGCATGACACCGATACTGATTTTCACAAACAAAAATTCGGTTTTATCAACAGAGTTGTTGAATCAATTTACATCGTAAAAAGATTCAAAAGAAGTCGTTTCAAAGCACTAGCCACATTTTTTAAAAACTATATCTCAAACGTTATGTTTTATATCCTGCTGTTTGTTTTTCGTATCATTACAATTTCCTTTTCAAACTCCATTTTACCAGAATCACTTCACGGGGATTTAGGTTCCTGTTCCAGTACCTGCAATCACCTATGGGATGGATTTGGACAATGGAAAAACAACCAATGGAAGCCTTACCTTCAAGGTCAGTACGCAACATATTGTATCTTCCATATCCAGTTTAGAGGCGAAAAATACAGCAGGTTTCAGTACGTCGAATTCTCAAACGGGTCTTCACTCTTTCGGTCCCATCGGTTCGCCTCGACGCCAACAAGTATCTAAATAACAAGATTCTGTGGTCAGTTAAGTAAGAGTGACAACCTGAACTCTTAGTTCGTGTTGTCTCGTTTGTCGCGATCAACAGCAGTATATATATACATCCACTTTCGTCTTACTTTTTTGTTTGCTTCTGACCCTAGACTTGTTTTCAGTGGAGGCTAGGCATTTGAGATCATGTTGTTTCTTCGGGCATTAAACCCTTTTCCATGGATATCGGAGACATGCGATGGGAGCGTGCGTCTCCCATCGATCAGGGCTTTTAACTACACACATGCAGTTTTGTTCTGTAGATGTATGGCCTTCAAACGCTAGAGCGGTGAAGGGCCTGAATAAGGTATATATACGCTAATGGGGTAGGGAAAGTGAGCCTTTAGCTTCCTGGCCTTCTATCTCCTTCATCATCCTGTATCAACTCACATGGGACGTGAAGAAACTACTGTGAGGGGAGGGCCCTGCAGTACACGGGCTAGGTTTGTGGGGGGCAAATTTTACTTAAAAACCTTTAGTACTACGCCAGACCGATTGTTATCACCCCCCGTTTGGCATCTCTGAAATAAAACAAAAACAATATATGTGGGCGCCCTGTTAAACGAATTTCTCTCTCTGCGTGCATTACAACAGAGGCCTACGACTGGGCGTTACCGCCACGATACAAGCAGAACGGAACATTTTGGGTCTACGGCGACTCGTTGGCCCTTCGTCTGGTGAGTTCAGTTCGGACTAGGATGTTATGCACAAAGCTCTACACGGGGTGTATATCAAGCTACAACTGGATTTATCCCATTGTAAATGAGGCAGTGGACAAGGAACTGGACGACGATCTTGACTTCAACCCTGAAAGAGTTATCGAGACAATTCTTGCCGTTCTTCGTCACCCTCTGATGCAGCAGCGAGAAAGCAGTGTTCTTCTACTCAACCTTGGAATTCATTATCCTATTGGGGTAAACTTTACAACTTACCAGAAGCTAATTAGCGACTTGATAAACAAACTAAAGGAGACAAGAGTTGATTCGCAAGGAAACATAGTTCCTAAGTACAAGGCCAAAATTATCTGGAAGACATCGTCTGCTGTACACAAAGAAAAGGCTCAAGAACTCAACAAAACCCACTGGCGATTCTTCACCACTCAGGTATATGAAGCAGTAGCATGCAGAACAGGTGTTCTTTTTGACGCCTTTCAGGCGAGAGGGACGCCGTGGCTAGGTGTGGTGCGCTAGACACGCGTTTTCATTTTCGCCTTTCTTCGTTGCGCGTGTCTGGTACTTCACGCCTGCCCACGCCGGCCTCGCGCTTGCCCTCGTTCGCCTAAAAAACGCAAAAAAAATAACACCTCTTCATCAGGAGGCAAACATAGCCCTAACACTCCCACTTTGCTCTACCCAAACCTCGTCCCCAGGGCTTTTCCCTTAAAAAATGGAAAAGTCCTGGGGACGAGGTTGGCTCCACCCCAGAATATGTCTTTATCTAGACTACCCATTAGTCTAGTTTGCGGAAGGAAGTAAATCCGTTTACACTTTAAGTCAAAACCAGTTGTTTTTGGTTGTGACTACGGTATGCGGGCGCTGTCAGGATCCCGGTGCTGTCCCAATCATCTCAACGTGACCGACTGAGAAATTAAATGGTACAGATGTGACAGCTCTGTTTCTCGGTTTTTTGTAAACTGTCGATAGTTGATGAACAATTAATACGTATTAAACAGGAAACTGGAACGGGAAAATGCAAAAGAGACTATCGAAAAAGTACTGAAACTGGCAAAGAAGAAAAAACCTTGGAGCAGTTATTCAACACTGTTACTTTAGCTGGTACCAAGAGCCATAATGAGACATTATGGCTTTTGCTGGTACACATAAAAAGGACCAGAAAAAAGGGTTCGTAGCCTTGCTTTTTATTGATTTTAAAATATTTTGTTTTCATTAGCGAGTTGCAATGTTCAGTAGCTATGCGATGTCAGCCATGTGTGAAGCCGGTTTTGACGTCATAGACATATATCCCATGACTGAGTCATACCCAGGTGGCACGCTGGATGTAGTTCACTACCCAAACCACGTGTTCAGCTCCATGGTAACAATGCTGGAGAAATACAAAGTGAACAACTACAGACAATTGAGCGGAAATGAGACGCTCAATAGAATAAAACGTTGCATCGGTTGATTAATCATGAAGTGGATAACTAGGACAACGACGAGAGCGTGAACAGGAATACAGAGAAAACATCAGAAAAACAGGAGGACAATGGAACGACTAAATTACGGAAATAAGGAAAGTTTGATCTTGATTTCGACAAGCTCAGTTACAAAAAAAGGGGAACTGCAAACAGTCTCTTGTGGGGTAGCCCCTAACCCCATGTTAAGATTTTCTTCTTACTGAGGGCAAAATGATGGCTGAGGGAGGGGTTGGCGGGTAGTTTTTTTGTAATATCAAGGCGAAGCGTAAAGGTGGCCAAGAGTGTTAGAGCCAATAAAAAGGTGTACCAACCCACTAAAACTATCACCACCATCAACTCCTGTACAGTGATACCTTTGGGGAGGCTTCCATATCTTAATTCTTAATGTGACACTGTCGTAACAATACCACCCTGTCAAATAAAATAGCTACATTTTTAGTTGAGCTTGCTTTAACATTGAGACTCTAAAAATGCAAGCGTTTCTTTTTCTTTTTTTCGTGTGTGCACGTCAAAAGGGGATTCATGGTCCCAGGCGTTCCTAGCGGAGACCGTGGAAACTGGGGATAAGAATCGTGGCGTGACTAGTGCCATGCATATGTTTTGTGAAGAAAGCTTAGGAAAGATTACAGCAAAGATGTCGAGCTTCTCTGGAGCAGATCGGTCCACAAACTCGATCGCTTGAAAGCGTTGATTACTTTGGAACAAGTGAATACTTCAGTGGGGAAAAAAAGAAGAATCTTAATGAGCAAACCTTCGATCGATTGGTGAGGACCAACGCGTCGGATGTTGTAAACTTTCATTGTATACAAATGAGCCTTGTAATGAGCACTTGGTTTATTTTTGGCGGTGATTGAAGTGACGCGCCATGTTCACCACCTTTTTGCTCTTTGACGATGATGTAATTTCTCTCCAATCGACGCCCTTAATTTTCATGTATTTATACACTCATACTCAATCAATTCAGAAGAACATATCCTGAAGAATACTTGACCATCGATAAAGTAGGGCGTGATAAATTTGGGGCGAGGAAATCCTGTTTTGTGTAGAATTAATCGCCTTCCAAGAAAGTTCGACTCGACGCTTTTAAGAGCGTTCTTGTAAAAGCCTGGAAGAGGTCACTTTAGCAGTATCCCACTGAATATCCATTTGCAAACAAGAGGAAAGTTCGTATTTTGACTGAAGAGAGCAACAATAAACAATTTGGATGAGGTTTTTGTGATATCCGGAATAATCAAGGTCGAGGTAAGTTTTATCAGCCGAACCAAAGGTCGAGGCTGTTAGCTCTTACTAAGACCTTGATTATTCCAGATATCACAAAAACCGAATCTAATAAATTGCTTTATTATACATTGTTTTGCATGGAAACGATTTGACATTGATTGCCCTTGGAAATCATGCTTTGGGCATGCAACCTACTGATTAGTCAGATCATCTGACTAATCAGATGATAGGTGATGATAGGTAGTACCTTTTAACTAATCTGTAGGTTGCGCTAATTTCCAAAATTAAATGTAGGCTCTTAGCCAATGAGAAGATAGATAATGAATAAACTGTAAAACTGTAAAAAGCTGGTATAATTTTGAAAATTAGGGTCGATTCTCTCTAAACGGACCCCTCTATAAGGAAGGCTTACACCTAGAGTTGGTCTCTGCCTTTCTTTTTTTCCCTTAAGTTGACTCTCTATAAGACGGACATCTCCTTAAGACGGACACTTGGTGTCAGCCTTAAAGGTGTCCATCTTAACGAGAGTTGACTGTATATCCATTAGACTAAAATTAACATTAGCCAATGATTTTATCAAATTGTTCAGAGAACCGGTTACACTGCTTCACCGACCAAAAGTCTTCCAGGTTCTCGTAAACTTTGTTTGGTGTAGATGCATTGTTTGCCAGCGCACACAGGTCACAGGTCCAGTGGCCCAGGCAAGTCATATCACCCATCTGCAAACAGTCATTCCGTTTATACTTTGTTCTCCAGCTTAAGTACTCATTGTAGGCAGTGTTATTCTTGTCCAGGTATAGCAAGTAATCAGCAAGTTCCTTGACAGATGAAAAATCCCTCACATCAATATAAGACCCTGGAATAGCTGTTTTCCCGTAGTCCGCACCACCCATTACAATAGGAACAATACCATTGTCTAAGGGAAAAAGCCAATACTTCTCTGTCACGTAATCAAGGCATTCAGTGTTTTCAAAAGCAAGCTGGAATTTGTACGTCTTAAGAAGTTTGATGCAATTTTCGTCGTGATGATGGCAACTTTGACCGCTGCATCCACCGAAAATATCCACCTTTAAAAATTGTTTTAGTTTCTCAACATACGAGAAACGTTTGCCACGGCAGTTACTGACTGTCCACACAACTAACTTATCCTTCCCTTGGATGGAAGCGTTTTCACCTTCAGACTCAATTTGGGTGAAGAAACCGTACGGCACGTAAACATCAGAATCAGTTCGATAGGTCAACGTCCAGTTGAATAACCCGTTCATCTGACTGGTTTCAATGCTATTCAACGGGCTTTCAAGAGCAAAAAAGCCCCAAGTTTGATTCGAAGGTCTGCGGTTATGCAGTTCGCGAAGAGTAGTCTCATCCGGAAGGTCGCTTTTGTAACCGTGAAATATCACAACGTCGCTGGATTTGAAATCTTCCTTATTGTAACTCAAAATGCAGTTTCGAACACGGCAGGGCTTCCCGTTAGACAAAGTGAACTTTTGTGAATCTTCCAAGCCTTTCCAAGGAATTGAACTGAAAAACGCGGTGTAAATCAACACCTTTCGAGGACGAACATCAGATTTTTCCTTCTATGGGCATTGGAACACCACGAAGGTAGAACAAAAAGAAACAAAGGCAAGTTAATAAAATAGGTCAAAAAAGGTTTGGCCCAAAACAACAGTACATATATTTAACTAAAGGAACCATAACAATAAAATGTGTTCGGTTACCTGTAGAGAGTTCTGAGAAGAGACTGAAATATTCAAAGAGAATAATCTTCTTTGATTTTTTTCAGCTGCCTTTTTCGGGTGGTAAGTAAAGTTTGTACGATTAAAAACAATGATAAAGACGAGAATTATCGTTGAAACCAGAACGAACACCACAAGAAACATTACAGACGCTTTCTTCAACATCTTAACACATGCAACAGCCACGTAACAGTGAAACTGGGTCTAAATAAATAATTTGAACAAGAAACTGTGACGCTTACATGTGGTGGGCACCTGGAAAACGATAATGGACTGGATTTTGAACTGCATGTACACCGTGGAGTGGGCTAACAAAAAGTATACAAAACAAACGAAAAAACAAAAATAATTTCAATATAACAAACTTCTGCATAACGAAAAAACAAAAATAATTTCGATATAAGGAACTTCTGTAACGAATTCCTCGTTTGTTACATTTGTGACGAATTATTTCATTTGTTTGTGGCTCCAGCACTACCCACTGCTGTTCATCATTTTCTCTAATAAATTACACTAAATTCATCCTCGGAGACCCAGGGGCAGATAGTGGGGACGAGGGAAAGTCCAAACGGGCGGGAAAATATGGCGCGAAGAAAAGTAAAGAACGGCTCTTCTCGCCGTTCTTTACTTTTCTTCGCGCCATATTTTTCCGCCCGTTTGGACTTTCCCTCGTCCCCACTATCTGCCCCTGGGTCTCCGAGGATGCACTAAATTCAAACTGTCCAAACATAGAGTACATAAGAGGACGATTAGGGAAAGGGGCAAGCAACCTTCCTCTAGTTTTAATTCAATAGGCCATTTTCCGAGTTCCCTCGGGCCTCTGTTTCAAAACGAGGGTAGCTGCTCAGCCTTTGATACGGAAATCATTATTCATTCTCATGCAAATAAAACTCATTTTCATAGGAAAGGTTGTGCACCTAGCCTCATTTTGAAAGTGAGGGTTTTTGGAACTCGGAAGTGGCCTATTTTAGAGAGTTTTTCTACACAGACTGCGTAGAGAGGGGAAGTCGTTACGTCCGTGCCGTTGTCATGGTAGCAAAATTTTTTGGATGACAACCATAACCGAAAATTCACTAAAAAGTAAATTCGCACTGTTTCAAACTTCTTCGATCCTATTCAATTTCATTTAATTTGTCAAATGTTGGCGAAATTTTCTGGATTGAATTCGAAAGAACCGTATCTGAGTTTAGTGTTTCGTTCACCTATTTTGTAAAGCGGGCGCATGAAAATAGGAAGTTTCATGTCGTAGTCAAGCAAGTATGGCTAAAAAATGTGCAAAAAAGCGTGGTGCACGTGCAAAGTTGTCTTTTTACTAATATATACTTACTGCTTTTTTTGCCGTTCTCCGTCGCTCCCTTTTGTTGTGATCCCAAAGTTTTGCTACCATGGTAACATGACGTCACACTTCTTCTCTCTATTGTACTTGGGACATTAGGACGTAGTCCATCCCACGTGACTGAAAAGTAAGAATTTGTCCAGATTGGACAGTGAACGATTTCCAAGGAAAAAGCTATATTAATTGCTCTACGAGCAAGGTGTTGTTTATTACAGGGAAATTATTTTGAATTAAACCGAGCAAAGGAGTTGTTTAATGAGCGTTTGCATTGTATAGCTGTCCGGATATCAAAACGGGGAAATTTATCTGACGATTCTCATATTATATCATCGTATACGACAAAAGGAATTACTTGCCTCATGCGGTCTCCTTAATTTGTAATTGTATTTGATCTTTGACTTGTGTCTTGGACTAAATGTTGAGCGTAATTGCCAGTTAATTGCAAATGAATGAGGAACACTGAGAAAGTTAATTACCACAGTATAGCCGGCTTCACTGCTGCAAATTGCGGTGATAGAAAAGTGCTTTAGAAGCGTTTTAATTTTTTTCTGTTAACGTGCTAAAAAAACTGTCAAGGACCCGCCGTTGTTGCCCCATTCTGAACTCAAGTTTTTATATTCGCCTGGCTCCCGCGTGGATTAGTCAGGGCAATGAATACAAATTGCTGTCGTCGAAGAAATGATGATTATCAAGATCTTCGTGGTCTTTTTTCTGCTTCTCATTGGTATTTTCCAACCACCAGGTAAATGTACTTGTATTATCTTCTGCACGATAATTGTTTTTTCTAGTAAATGGTATCCGGGTTAGCCAGGATCATATACTTCACTGGAAGAAGCTAAAACTACGTTGACTGCCTGTCTCCTTTTCATAAAGATATCCCATGAATAAACAGATTAACTGCCTCTGGACTTTTGATATGTTTCAGCTACAATCACCACATCGCTTCAAGTAAACATAGCTTGTAATGGAAAATTGTCGTTCTACGACAGTGAACGAAATGAGCTACTCGACTCACGAAATCCGGAAAATAAGTATGTAAGGTACACGCTTAATCCGGAAACTAAAGTTTTGGCCTTTAAATGTCGTAGTTACAACAAAACTAAGCCATTGATGATGGGAAGCGTAAGCAATGGATTGGTTACAGACACTAGATGGAAATGCATCAGCCTTAACGAAGACGAAACTCGAAATTTTGGTCTCAAATCTTGGACCAAAAAGGACGACGTCGACGATAGCCATTGGCCCCAGGCTGTTGGATACTTCTCAAACCGAGACAGCCCTTGGGGAAAGGTTTCAGATATAAGCGAAGATGCTTTCTGGATATCCACGGCTGCAGAAAAACACTGGTGGCTGTTTTGCCGACGACGACTATCTGAGATGCCTCTGAAACAAAGAATGCAAAATGGTTTGTCTTTATATTGTTCCTGCTAATCGTCTTCTATCCCCAACAAAATGTTTTAAAATACTTTGTAAAATTTAGCTTCCTTCACTTTCATTCACACCTTACCTTTTTTTAGTTAAGAAACACTTAAATTATTTGGAGAGTGGGATATGTTAATTTGGTGGACAAGCCATGACACTCTCTCAAGGATTTAGCTCCCTCGGCTTCTCCCTCTCCTTTAAATATTTAAACTCAGTGCGCAAATTTAAAATAATATATCAACTTTGAAGTCTCCAAACTGTCAATGACTGATGTAGCTTCATTCTATTCTATTTTCCCTTATAATATTTACACCAGGTAACTGTGAAATTACATATCACAATTGAAGTGGATAGTGGAGGGCTTCAAGGATTTATGACCAGGATTTTTGCTATGCTAGGATAAGAAAATAGCGGTTTTTTGCGCCATCACTTTAAAAATGGAAAACACTAAAACGAGATAAACAAGGTGACGGACTCTGTACCACTTAAACCTTTTCCGCCTTCTTTTAGTAAGGACATCAGATTTGAAATAAATTATTGGCTTGATTATATTATCCTCCACTTAGCCAGCGAATACTCCAATAAAACAGTGTACCGTGCATAATTATTACGACAAATTTTATTTCTATTTGTAGGGGTTTTTCAAGCAACGCTAGCTGACGTAGATCACGCCCTCTTTAGTCACTCTCGGTCTCAACACGAGGTCAGTGACGTCATGCAGTGTTTCAAGAGATGCCATAATGATTCCCAGTGCCTCTCGTTCAACTTTGAGTACGCTACAGTTAAACTCTCGAAAACCTGCGAGCTAAATGGCGTTACTAAGAACCAAGATCCTAACCATTACGTCAGCAGACCGGGTTTCACTTATTACGAGAAAGTAGGATGACTGTCGAAGCGAAGCTGACACATATTTTGTGTTGTGGTGTTGACTGAGTTTTTGTTTTCCTGTCGATTATAACCATATTAATTTATAAACTCTTATAAAGTCCGTTCGGTCACTTTTATCTTTCCAAGGTATTCCTTTTAGCCTGCTCTGCCTCCTAGGCCGACTGATTTCCTTAGCTAAAGGCCCTGTGTGGCTTACTTTTACTGCAGTCTCTTCTGGAGCCATTTGAGCACAATTTAAGCCCAAACAGCTCAATCAAAAGGCTATTCCAGCCCACGCTGGGGCCCATTTCAGCCTTTGGGTCCAAATCAGCCCAGGTAGATGGACTGTATTGGCCCTCTTTTAAGGGAGCCAAATTAGACTCAAAAATAGGATTTTATTTTACTCACCGAAACGGCCCCATTTTTAGGACCAAAACAGATCTTTCTGATTTACGGAGTGACCTTTCTCGTATCTCTTTGGTGATTGTTTGCCATAGTAGTTAAACCATCACTGCCCTGCAATATGAATCAGCACCTACGATCACAACCTTACCTGTCCTTGAATATTTTTGTAATGTAAAAAGGCTGATGGTAGGTCACATTATCATTTTTCCCTCTGGGAAACAACAGTAATTAGAACAAAACAACGGCTGGTTTATTTATTAAGGAAGACCGAGTTAATTCACTTTCGGTTAGGATATAATTGAAATCAAATTTGCCAGGATGGCACAACTGTAGAAATCGATTCATTGCCTTTACTTTCTTGATCAAAAGAAAAAGTTTTTTGCTCTTTTTGTTTTGTTTCGCAAGACGTGAATTAATTAAGCCTGACACTTTTGCCAACCTTACATATCATTATGAATCTGATGGTTCTGCTCCAATTTGCATCAATTCATTTGCTTATCAAGGACTCTTTTGTTACACGGATAACAGCAAACTAACATTAATTGCTGAAACCGATTAAAAATAAATAACACCTGTTCATCACTTCCTAAAATTGTCTCCAAACCAAACTGATAGAATAGGAAATTAACCGGGCGTTTGAGAATTTTCACTTTGAAGATAAATGGTTAATTAAACAACACCATCTGTCTAAACATACAGGTCTCTTGAGGAGTCGAAGTTGCTGTTGCGATTAATTTGGTTATCTATAGCGGATTTGAGGTGATTTTATCGATTTTCGTCAAGCAAAACGAAATGAAACATTCTTTTTTGTGTCTTCTGCTTGTCACCATTTTCCTTTCTTCAGGTAAGAGTAGCAATAATGAACAACGCAAGATAGTTTAAACCTAAATATGATGTTTCAAAAAGGTCGTTTCGAGCTAATTTTAGGCTGGTGTTTTTTCTAAATAAACTGTTTAATAAATTTTCTAAAGTAACTCCATTTTGTAACACGAAAATTTTTATTAGTATTCGCTGAGTAACTTTTCTGGTTGTTCTCTCGGGTGTTTGATATGATTTTTTTAGCGAATGATATCTTTTTCCTGCAAGAACCTTGCATTTGTTAGCAGGGAAACTAAGAAGCAAAACTAAATTACTACCACAATATTTTCTTAGCCTGGGCGTTAATGTTAGGTTTCTTTCTAGAAAAATCCTGGAGGCTGTTCTTTTTAATATTTTTTTACTGTAATAAAAGTTGGCGTTTTTTTCAGTTAGATTCAATTTACAGAGTAATTTATAAATCTCCCATATTTTGGCAGCGAGCGCTGGTTGTAAAAACTTCAGCTGAGTTTAAGCCAATCAGAAACAACGGAGGATATAAATCATTCCGGCTTGGCCCATCATACTTGGTATTCAGCAAAGTACAGTTTCAGAGGAACTTTCTCAAATATCTTATTGTAAGGCTTTGTTCTAATTAGGCCTGGTTGTTAGGATAGAAGTAAAGAGGGAACATCATTGACAGGACATCTTGGGAAACAACTTAAATTCCGAGTATTTACTATTCAATGATTACTATATCAGCTGCCTGAGTCTTGGTTGATAGCTTTCGGTACTTTTAGGTGCTATTTACCTTCTACTTTGTGTTGTTGCCCATTGTGTATGGCACACATGTACGAAAACTGATCAGAATTGGAGGAAACTATAATAATAAAATTTTCATCATCGTTTTTCAGGGGAGCCAAACGAGTGTACTAAATATCGAACAATTAACGACGCCAGCCGTGCAGCAAGCAACAATAATCGACAATATAAATGTGATAGAAGAGATGATAACATATCTACTGGGTGGTATCGTATGATGGGGAAGACTGGTAACCACGTTCCAGAGTATTGCGTTCCTATAAATCACTGCGGTACCCACGCACCTGGTTGGCTCAGTGGGACACACCCAAGTGTACATGAAGGCATAGTGATTCGACAAGTTTGTTATCACTGGAAAAGCCAATGCTGCTACTGGAAAAACAACATCAAGATTCGAAACTGTGGAAACTATTACGTGTATCACTTTGTTAAGCCTCCAACGTGTCTTTTACGTTACTGTGGGGACTGGCGCCGCGAATGGAAAGGTGAGGTATCAGTTTGCCTGTATGAACTGAGTGCCGGGCAGGAGACTATACTTGTGGCTGAGAAACGCGTGTTGAAGAACATTAATGTTGTATCCAGACCTCACTCTGTCTTACGCTGAAAAGACCCGGAGGCGAGATTAAAAGGACATCCCCTGTCTCTTTTACGTGTTTCTTCGATTTATCCTTTACCCTCTAATGCCACCATGCCCCTAACAGTCTAAACAACCCCCACCCCTTATCTCACATTGAAAAAAAAATAAATCGCGCCACTTGTAAAAACGCCGTTGTTTTCCGGGTACAAGTTTTGGGTACAATAAATCAGCTTAGGGGTTCTGCTAACTGAGCCCTTTTCTTTCCTTTTGCAGCTAAAATCACGTGTAATGGAGAACTGGCGTTTTACGACCAACGCCTTGATAAATTAGTTGTGTCAAGAAGCCCGGCAAATATTTCGTTGTGGTCTACTATCGATTCAGGAATCCAGGTCTTAGCTGTAAGTTGCCATAGCAACAAAACTAAGCCGTGGATTATGGGGAGCGTAAGCAATGGGATGGTTACTGATGATCGTTGGAAATGTTTCAGTCAAGAAAAAGAAGGTTTAGACAACATGAAATGGGTAACATCTCTCTACGACGATACACACTGGGCCCAGGCCGTTGCAAATTACTCGAATACACACAGTCCGTGGGGAAAGGTTCCAGATATAAGCAACAATGCATTCTGGATATCTACCGCTGATAAAGACGACTCAAAGCTGTTTTGTAGGCGAAGGCTGTCTGAAGTGTCTCCAATACGGAAAAGATCAAATAGTAAGATTTTTACCATCTCGAGGCTGTAATAATAATCATCATCATCATCATCATCATCATCATCATCATCATCATCATCATTTAGCAGTAACAGTCTGCAAAAACCAGGTACGGCTATACTTTCATAACGTTGGATCAGCACGTGCTGTGATCTAACGCAAGTATGGCCGAACCATATCTTTTTATCAGGGTGAGCTTGTCAGCCCCACGCCCCAGTAATGTCATAATCAGCTCCGGTCTTAAGGAAAACCAGAATGTCCGTCATAGACAAAATGTCTTGATTTAAGAGAAAGTTATTTCTGATTGGTATCATCGGTAAACATCACATCGTGTAAACATCACTTAAAAGACGAGACGGGCTAAAAGAACAACTAAGAGCGTGAACTTTCAAATCATAATTATCTCTCCTTTCTAAAAACGCACGTTGTTAACAAGTACAATTTTTATTATCTCTGTAGGAATTTTTCAGGCAACACTTGATGATGTAGATCACAGTCTCTTTAGTCACCTGAGGTCTCGAGACAAGGTTCGTGACGTCATAGACTGTCTTAAGAAGTGCCGTGATGACCTGCAGTGCCTCTCGTTCAACTTTCAGTATACTACAGTGGTACCATCTAAAAATAATTGCGAACTGAATGGAGTTACCAGAGGCCAAGATCCTAAGAATTTTGTCAGGAGGCCTGGCTACACATATTATGAAAATGTAGAATGACTGGGAAAAAGATGTTATTTGAAATGGAATTGAAAAGAGCATCTTTTTCATATATACTACTGGCCGCTTCCAAACAAGATAAGAGCGAAATTGAACGAGTCCTGAACGATTTATTTTGTCATTAGAAGTAGGATTTATATTAGGAGTCATACTATTGACAACTATTGACGTAACTGTAATAGGATAGAGCCTGGAAACGGGGTTAGAGTGCTGACAGAGGCTGATATATAACCCTGGAAGTGCCTAATAGACATGTACAATCATAATAAAGTATGTGAATATATCAAAATTCACAACTGTTTGTTGCCATGATTACCCAGTCAATCGAGAGAAAAATGTACACTTTTCTGATTGTTGGTGGGGATAAATCCGGGATTTTTGATGTGGGTTGGCTAATCGGCCAATACCAAAAGTCCACCCATTTATTGCCGACTGATAAGCCCTTTTGCAATTGAAGATTGGGGGTTACCGACGTTTCCGGGGGTAAAAGACAAAGTTTCCCCTTTAAAATATCTGTCCAGATCGATTGATATGCGCATCTCCTCTGGCGGTCACGCCCCTCACCCAACCCCCCCCCCTTCAGGTGTACATACGCGGTCAGGAGCTGCTATATACAGCAGTGTTTATCGCACGATCCCACAACTCTTTGATATTTCTTCTTCAAGGCCTCAGATCAATCTTTCCCTATTGATTCGTAATTTTTATGCCTTCTCAAAGAATCTGGAATTAGAGAGTCCCCATTAGAGCTTTTTAATCCCGCTATCCCGACCCAAAATTTCGTGCAATCCCGTAATCCCGAGACTTATTTCTGGCATCCCACCTTCCGAGGATAACCTCAAATCTCGCCACGATTTTGCTTTAAAATTTCCGAATTCCTGGGACCTGGAAAGTATAAATAGAGAGAAGCCCTGCGGACGAGGTTGATTCTTCCCAGAAGCCCTTGCTGTCCGCAATCTTGTCAAGGCGCGAAAAAAGAAATATGGCGAACGAAAGTATCAACTGGAGTTAAGAAAACAATCTGTCACGTTATCCTTGTTTGAAACAAACCCCAGATATTTTAAAGGAGGAGGAAAATATGCCTTGGGACTCTGTTGAGGTTGGTTTAGCTGGAGGCGAAGAAACGGTGAATTTTGGACCAAGGAACGAGAGCGGTTCTTCATTGTATCAAGTAGATACATTGGCTAGTGTGTCACCGAGAGGAGAGGTAAAAACAAAAATACACACCTCAGTTACAAGATTTCTTGATCTCCTTGTCGTATTCGTAAGTCTGGCTGCTCATATTCAATATCTGATTTATTTTCCAGGTGCAAAGTTGTCCTCGCGTGTGTGGGGCATCCTGTCCTGAAGGTTTCTGTCTTGTGGCTTCAAATCAAGTGATTTTGTTTAACGCAAGTTGCAGTGATGTTCATGCGACGTTGAACTTTGGTGAGATGCGATACTTTGTGTGCCGCAATAGAAGTTCAGTTGATTATACCACCATCACCATGATGGACTTGGTGTCTTGCCTCCCGCTCTCCCGATTTTTACCAAATTCTTCCGATTTATTATAAAATTTTAAAACTAGGGAAAAATTGCTAATTTTTTAGGGATCTGGGGATGGGGTTATTCAGGCGGAATGATGTCAAAATTATCCATTTGCAAAATTTCCCCTTCCCCCGGACCCCCAAGCGCCTTCGGCGCTAATAATTACTCCCTTTTCAATCACATGGGGGGTCATGATGGACTGGGGATGGGGAGCATTGCATCAATTATCCACCCCTTCCCCCACCCCAAGATTTTTCTCTGGGGGTCACTGGTGCACAGGGTTGTCATTAAGAGCCGGGGGCCGGGGATTTTCCCCGGTTACTATGAGTGTGGCCCCGGCTACTTTTATTGGAAAATAGAAGAAAAATAGAACCAAACAAAATTCCTAGCTGTTTGATTTCCCCACCTACTTGTTGTGTTTACCCGGCAACTTGAAATCTTAGTGACAACCCTGGGTGCAGGAGAAAATGTGATCCAATGGACATATTGTCCACGAGGGTTCATACCCCATTCCTGGTACCATGTTATGAGTAGAGATTGAGAACAACCCATCTACTTCGAACAAGTGGGCTCCTGGCTGAATTTATTCTGATGCAACACAACACGTGTTGATCCAAATCACGTGATCTAATTACACAGTACAACCAATCATAACAGTTGTAAGACTTAAGACGAGATTTTCTGAGGGGATGAAGCTGAAATGCAAAAGTTCTGAAGATCATATGCCATACTGAACACTTCTTTTGTGGGGGAATACAATATAGGCTATGAAATTATGCATGTTTTCTAGTGCTTTGCGGGAAAATTTTGCATTTTGATGAATTTTAAGAAAAAGTTTTGTCAACCCTTTTGTTTTTGTATCTGTAGGGGAAAATATAAAAGTACATTTTCAACAGGGGGTGAGGGAGGGGGTGGCAGGGTGGGGAGAATATCAAGCCATTCCAATTATTATTGAAAAGGCCCTCTGACTTCAAGTCACAATGGCTAAGGTCCACACTCCACCAATGATGCTGTATTGTTACTTTAGGAATCAGGGCTGTGCTACTGCACCTCTTGCACCTTACTTTTGCTGTTCAGTGATTGAAATGTTAGTTTTTTTCTTAAGTCATGTACATGGCATGCAGTATTTCACAGGTTTAGAGTAATGGGCTCCTTTGAAAACAATCTTTACGTTTTTCTGGATGAAATAACAAAGATTTTTCTGTTCTCATTTACAGAATGTGAGATTGATTCTATTGCTTGGAGTGATGATTCTTTGTTTCTTGCTATTGGAGAGAGGTAACAGTTATGAGAAAAAAGATGTTTTACTGTTGCAATGTACATACTCTATAGTAGACAGTATTAATTTTGATGAAAGTGGTTTCTGCAAGTCTTTTTTTAAAAATTGTTTATCAATATAAGGTGTCCGTAAGTCTGTTGGATGTGCATTGTACAATGTGTTGATATCATTTACAGGTCAGGAACCTTCCACTTTGTTCATGTAGCCTCAAGACAAATATTGTTTTCCCAGGTAAGAAAAAAGCAAGCATTTCTCATAGGCTTTCCTTTTATTGATTATGTGCAGAATTTTTTAGACAATGCAAACACAGTTGGAATTGGATAATTACAGCATATGGGGTCTCTAATAGCATTACCCCGCCCAGCGGCAGGATTTCAATTTTTTCACTTGCAATAATGTCGTGTCCACTTCTCAATAGAGTTCACTCATATTTGAAGTCACTTCCTCTTTTTGTATCTCTTCTAATATGCCCACTGCTACATGATAATAAGTTTGGAGGGCGTAATTACTGATAAAAATCATCTTGTTTCTTCCAGGAATTGGATCCTGATGGAAATTCAAACAACAGCAATGAGTCCACATTTCTGTCAATGAAATTTACTGCTCAGAAACACACAGGTGCAAATTCTTTATCGATAGCACCCAAAGGCTTTTTTGTTTTAGTCACTTTTACTGGTTAAGAAGAGTTGTCAACAGGCACTTTGTCAAGTTTACTTACACCTGTCAGTATTCTGTTTGTTTTTTTGTTAGTTCACAAAATGTGCAGGTTTATTAGCAAGTTGACACTTATACACCCTCTAATGCATAATACATTGTACAATGTAGGGGAGTGAGAGCAAGACAGAGAAGAGGTTTGCCTGATCAGTGACCTGATCTTACTGGAATTTTAAAGGCCAGGTTTCTTCAAACTGCCTTTGTACTTATTTATTACTATGCATTAAATGATATATTTCTGATTAACAGGTGGAGCATCCAACTTGGTGATTTTGTGCTCTTCTGGTGTGCTAACAGAGTTTTCCAACCTTTTCTTGGAAAAATTAAATGATGGTATGTATAATACTCTGTTATCTGCTGAGCATTCTGAGGTTTGATACCATAACTTTTGTTTTTACATTCAACAGCTATTGTTGGAGGAGTCTTTGAGCTTGTTGCTGAAGTGAGTATTAAATTTACAGTACTGTTTTTCTAACTTGTTTTTTTTTAAAAACGATTTTGTAGTACAAGAAAGCCATGGTAAGTTTGAGAAACCATGGTTTCATTGCAAAACAGGGAAATCACAGGTAATTGTTACTTTCCTTTTTCAGCTCAGAGGAATGATTCAAGTTGAATCCATTAATGTTGGAGTTGTACATCAGGATAAAATAACTGGCATCACAGTTGGAAGGCTCTGGGATGCTCCTGTGCTTATAACTTATGTAAGCTTGTTTATATGCATTAATAAATATTAGTGATAATATGTGATGCGACTTGCATGATGTTCTTTTTCCTGTTACCTAGGAGGCCATATGTGTAGCCATATATCTGGCGGAAAGTTTGGTATTCTTTAATAAGGAGTAGGTTCTAGATTTTCAGCGTAAGGTACAGAATATCTCTAAGATTCCTGATGCAGTTCTTCTATAAGAAAATGACTTTCTGCTGCTTTTCATTACAACTTTATTGGATATGTATTTGAAATTCATAGTCCAGGCTCAAATGCTGTACGTGTTTTTATAAGCAAAACTATTAGTCTTGTAGGATCCAAGCAGGAAATTGTTTTATTCTGATAGTTTTAGAAGACTAAATACAGCATTGCCTACTGGTTTAATAGTCCCCAGAAGTCTCTGGCAACTTTTGTTTTGCCCTCATGTGACAGAGAAATTATAGTGTGAACATAAAACGTACATGTATGCTTGGCCCTTTGCCTTTCATGTGTTTAGAACTTTTAGGCTGCCTTCTTTAGTTTTTAGTACCCAGCTTCAGATCAGCAAAAAATTATATTTTGTTTTACTGTAGGGTGAAGGTGATGCTGCGATTGCTGTTTGGGCCCATCAAGAGCGAGGTGGCATTATTCTTGCAGACTCAATCAGCTCCTACATTTTGGGAGGTACACAGTGATTTCATAATAAGCAATATTCCAGGGCAGTTACTAAGGTTACAAGTTGTCCGCTGGATATCTGCAATGAGTCTAGATGGGGAATCAAATAGTCAGCTGGGATGTTTTTTAGTTCTTTTTTCTATAAAAGTAGCTGAGGTAAATTCCAGCCCCCAGCCCCCACCCCCCTAGTGACAGCCCTGCCATTCTGAGGTGTGGTATTTTTGTAGGGGAGGGTGCAGATAAAAGCCCTTTTTGACAGTTATCAGAAATGATTGATAAGATAAAGAGATTGCTCTGAAGAATGTTTGCTTATATCTGTGACTAAACAGGTCTGCATTGTATAATCAGCAAAATTGTTTTTTGGTCAAAATTGCAGGTTCTGGAATAGTCAAAGCGATTGCCTCAGGCAGTGGTCATTTTCTTATTGTCTTGGATGAAAAGGTTGGCATGGAATTAATTTTCTAACAGAGATTCATTTTCTGATACGAATAGAAACCATGGGGGCATGCCTACTAGGAACTCGCGCGTTTACCTTGGTGCTTGCAAGTCACACCTGTGGCACATGTTTTTTCCGTCTCAGCCTAGTCCAAAGCTTTTGCCACCTACTTTTAATAAAGACCTTATTGAAAACCCTGTGTTAGCCAAATTTTCTCAGTGCGCTCAGCTGATGAAATGTTAAAGAAATAACATTTCGCTTTCAGAAAATGGTCAGTTTGTGGGATGTGGCATCTTTGACAATGATCTCATTCTGGCCTCATCTGGTGGTAGATGACTTCCTACTGTTGACCTCTAGTAATATCCAGACTCCTGGTACATCCAAGTATGTAGAAGCTTTTGTTTCTCTGTTATCCTTTTTTCTCTAAGTCAAATGAGTAGACTAAAAAGAAGTACTTTCGCAAATCTATGAACTAATTGGCAGTATTGCTTTATTATTGCGGTGTGGAATGATATATTTTGCCTTAGTTAATTTCCTGAGTAGTGTAGTCCAACTGGTCAGGTCAAGGGAGTTTACTGTTCATTTTGACATTTAGAACTGATGATGAATACAAGCTGGTCATTCTTACATCAGAAAACAACCAGGTAAATTCTGCAGCATTAGCATTTCTGTAAGTAACTTATCAAGTCCTCAAACTTTCCAGCACAAGCACTGGCAATAAGTTAAAGTCTGGTCTGCAAGCAAATACCTCTGTCTAGTGATCAGAGTTGAAATTGGACTTGGAAGATGAGGCATCAATCATTATCCTTACATCTCTGTTACCAACAATAACAACAACAGTTTATTCAATTTGCAAATAATTTAGGACTATGTTACCCGCAATATTAGTGGAGCTGTTCTATGTGGGCAACAATACAATAATTGTCTCCTGTAAATAACCACAAAGTTCAAGGTTCAAAAGTCAAGAAAAAAGAAAGTAAATACAGTGTAAAAAGAAAGCAAAATGAAATAAATAAATAAAAGTTCAAAGGTTCAAAAGTCAAGCTTTCACAAAAATTTTGGAAAAAGTCTAAATACAAAAAAAGTGTAAAAACGTGGTCCTGGAAAGAATAAAATGGAAATAAATAAATCTAATCCAATGGGTAGTAAACTTTATCGTAATTTACCCTCTTCCTGTTTTGGGTATCATTCGTTTGGAGCACTGATAGTTCTCCTAACACTCTTCATCCTCAAGACCTTGAGAAGGGTGCTTCCTGTTTTTACCACAGCTTTTCAGTGTAACGCAAAATTACTAAATAGTTTCAGTAAAAAATTGTAAATTATCAGATGTGATGAGACAAGAAAACTACACAGTCACAGGAATGGGTAAAATGCATGTAGCTTTTAAAATAGCAAATGGAGGGTTTCATTAATATTTACTTTTTCTCCCATTTTATGAAGACTTGATGCCAATATTTTGCACTTTTGTATTTTTCAGATGCGTCATCTTCAGGTGTATGCTTTCCCAACCATGAAGCAGATGTATTCTCTTGAGATTCCTGTATGCTCCTTCCTGGCCAAGTGCCCTTCAACACAGGTCTTTTCAGATGCCTTTATTTTTCTAAGTTTGAGTATTTTAAATCTTTTCAACCAACTTTTATTTACCTCAGTTTATTTTTCAAATAGTTTAAAACACAATAACATTCACCCTAAGGTCTGGAGACAACCTTATTGCTATTTTCCATGATTTGAGTACCACTAATGGGAATCAAATAGTAAAAAAAACGGTGGTGGCAATCTTTCTCCTGACTGCGTACTGCTTCTCCCATAGATTTTTATCATTTTTCCCTTTACTAATTGCTAAGGACACTATCAGATTTGGAAAGCACAGTGGTTTAGCAAACTAGGTACGGTAAGAAGAATACCATCAACTGACGTGATACAACCCACTTTGACTCTGAAGGTGACTACCGCACAGGTTGTCGAAACGTCAGTCACTGTCAACAACAATAGACTCAGTCCTATTCAGAACTACGTTCACCCGGAAGGATCATACTCAACCTTCTTATAGAAAGACAATACTACCAATGTACACTGATTCAGCAAGCAAACAAGCAAAGTCATCAAATTTTTAATTACTAATATTCTTGTCAATTTTAATAATAGCAATGCATCTTAGAGACTAAGCATCTAAATATTTTTTGTTTATAGGAGTCAATCTACTTTATTGAGGGTGCTTGTGACAGTCTAGATAATGTGTAAGTGCACATGTTACAGTAAAAGTCATTCTTAGTAAAACTGAATTCACTTGAACAAAGTTTAGGCTGCTGAATTAAGGCTTGTATTCCCCAATCCAGTCCTTGTTATATTAATTCGCAAGGTCAATAATTTTTCTAAGAAAGAAAATTTATTTGCAGCTCTAGAGTATGCTAAATCAATCTGTTTAAATAATATCTTTGCCACATCAAACTCCTACTGCAATAATATTAAACTGCATGTTGTTAAACTAATGTTTAAGTATTCTCTAACATAGTCAAAGATCCGAGAACTATAAAACTCAACCTACTTTTAAAATGTCTCCTGAGTTCAAACCTTTCACAACATTTAAATCATTGTCAAAAAAATTAGTATTGTTACGATTCAAGTAACCAGTGTCATGTTTCTTTAAAGTGTGTCAAAAAAGTGATTGTGGTCTGGTAATGTTTCACTTTTCTTCTCAAGCAGCACACAACAGATTTCCTGCTTGAGAATCAGGTCTCTTACAGAAGCACTCCCTGAAAACAGGTAATGTGGTGGTGGTATTATTTTCCATATTAAATTTTGGATGCTTGTCATAATCATGGCAACTTTGCCTCTTTTTTAGGTTGTCAAGGTTACTTCATAAACACAAATTTGATGAAGCAGAAAGGTTTGCAAGACAGTTCAACCTGAATGTTGAGGTAAAAGACATACTGTGCCATAAATATGATAAAATATCTTTAGTCACCTTTCAGTTTTTATCTTTGAGTCTTGCAAATCGGACGGTGCAGCATGCAAAGAAAGTAGTGCCTGATAACCCAGGTGGGGCTAGTGGATTTTGCTATTGGGCAAGAGAATTCTGTTCTTAACTTGCCTGACAGGCAGGTAAAGTTTTTTTGGGGGAGAATTCTAATTACAGAAAAACTGTAATTAATCCTGTTCATCAAAATAGTATTTTTTTTTGGACTACAGTTAAATTGACTTTTGGTCAAGCACATGTTAGCTACAGCTTAAAACTGACTTTCTTTGCACCCCACAGTGTCGTAATTTTCTAAATTAACCACTTTCTCAGTGTGGTTTTGAATACAGCAGCTTTGACTGCTATGCTAAATTTGTTAACTACAGACAAGCTGTTTACTACATAACTCCTGTATGATAGATCTTTGGAAATCAGACCACAATTCTCCCAAACCATTTTAGTAGTTCAATTGCTTTCTTAAGCCTCAGTTTGACACACATTTCCTTATCATTATTCAGTGGAGAACAAACACAGACACTTGATCTTGTCTCTGTAGCTTGTCTACAAAGTTAAAGCAAACTGGCTTCTTGATAAAGTGTCACCTTGGAGCTATGAGAACAGTCCAGGGCAAAGAGAGGCTGATGTCTTGGAGGGATTCTCACTCACCAAATTAAAGGACTGCTTCACTCAAATAAAGGTATTTGTTAACAGAATTATTTTATTTTCTATTGATTACGACTTCACTAGGGCTCGTTAAATTCCCAAATTTGTTATTTAGAACTACATGTAAGAAGTTAGACAATTAATGAGAAACTTTCTGAGCAGCCCCTTAAGTATCAACATTTAAGTCTTTTCTTGATATTGAAATATGCAAGCATCATTACCTTTAAAGTAAAAACTTGAAAATTTGGAGTTTAGTGTCTTAGCTTTTACTAGTTAAAGGCATAAGGCCATTTCAATATCCTGCTTTAGCTTCGATCATGATTTTCAGAGAAATCAGCTGAAGCACTACCCCTTGATAAATAAGTGGCTATAAGACTTGCGCACACTGCAGCTCAGACCCGGAAATATCTTTACTTTGCTAACAATTTGTGGAATGTTTCAGGATGATGATTATGTGTGCAGATGCTGTCTTCAAGCTGCTCTTCCTTCCCTTGATGAAACATTTGATTTACTGAGCTATGCAAGGAAAAGGGTAAATTAATGTAATATGCTAAGTGATGTAAACCTGGGAAATTGATTTGACCTCAACATAATTGAATTATGGTAGTGAGCCTGTTGAAACTGGCTTTAACGTTATTTGTCAAAAACCCAGTTTTCTCTTTAATTTCTCTTTTTTCTCTTGAACAAGCCTTCTTCCTCCACTTTATCTTATATGTAAACATTTTAAGATCCTTTTTTACCAAGTACTGTCAACACTTTTAGAGATACTTAAACTTTTTTGTCTTTATGTGTAATTTAGTTTTTGGTTTATCTTTTACCATTCTGGTCTTTGTTAGATTTCCCTGGGTGATCATGTTCAGATTCATAAGGATGGTCCATGTGGAGCATCATCCCATCTATTGACTGAGGTGAGCTTCAGTCTCTCAAATCTTCTCCTGCTGTTGTTATTCTTACAGTGAATTGAGCATCTGTAGTGGTGCACCTAACGGTAATCATTGGGCTGCCATCACATTGTTTGGTACAGTGAAGGTAAAATCTGCACTTACAATATAATTTTTATTTTTTACAGGTGCTAGAAGCACTGGATAGACTAGCAACTTTTGAGATGGCCTTTGGAATCGAAAAGTTTAGGTTTGTGCCAATATTGGAATAAAATTTCTCTTGAAAATAAGGTAATGCAGTACCCATCCAATTGAAACTTTTCAACTAGGGTTCTCAGGTAACTTGGTGTGTTGTGGGTTATTAGGAAGAAACCTAGAATCTTAATTATCAACCCAACGATGTATTTCTACTTCCTTCAACTAGCTGTAAGTACATCATCACAAAATGCCAAGCCAGAGGTTCAAGTTCTTCGTTGTCCCACACTTCCTTTAGCACGCTATTGCTCTGAAAACTTCTGAGCTTTCTGGGCGTCATTGTAGCTCAAAGCACATTCCTCTCTTTTTCCACATAAAATTAAGGGCAAAGGCAATATCAAGGTAGAAGTGATGAAAAAAGGAGCTTAGAGAATGTAACTGGTAGCTGAAAGGGTGGGGAGATGCGCTGTTCTCGTTGTTGTGACACAATCTATCCGTAAAATTTGCTAAGGCTACTTCATTTTGTTTATTTATAGTGGCACACAGTGGCATTACTTTGTCACTGCTGATCTTCTTGTTGAACTCACAAAGTGTTTACTGTCTAGTAAAGTGACAAGTGCTGTGATTATTTGGAGACGACATCAGGTAATTTCCAGGTTCTTGTTGAGTTGTTGCATTTTGTATTCAACTGTTTCATTTTCCCCATCTTTACTGATACCATGAGTTAAGGTTTAAACAGTCTGAATAACCGTTTTCATCCACCCTAACTGTGAACACAACCTGAAACAATCAACGTCAACGAATCAACGTTTAATTGAAATATCAGCCTTTGATATAGAAATCATTTTTCATTCTCATGCAAATAAAACTTATTTTCACAAGAAAGGTTGTGCACCTAGCCTCATTTTGAAAGTGACAGATTTTGGGACTCATAATTGAAATGCCATTGTCTATCCCTCAAAGCTTGTCACTCGTAATTTTCTTATAGTTACCTTGTTCAAAGGAATAGTTCCTTGTTCAAGGAACCGTTCCTTGTAAAAGTATTTTCGTTGATACATCATTAAGACTTTTTATTACAATCTCATTATTTACAACATCATTGTGTTAATGTTGCAGAGTCAGTTTATACCGCAGTTCAGTGAAGAAAATCTGGAATCTCTGCTTGGTTCAATCAGTGAGAGTTTACCTTCATCAATGATCATTCCTTGGTTACAAGATGATCTTGTTCCTTTTGTCAGCAAGGTTTTGCCACAGGGTTTGGTATGTACAAGCTATATTTTCTAGTTACTACTTCCATATAATCTGACTATAGTCATGGAAAGATTGAACTAATCAGCATGTTTAGACAAGTGGCTTTACTAACACCTCATATGTACAACACAAGAGACTATTCCACACCATGCTTTAAGTATGAACTCACCTGAATGAACCTAGCGCAAATTGTTTATACCGCTCTCGGGAACGGAGTTGATGCTATACCTTACTTTTGACTATGCACTTTATAAAAAAGTTTAAATTACAATACGTAAAACTTGCAGAGATTTTAAGGAATGCCTTAATTGTGTATCATGCAACAAGTACTGGTTTAGACATGGAGCTAAATAAAGTGTCTGAATCAAATTGGTGTGAGTGTCACTAAGTTAAAATGTAAGAGGATTTGAAGTCTCTCAAAGTTATTTTTCCGTAATAAAGTTTTCTTGTTACGAGAGACAGTATCCGTACGTAACATCTATTGTTCTATGTGTAGAGGATGTTGGCAGGTTGGCTTGAACAAAGAGCAAGAAATATGGAACTTTCTGAGAAGGTCAGTCAAAACGAAATGCATGTTTTGGTTTTGATGCTACACTTGAATCTCTTATGCCGTTAAAACTTCTATTCGTTAAAGTCTATTGCTTTTCCCATAATTTATTTAAGTTGTGTGAATGGTGTTTTAATGGATGGTATTTTGTATCAGTATAAGTTGGAATATTTTCAAGAAATAGGTGCTTAAGTTTACCCCACTGTTTTATAGTTGTTTTACTTCCACCACTCACAATGACGACAATAATAGATTACATTTAAAACAATAAAACTAAATGTTGACATTGAAACCTTTAAGACTGAGGTTAATCTTGCAGGAGGGTTGGCCACAAAATGCTTTACAACTTGCAAGCGTTCTTTTGTCAGCATCAAAAAGTGTTTCAGGCAGTGCTTCAGGAAGAGGGCTGGCCACACCTGGACAGTTTGTTGACCAGGTGCGTGGTAAAGTTTTACCTGCAGTACCATTATTGTTCACATTTGTGGTCTGCTAATGGGGAGCAACAATGACAGCGACGGCAAGGAAAACGTCAAGAAATTAGCAAAACAGCAACGTTTCACGTGCGTCGCGCTTTTTTTTACATTTCTTTTCCGTCACTGCATGACTTCGACGTGAAATTGCGTAATTTCACGTTTTGTTGAGGACGGGAACACAAGGCAACAACTTTTTTTTCCTTTTTCAAAACTTTCTTACAGTCTTAGAATTCTTATTCAACTCTAGAAAAATGTGCCAACATTTGGCGAATTGAGCGAGATGGAAGAAGCGTGATAAAGTTTGAAGCAGGGAGAATTCACTTTTATAGTGTCGTTGTCATTGCCGTCGCCGTCATTCTTGCTTAAGCTCCCTATTGCTCACGCTTGTAACCTGCTTAGGTGTTTTGGAGTGGGGTAGGATAGGTAGGATGGGCAGGATACCTCAGGTATCTCATGCTTGGTGGGTGAGAAGGATTTTCCGCCTTCAAGGAGTGTAGAGTCATAAAAGATATTATGAGTCTCCTTTCAATGATAGCAAGACTCCGTATGACCACAAATGAAAGGAATTGGCGGGGTTGTAGCACGCGCCATGATTTCCGCGTAGAAGTTAACGGCTTAAGCAAGAGGCACCTTCTTCATTCATTCTGATGAGTTCTGATCAATGGTCAACAAACATCCTATCAGGGAATTTTGTGGTCGTTTTATCAAAGGAGAATAGTGATATTTTTTAACAATTAATTCAGATAGTAAGGCGACCTTGTTAACTGTGAAAGTGTGGATGGGGCCTTGATATCCCTTGATTTTTCTTTCTTCACGTAATGGATTCTCTTATAGTTTACGCCATTAACGTGATAGTAAGTAAAATAAATCCCAAATTGCTGTTCTCTTACCTAAAATATTAAGACAACCAACACGTTAAGCTCATTTTTTTCAGCAAGGGATTTGCATTTTTGTTTAGGTCTGCGGCCTTCCTGCAACAGCTCGAGCTCTTTTAAATGATGGATCAAACAACGTGGTATGGTTTGTTTTTTATGTAAGGCTGACAAAGTATAGAATTGGAATAGAAGGAGGTATTGCACCAGCCTGATATTTAGTTCCTGTGATACTATCATCTTTTTTTTCACTTGTGTTAATGCCATAGTTGTATTGATTCGGGATTCCATTGATTAGAACGGTAGTGGTGCGTTGCATATAGGGAGGTACATAATTAACGCTTTTACTGAAAGGTCCAAACGCGTGTGACCAGATTGCATTCTATGTATTCCATTCAGTCTTCGTAGAAGACCAAATGAATGCTGGCTATATCTCTGCCCCACATGTGTGACAGCAACCTGGAGATTAGGGCCAGTGGAGCCCGCAATGGAAAAGCAGACATGAAATTGGCTCTACTGTATCTGTTCATTGCAATGACAATGGTGTCACAGTTATGCTGCCATTTAGTTGTGAAAGCCTTTTTTGGATGATCCAGAAGTAAAACTACCTTGTTGTAATAGACATTAGAATGGTTGATTACAAATCCTTCGTCTATCACTGCTTTTCTTGTTAGAATACTGACGATGAATTAGCCAGCTTGATGAACATGGTGCAGCAGCTGACAGACTTGGTAGATCTTCATAACAAGTACAACTGTAAAATAACTCTGGCAGAATTTTCCCAGGTACTGTATACTTCAGGTTTGGCTCTACGAAGTGAAATCATCCAGGTGTAGTTATTGAAAGTAACATCCACCACATTCTAACGTTAAACTGAAGACTAGTAGTGCTGTGCCTCACATCTGTTATTGCAGCTGTCGATGTGAAAAATTTTTTGATTACGTGACCGTACGAACGACCATCCAATCGTCCACTCACACCAATGTGAAATGCAAACACATGACAATGCAATGCTATCGCTCCCTTTTTAGAATGATGTACTGTACACCACCATTGTGAATCCATATCAAAATCAATTTGACCGCTGTCAAAATAGGACATTTGCTAACCGTACCACTGGACCAATCGGGGGCTCAAATGCACTACCTTTCAGGTCACTTGTTATGTTGAGTGCTATTGTGAAAGGTGACTGAACCAAGTTACCAGTGGTAAGTATTAAACGGGAGCTCCGCTTTTAAGCTTGGCTAAATATGTATTTTTCTCTGTACTCTTGCCCTTAGGAAACTACAGCAACCATTGTATTTCGATTGCTTGACCGAGTGGTGGCTGCTGAACTCATACCCAGTACTATTGCCAAGTACATCGCTCCATACATGATGCATCATGGACTCGACAGGGACACCATGCTACTGCAGTACATTGAGGTAACTCTAACTTTTGTTTTCGCACTCGCCAAAAGGGGAACGTTACACATCAAATGAAAATAATGTCTACTTTTTGGTTAGGACCTGTTTAACAGGAGTGCAGGAGCGTATTCAGCTCTGTCAAACTCACTGTGGGAGGCCAGAGTTATTGCTGTGATTTCGTGCATCAAAGATAAAGAGGTAAGACATGTCTCGCAGCCCTTTGATCAATATCAGATATCTATAAGGGCAGACGATAAGAGTTCATTAGATGATGCACGTTTAATTAGAGAAAAGTAGTCAAAATAAGGCGAGTTACGTTACGATGATAAATTGTTATCAACGTGTTTTTTTTTTCTAGAATGTTTTCAGACGGACACTTTTCTTTTTTCTCTCTGTTTTGTTTTTCTTTTCCATCGCTTTTTTAAGCTAGTTTTTCCCTGAGATTTAAAAACACTGTTATTTTTTTTGTTTGGTTTTGTCCTCAAGGAATATCCCCCTTACTTATTGAACTTGCCAAAGAGCGGTATTACTATGACTAATTTAATAAGAGTTGTTGTTGTTCCTAAGTGATGTACTTTTTCAAAATTGTCACAGCACTAGCCAAGCGCAAAATGGAAGCGGGGAATGCACTAAGTTCGTTTACAGCTAGTCGTTATTGCTCTCGAAATGGCTGACTTTCATTTCCTGCATACAGCAAAAGGAAGGGCCAAGTCTATAAAAATGACACTTGTCTCGGTAGGTTCGTTGTAAAGCCACTCTGGAGGTTATGCGACATGCCATGATCCCTTGGAGCGACAGTGTGGACAGACTAGTTACCGAATTCATGCTAGCTTATCCTGAGTGAGTATCGTCTAAATGACGCTAAGGCTACACTCCTGCAGGCCCTAGTTGTGCAATCGTTGGATAGCGTTATCCACCGGATAAATCCTCATCCAGCGGTTAAGTATTAGGGGTGTTTCTTAGCGGAAACCATCGTTGGTTTGCTTTTGTGTTTCATTGTGGGGATTGTTCAGGGTCTTTTCAATCTTTTGTATTACGTCATATCACGTCATATTACGTCATACGTCATTGTATTACGTCATAACACCCGTCCTCAACACCAAGAAACTACAATTAGGCAAACCAGTTGTGCTATCCACCTCTCCCCTCCTCAGAGGCTTCTTTGTCTTGTGGGGAGGCTGGGGAGAAAGAAAAAGAGAGCGCCCGAGGTGTGATGGGAAGGGGGAAGAGAGAACAGAGGCTTTTCGCCTTTTCCCTCTTCCCTTCATTCCCGCGCGCTTTCCATTTTTTTTCGATTATTGCTATTTTTATAGAGATACCCAGCGGGAGCCTCTGTGGAGGAGAGAGGCTATCCACTCTATAGAAATTTATCCAGTGGATAGTGTTATCCACGTTTTGAACAACAGGAGACTGAACTTTACAGGACATACAGGACCAGATAGACTAGCGTGGCCAAGTTCTGCCAGAGGTTTCATTTTAAGATTTCACTGATATGATACAAAGCTGGAACCGTTTTGCCTGACTTCGTGAATGGTTGTGTGATTGAAAGCTCTGAATAAAAAGCGAGCGCAGTAAACCCTCTGATGACAATCTAGCTGGATAGGTACCTGCAAGGACTAACGTTTTGTATCAACCTAATTCATGACTAAAAATGTACCCCACCAATCAAGTTTTATGTACCGTTTGCGCATGGCAATGCCACTGAGTTATTCAATTCCTGCTTAGTAGTCGTCATTCACGAACTTGCTATCCTACCCAAGCTAGTAAAATCTTTTTACTGTGACTAGGCTGCTTGAAGTCATTTGGACTTTGATGACTGCAGACAAACTGGAAGTTAAAACGTGATAAGAAGCATTTAACTAACAATCATCTGTTGCACTGTTGCGATTTTTCACTTTTTTTGCCTGTACAGTGACATCAACCTCAAAGAACAGTATCGACTTGTTGAGTTGAAAAAGATGCTGTCTCAATATGGGATGAGAAGCTTTCATGTATCATATGCGTCATTAGCCAAGGTGTGTTGTGAAAGATATCACGTCTGACATCAAAGAGTATTATTCAAGGAAAAGACGACTGAACTAGAGGTCTGTTAGCAAAGCTTCTCAACTGGGCTATTCGATTACACTGCAAAGGACGCTTGCGATGAAAAACATGTTTCACTCGGTTATCTTTGCTAAGTTGTGCACGCTGTTGTAACAAGTAAAGTCCTTTCCTTTTGCTGCGCTGTAGTCCCAATTTGTGCTATATGGTGGTGCTCATACCTCGTCACTTGACTTCATGAAGTTACTGATTCAATTCTAGGCTATAGTGAGGTACATTCTAACAAGAGATCAACCCAATGTCATGGAAGATGCATTGAAGGTATATGAATAGCTTTAGTTACGTTCATTTAACATATTAGGTATATTTGTTGACTAGTTATATGTGTTCCTTTCTGTTGTAAAATCGCAATGGTCATCTTGGCTTTGCCTTTTGAAGGTGATGTAGACAACTGCCGTCTCTGATCTCAAACTGGATGTCTTAAATTACAGGTTGTAACTTCTTATAGTCATGTTACTGAAGAAGAGGCTTATGTCTTTCGGCTACAAAAATTATGCCTTGACAATAAGGTATGTAGTTTAATACTTGTCTAATACAGTCTGAGGCGTTCTTTTTGCTTTCAAATTATGTGGCACATGTCGGAGCTAAACCCAAATACATGTAAATGTACCTATAAACTAGAGCATTTCTTCTAACTATCCTGAGTACGACTCTACACAACTGTGACCCCATGCTACATGCCACACCCCTTTAGCGGGGAGTTGGGCCGGGGCTTTTGCTTGAGGGTGCTTGCATTCAGCAATGCCTTTCGTTCTTGGTTTACACACATTCGGTGTTACCAGCTGCGTTGTCAAGGTACATGTAAATTGACTA